ATTTTTACCTCGATAAATAACTACTTAAATAATGTAACGAAATAAAATCCTAATATTAATAAAACTATATTTTAAGTAATAATGCCGTTTAAATTAAATAAAAAGTTTATATTATAAAAAATTATATTAATTATATAGTTTTAAACTAAATAATCAAATAAAAATATTTATAAATAATAATTTACTTAAAATCATAAAAAGTAAATAATTAATAACCGTAAGTTACTAATTAATATAAATCGTATAAAAACTAAATTACGTGACTTATTTATAACTATAAAGCCTTAACTTTATAATATTAAGTAAACTAAAAATGTTTTATTAAATGTAAAACTTAAATATTTTATAAAAATAATTAAAAATGTTTTATATATTATTAAAATCGAAAGTTATAAATTATATTAACTTTATTTTTATATAATATAAATAAATTAATCGTTTAAAATATATATTCTTATAAGCGTAAAATTTAAGTTACGTTAATATACTTTTTTAAACTTTAAATGATAAAATAACGGTTAAAACTTTAATTAACTTAATATTAATTTATTAGTTTATATTAATTATTAAAAAGCTTAATTTAGTTTAATTTTATTAAAATTATCGTAAGTTAAATTAATAAATTAATATAATTAATTAATTATAAACATAATTAAAGTATCGCCCCGTTATTAATATTTACTAATAAATTCAATAATAACATTAATAAAATAACGATATAATAAAAGTTATAACGAGTAATATATATAACGTTAATAAAAATATTTATTTAAAAACGATAAATATTACGACTACGCACTTAATTAAATATTTAAAATTAATTAAAATATACCATTATAATGGTTATAATTTTCTTATTATTTTAATATATATAATAACTAATGAAAACGTTTTTATTAATACTAAATATAATTAAAAAAAAAAGTATATTTATTTTATATGTTTTTAAATATAAACATTAAAATAAACTAAATTTTAAAGTTTCGAATAATAAATATAATCGTATATTTAATAATACTTATATTAAAATAAAACTTTTAAAAAAACTAATCTTTTCGTAAAAATTACTTTATATTAAACATTATATTCGTATCGTAATAATAAAAAGTTAAAATTATTATTATATTTAATTTTATTAACTTTATTAACCTTATAAACTCACATCGCGAAAACGTTTTTTTATTATATATTAAATATTTAATAAAAATAATACTTTAAATTATTAAATATATATTTACTTAAATAATAGCTTTTTATTTTTTTTCATTTTTATTTCCTAATATTTACATTTTTATGCAATTAAAATAAGTCCGTTTTATTAAAGCTTAAATTCCGTTAAAACGTAATTTTAAATTCGGATTAATATAATAATAACGCCATGGTCCCGGTTTTTTTTAATTAAATATTTTTATATTAAATAATTTTATTAAACTTTTATTAATTTTTAAAAATTTAATTTATTTTAATTAATTACGCTATGCGCCTTTTAATAAACCAGGTTATATTTCTTTAAAATTTTATTATAAAAAAGTATTTAAAAATATTTTCAATTTGTAAAGTATATCCTTAGTTTATGATTATTAAAGCGTATTAAATAATTCGCAAAAACCAAGCAATTTATTTTTATTACTACAATTCCATAAAAAAAGCTTTAAATTTAATGCAACCAATTTTATTAAAATCTTTAAATAAAAAATTATATTTAAATATAATAATTACATTATTTAGTTTATAAATAAAAAGTTATATCCGTATATAATTAAAAAATAATTAATAATCGTTAAGTAATAAAATATTCGAGTATATAATTAATTAATCTTATTATATTTATATATAATATAACGCTTTAACGAAACTTAAACTTTAATAAATTAAATTTTTATAAAATAATTATAATATTTACTTACTTATTAAAACGAAATAAATAAAATAAGTAATATTTCATTTATAAATTACATACATTAAATTAACACGTAGTTTTAAAATATTTAATAATATACTTAAAAATAACTTCATTAAATAAATTAAAAAAATAAATTTATATTCATTTTAATATATATTTATTAATTAATATTTAATAAAAACTTTTAATATACATTATAATTTATTTCACGAAAAAGTTCGATATATTAAAATTAATCTACTTAATATATTGTCTTAATATAATTAATATAATTAATTCGAACTTTAAAAGCCATTCGCTTATTCTTATATACCTAAATTACTTATTATATATACTTTTTATTTTCATTCTTAACTTATAACCACCTAACTAATAACTTATTATAATAATATTTTATTATTAATATTTACTAAAAAGTTAAATAAAAAAGGTATTATAAATAAAAAAAACATTATAAATAAAAAAAACATTATAAATAAAAGGGACATTATAAATAAAAAAAACATTATAAATAAAAAAAATATTATAAATAAAAAAAACATTATAAATAAAAAAGGTAAAAACGCATTAAAAATAAGCGAAGTTTCGGTTTTAAAAATAATTAAAGCTTAAAAATAAATATAATAAATAATATAACTTATATATTAGTAAAAATAAAATAAATAAAAAACTTTATTTATATATATATTATATTTTTTATAATAAGAATATTTAAAAACTCCTCGCGTAATAATATTATTATTTCTTAATTTTTAAGTTTCGTTTTATAATAAAAAATAAAAATAATTATTAATAATAAAAAAAGCAATTTATAAAAACATAAGCTTTTTTAATAATAATAATATTATATAACATCCTTAAATATTTATTATATAGGAATTAATGTTAAATATTATTAATATTAAAATATTTAAGTATTATTAAATGGTTATATATTATATTATTAAAAATATAATTAATTAAAAAAACATATTAATATATAAAAAAATCATATATAAGAATTAATATAATATTATCGAACATTTAAAACTTAATATAACTTTAACGTTTAATAAATAAATTATTATTAAATAAAAACGTAAAAACTTTTTCGAAAAAAGAAAAAAAAAACCATAAACTTTACGACTTTAAATGTTAAAATATTAAGTAGTTAAAAATTTACGTTTTATACTTAAAGAATATATATATATTATTTATAAACCATTACTTAAAATTAATAATTTAACTAATTAATTATTTAAGTATATACTTAATATAATATTTATAATTTATATTTATTTTAATATTAAAAAATTATTACATTAAATTAAAATTAAATAACTTTACTTTATTAAAAGTTAAGCTATAAGGTAAAACTAAAAAATTAAAAAACAACGGTTTATAAAATTAAACGAACCTTCATATAATTATATTTAATCGAGAAAAATCGCGCTAATATATATTTCGAATATAATTATTTATATAAAATAAAGTATTTTTTAAACTTATTACCGTTAAAGTAATATTTATTTTCGTTAATATTATACTTATATAATATATATATATCGATTAAACCTTATTACGTTTATATAAAAATAAAAACATAAAAAAAAAAACATAATCGATAATTAATTTTAATAAAAATTTAAAATTAAAATGTAGTAATTATTTATAAATTATTATATTAAAATAAAACTATTTACTTAAATACGTAACGCCGTTTATTATTAATAACAACGTTAATTTAAATAAGTATATTTAATATTAAGCTTAATAACTTTACTATTTTCTTTTTAAAACTTTTTAATAACTTTATTTAAACCCTCGAAAAAAAATTTTAAAAACGATAATAAAGTTCGTAATAATAAAAAGCTTCGATTATAAAACGTTTAAAAAATACATAAATTTATATAAGAAATTATATTTTAAAATATATATTTAAATAATTAATTTAAGTAAATATATTTAAATAAAAATGCATTTAATATTAATAAAAAGTTCGTTTAATTTTACGTTTCGAAAAACCCGGAAAATAATAACGTTATTATGCGAAGAATTTTTAAGTTTTAATTACTTTCGTTATAAAAAACATAATATATATATAAATAAAACTTTTTATCCATTTTATTCTTAAAACTAGCAATTAATAAAACCCTTAAAGACTTAACGGGCTAAGTTTCGATTTTATAAATTTTTAATTATTAACCTGGAAAAAAACTAAATACTTAATAAGTTATCCAAAAAAACTAACCTTAAAAATAAACTTAAAATAAACGTATAAAATAATATATATAAAAATAAGAAATATAAAGTTTAATAAATATGTAAGTATAAAATCGAAGCTAAATAAAACTTTTAATACTTATTAAGTAAATAAATAAATAATTAAAAAGGTATATAATATATTACGCCGCGATTTAACATTTTCATAATAAATTAAAAGCTTTAATTCATTTATATTTACATTTTTAATTAAATTATACTTACATTTAAACCTTTTAATAATTTAACCTTAATTATCACGAAACGAAACTAAAAAACTAAGAAATAATAACGTTATTACGCGAAAAGCTTTTAACATTTTCGTTATAAAAAACACGATATATATATAAATAAAGTTTTTTATTTATCTTACTTTTAAAATTAACGGTTAATAAAACCTTTAAAAACTTAACAAACTAAATCTTAATTTTATAAACCTTTAATTATTAACTTAAAAAAAAACCGATGTTTAATATTAATAAACTAAATATTATAAAATTCTTTTAAATTTCTTTTTTTCTTACCGCTTATTAATTTATTAACCTCTAATAACAAATTTCCTTAATAATAATATTATTATTTAAAATTTTAAAAGTATTTATTAATTATAATAATTACGAAAAAACGTATAATAATAATTATAAATTTTAAAGTTATTTATCGTAAAATATTAATATAAAAAAACACGTAATTAATTAGTTAAAAAAGTTTAATACATTTAATACTTTAGCGGTTTAAGGTATTTCGCGCACCATCGGACACCCCGGCAAGTATATGTGTATTCTATACTATGTAAGATGTTTATTTAAAGTTTATACTATCAGAGAGTTTGGGTATATGTGAACAAAGAAAACCACCCACCTATTAATACCCTAAACTATCTTTTAACAAAATCATAACATAGATCGTGCAATATTTGATATTCGGCTCACAATTGTCAAGTTGGACCTCCCGGTATTGCCGCTCCTTTCAGTTTCTCCAGAACGTCTCTGTTCTTGTATCTCCGTCACAAATTTCGGCCATGTGTTTGTCAACACTAGATATTTGATATGCGCCTGTGCACGATCAAATACACCGAAATCGAATTCTTCCGATATCTCACCAACGTATTGAATTCTACCTGCAACTTCCCCAAGCTCAATCCAATCCCGGTCAGAGTCTGATTCATTATCGGCACCCGGAGAGGGCCCATCAGCTGTGAATGGCGTAGCCGTGTCCACTCGTGCTTCTCCGCATACAATTCGCGCCGGTCGCTCGAAAATGGCCTCGAGTTGTTTCAAGTCTTTCGAGGGAATGTTGATTGGAAATTCAGCATCCCGGGGACTGATGAAGCTAGTGTATATAACTAGTCCACGAGTGAATGTATCGCGGATCTGATCTTCAGTAGCGCCGCCTGGCCATGAAGACTTCCAGGAAGCAACGTTAGTAAGAAAAGCGATGTTTTCCCCTGAGAAATCTCTCAACGCCGAGAATTCTTGCAACGGGCCTGGGTTCTCGCTCAGCACGTGGTCCAGCGCACTCATAGTGAATAAGCGGTCGCCCATATCCCTGTCCAAGAAGTCTATCGTGAGACCCTTCTCCATCACAGATGCCGTTTTCCATTCTACCGTACTCGATTTTCTCAACGTCGACTGCGATGCTGTTTCCCACTTGGCGTTCGAATCTGCTGCTCTCTTGCGTAGACGGTAATGTCTCACAACTAACCAGCAGGGGACGAATACAGTAAAGATTTCGAAGAACATGACAGATAAGTGAATCCTACGTTTGTTAGCACTCATGGTTTCAACCCATCCCAGCTCAGCATTTCAGGCTGCTTACCATTCACTTGGCGCGAAGTATACGTTGACCTTCGTGAAGGCTGGCACATACATGGATACCAACCACATTGGTGTTGCGTGGAGGCTGTAAGAGCGTTAGTTAACGAAGGAATTGTTTACGTAGTTCAGAACCCTACTTCGAGATACAGCAACCGAGAGTCTGGAAACGCCAGCCTAATGTATCATGAATACCCCAGGCTTTCCAGATCAAAATAGGCGCAATCTACACAAATTAGTATCAAAATTCGAATTTTAGCTGTGCGCGGTATGGACTCACTATCCATGTCCAGATCGACTGCCATAGCGCAGATGGCCACCACTCCCATCCACGGCTCATCTCGATCATTTGCTCGGCAATCGTTCCAGATGGGAGCTCTGTACCAGCGATACCAAAGGTAGGATGGTACTTACGAGACATGAGCCACATTCCAACAGTGAGAAGGACCTAGTTAGTTGTTTAGAACCTAAATACCTGAAATCTTGACGGGAGAAGGATATACCTGAAGTATCATGCCTAAGCCGATATAGATCAATATTCTAGTCGGATAATCCAGATTTCTCAACCGACAAAGCCAAGAAGTCGCTGCTCCATTACACCCATGCTTCTTCGTTCGAAGATTAGAAGACTGGGCATATCTCTTCTGCAGCTTGGCGATATAGAGGAAGCGAGTGTTGGAGGCATGGAATAGTGCAACGCCCAAAGGAAACCAAAGGCCCATGAAGAAGTATTGAACATCATAGGCCAAAATTACAGGAAGCGTTAGTCCGACTGGATATGTGATCTGAGCAAGGATCCAATATAGATGAAGGAAGAAGATGGATGTGAGCGACAACGCCAGACCACGGATCTTAATAATCGGATTTTTACGATTGGCGATTAGAAATATCATGCCAAGGATTAAGAGGAACGTCCATGTTGCGCAAAAGGCAATATAAAAAGTCCCCACCTTGTCGTAGTTGGGTGGGCTCTGCGGAAGATCGTATAAGCTTGGTTGGATCTGGTCTGCCATGGTGTTGTATGCTGACTTTATCTTAGTATCACCAACCAACTGACAAGCAAAAGAGCAGACCAGCAACCCGGGATATGGTGAGGAGGTCCATGGTTCTTGAAGTTATGTAATTGATCGCTTGGTAACTTCATAACTCCCTGGCACTTGGGTAAGAATGCCAAGGGAGAATAAGTTCGGCTTCATTTTTTGCTTGCCAAGTGTATCTCGATTTTGAGTGTATACCCATGTGGGCGTGGATTTGTGTCGATCATTTGACTATTGTCAATATCACTGTCGATTGTGAGTGGCGGGAGGGAACTTGCCGAGACAGGAATTGGCTGGTCCCTGTACAGAAAAAGCAGCCGCGTCGTTCCCGTCCCTCGTCTAGACCCTAGATGAACCCTTGAAAAGCAAAAAGGGGGGGCAACAGACAGATCTACGATTTCACGTTCCATCCTGTTGATTCTCAGATCGATATAGAGATCTCCGGGAAATCTTAGACACGGTACTACTGGGTACTTGCGCGGCGTTACCTCGTAGCTTAATAATGAGGGCTATTAGATCTCCCCAATATTGGAGGTTGGGAACTAGATATCAAACAGAGGGAAGCCCAGGGGCTCAAGTTATAACTAACCGCCCCCGACGCTCATTATATATCTCAATGATGTAGATTGAACAATTCTATTGATAAAGCTAATGCTGTCAGAACTTAAAAATTTTCTTACTGAGGTTCTATTGGCCACCGTCCCAGTAATTCAGAGACATGGGGTAAACGCCATCGCTCTATCGCCATGAGCGTCAGCTACAGGAACGACGAGACTCGGCACGCCGCCACTGATTCACAAGTCACATGAATTAGGGCAAAGAAAAAATATCTAGACCGGGCAACCACGAAAACGAGGGAAAACCGATGAACCACTTTGAGACGACCCAATCATGGCCGATCTCATCCAAGACATTCACTCCGCCAACGCGTAGCATGATTGGTAGGTAGATAACGCTCTGAGTATATAAAAGCAACGTACTAAGGATGATTCGGACCCTAGATACATAATTTCCACGCGGAGAGATGAGAAGAGAAGTGCGATCAGTCTGTAGGTAGGTAAGACAAAAATATAAAAAATGGAAAAAGCGATCTATCAAAACCTGACAACTACCTAGGTATCAATCGCAGTGGCAAAGTCATATTCAAAAACGAACGTTTCATGTCTCAAGACATATTTATCCAATCGAATTCTGAATTGTTATCAACGAATTACCAGTAACGAGCCAGCAGATGGCGAATATGTAGCCCCTATATTGTGCCCTTCAGTGCGTGAGACGTACCGAGTAGCGCTGCAGCAAGCCGTGTGGATGACGGCATATGCGAAACTCACTTGCTTATCACCCTATATCTAGGTAGTTAGAAGAGATACAGTACACACTTAAGTCGAGGCCTCCCCATCAGCGACCAATCCTAGACATACGATTTATACGCATCGATCCCAGATACGTAGAAACATGAGGGTTGAAATGGATAGTTAGATGCCAAACTTCCGGTTTAGAAAGGTGCTACTAGATATAATGGGTGATAGCTGTGTAACACACAAGATAAGTCTGATTACGACACGATGTAATAGAATTAGCAGACGCCTCCTAGGTCATACATACCAGCCTCTTACGATAACGAACAGGGCGTCTGCTACTACACACACGCACTAAATCGCCACCACACAGCAGCTATAGCACACCGGAACAGTCGAAAAGACAAGTCAATAAAAAAGAATATCAGGGTATCATCCCCCATTTTGCCATCTCTACCTAGGCAAAACATAACATCCAACAACATTATCTCAAACAAACATGATCAACTCCTGGTCTAATTAAGCAGCATCGTAAAAAAAACCACGATCGTAACCGCGACTCCCAGATGAGAAAAAACGCAGCAGCGATTAACACTAAAGTTACAATACATCAAAGTAGGTAGCCTGTGCCTTCGTCACCGTAAAAGCCTACTCCCACTCCTACTCCACACCCACTCCCATCCCCCTCCCCACTCCGAGATTTGCCATCCGTGAGTATATTTACCTATGCCGTTTCCCTTTTCCCCCTTAATCGTCAATTCAACTCAACTCCGAAACGAGGCGGGGGGCGTCGCATCATACGAGCATTAAAAAACCCCCATAAACATCCCAAATCAAGAATCCTTAATGCCCAAATTTTCGTCAATCCCGTGTCGTCCATCTGCAAATGTGGCGTAAAGAAGAAGTAACTTCCAGAAGAAAATGTCATTAATCGGAACACATTGCCAGGCCACCCAAATATTCCTTTTTAGGTGGCCATGATGAGATAGTAAGAAAAGCAACTCAGGAACGGACGCTGCTCCCGATACTACTTATCGTATCGCTGACCTTACTACTGACGCCACCCATCCAATCGTGGAACCACTCTGGTACTTTCAGACTAAGTCGTACTCTGCCCTCGACGACCATATTGATCGCGTTCAGGATGGCGAACGTGGAACTCCCCAAAGCTCTGAAAAGCGCCAGCGCCGCCACAGACCACAGGATGAACGTGAGGTAGAAGTTGCTGCCAACTTCCTTGTATCCATAGGCTTCGGAGACGGCCATGGCTAGGATAGCATTAGCTACCATCCATATGACAACCATGTACGTTCGCACGCTCTTATAGTAGTCCTCCTGCATCTGGGCTTCGCTTATTTCCGACTTCGGTACCTCGACGCGATCTCTTAGGTTCCTTAGCGCCTCGTCGTACCCGCTGTCGATATCCAACTGTTCGGAAGGCATCTCGAGCTCGACCGTATTGCCCTGTCCAGTGGCGCCTCCTAGGTCCGTCTTCATGACGTTGTCACCCTTTGTACCCCATGTGACGTCGTGTGTATTGCAGAAGGCGTACACCTGTAGTGTGCAGATATAGCTGGGAAGCAGAGCGAAATATTGTGCCGAACTTGTGAACATGTGCCATGGATCTAGATACAAGAAGCTCATGAGGAAATATAGCCCCACCGTTGACGCCGTCGAGACAATCAGATTCGTGAACGTATTATTGCCGAGTTTAAGCTGATCGCCCTTGATTGTGTGGATCACAATGAAGACTGTCGCGAAGGTGTTATATACCATGATTATACCATATATAATCATACTAGCCAAGTAAAGCTTCTTCGCGCCTTGCGGTCGGTTGCCTAGAGAGATGATGAATTGCATACTGATAAGTAGTACACACGTGTAGCGGAGTACAGTAAACATATATAGCGCGATATTATGCCCAAAGGGGTCGACAGAAGGATCCGTAAGCCCACCGCCGATGAAGTAGAAGGCAAGATAGAAGTTGGCGAGCGAGAAGTAGGTAAATAGAAGTTGGAGGAATTGATACACAAATTCGATGTGTAGAAGTATCTTGCGGGCGATTGTGTGATCCGTCGTCCAGATCTGTTTGAAGTGAACGAGGGAATACACAGCAGCGAAGAACGCGCCGTTGAGCCATCGACGTCGCTGAGAGATGAATTCGGGAACAGTATCTATCGCATATGTCAGCTACATTTTCAACCTTCAAAAGAGCCAAAGAAACTTACCAGGCACATCTGTTTCGCCTGTACAACCCTTGACATATTTCAAGACCCATCTCTCGTTCCTCTTAGCGACTAGTTCCCAACATAGGATACGATCCTCAGCAAGATACATATTTGCAGTAAATACGTCGGCGTGCTGGCCGTGTAAGGTCTCCCCTTTGAAGTACTGACTAAGCGGTCCGTGGCCCGTCTCATCATTCTGCAAAGCGTGATAACGATAGGCACTCAGAGCGCCGGGTAACACCGTTATGTAACCAAAGACAGACTCTAGAGGCTTGTCTAGGATGTTCGACATCTTATACTCAAAGTTTTGCGACGCCACGAGCGGGTTTAGGAGATTGCTTCCGAATTTGCCCTTCATCGCCTTAATCTCCCCACAAGCTCCCGCGACATTAGAATCGGTATCGAAAGCCTTCCATAGATGGTATAGGGAATTATTTCCAGGCTTTGTACCGACATCTAACAAGATACAGACATTGGGGTTTAGGGCCTTGCCGAAGGCATTGAAAAACCAACGATGCGAGTTGAGCTTTCGCTGGTTCCTCTCCTTGAGACAGAATATCATCTGGCAAGGGACGATACCCTTCTCAGCGCCCTTGAACTTCAGGTCTGCGTCAAGTGAGACTTGTGTTGTGTATTCGTATACGTGAGCCTGTACAGCCTTCTGGTTGACGAAGTTCTTGGCGATGCCGTGCTGATAGACGCCCATTGCGGCCAGCGCATCGAGCGTTCTCGGATGAACCTTCTCTCGACCGTCGGATACGATACAGACGACAATCTTCTGCCATCCAGTCTCGCCCCACGTACGGGACCTGTTGCGTCCGCAGAAGTGGCTCACGTTCTTCATAATCGCATGCATAGTGCGAGTAAAATCGATCTCGTCTTCGTTGTACATGGTGACGCAGATGAACAACTCCGTCTCTCGTGCCGTCCGTCCGATATTCTGTCTCAGCTTATATCCCTTGTCCACGAAGTCATCCGGGTCACACGTCACGGCCGTGTACCGCATGTGAGTAAATTCAACCTCGTCGCGGCGCGGCAAGAAGCTGTACAGAATGGTCGGGATTTTACACTCCAAGATGAGTTCACCGTTGATTAGTTGTACCTCCTTCTTGGAGGTGAGTGGCGCTCGAACACCACGGCGTTCTTGTTTGCCTTCTGGAGCAGCGCCGTAATATTCTACCTTCTCGTCCATAGGCGCTTGCGAGTCCTCCTCACTAAGGGTGACTTGTGATTGCGCACCGTACATGTCGTGGTATGGTCTTCCACCACTAATATCTGATTCTCCGGGTCCGAATACGTCATCGCTACCATCGTCTAGAGGGATGCTTACTGTTGCGTCGTCGGCTGTGTACTGTGAATCTCTCGCGGACGCAGTGAAATGTGGAGCAGGAGGCAACGGTCTTCGAGGACTACCTCCATATCTTGAAGAGGGCGTTCCGGGTCTAGGGCTGCCGTTGATATCTGCTGGCTCGTACTGCGCACCAGAATGCGGCGGCCGCGAATAATCTGATATTCCGGACATTCTCGAAGATGGTGTCCACGGTCGAGGAGAACTAGTGTCTCGTGATCGGTACTGCTCGTAGGCGGAGTTTATCGGCGTGATATGTGGGGGATCGAGAATAGAGGATGTTCGTGAACGTGTGGATCTAATTGATGGTTGGTATGTTCGACGAGGTGATGGTCGGATACTATCAGGTTCAGTTGGTGAGTCATTGCTGTCAGGGTTGTTGGGTTTGGTTGGGGAGTTGCCGTCGCCTCCGGGTGAATTCTTCTTAAGAATAGACTTCTTTCTCGGTGACGGACCCTCAGGTATTGTGGGCAGGCTCTGTTTGAGCTCTGCTTGAACAATATGGGGAGGTTTGTTCTTCTTCTGTAACTTTACAGTACCACTGCGTTTTAGGATAGGCTTGCGCTTAGGCGATTTGTCGCCCGCTGGCGGAGATGACTACTCTCCATCAGGAGGGGACGTCGACTTTTGCGCTTCCTCTTGCTGCTTAAGCGACTCCAAATGCTCTGGCGTTGAGATCTTAACAGTCTTCTTCTCTTCCTTCGCTTCCTTCTTTAGGGCGAGGGGAGGGGGAACAAGATCTGGGTGTTTAAATTCTGGAGGTGGCGTCTTTGGGGCTACATACGGTCGAGGATCTGATAATGGTTCTTCCATAGATGTCAATAACCTCACTGCTGCTGGGTTTCCGCCTGGTCCAGTTGTCATGTGGTCAAGGTGATCGAGGTGATCATCATCGTCGCCATATCCTGGAAGAGCGTATCCAGGTGGTCGTGAATGAGAACCGTCCATCGTATATTATTATCGGCCAAGATGCCGATTGAATCGATTGTGAGACACTCCGTTGGTATTGTTGATATGATGGAATGCCAGCGCAAACGCCTAATATCGTTTGATTAGGTCAATCGATCTCGATCGACGCAAGTCTCCAATCGCAAAATGGTTAAATGGTATACGGTATAAACAGGGTATCTCTAGAATTAGTATAGTACGAAGTGGTAAGAATCAATGAAAGAAGAAATCTTTAACGTTCATGAATTGAGTTTCAACGGTAACACAACGTTTGAAAAATAGAGTTGACACAGTTGATCCTCAGTGGGGAGCTTAAGTCAAGACTCCAAGCCTCGAAGCAGGTGCTAACGAGGAGCTTTGTTGTATTTAGAAATGCAGGTACCTAATGATCCACCGTTGCCCAGCAACTGTGCACGCTACCCCCACATAAAACTACATAACAGCGGCAGTATAATCTTGGCAGCGCATAATTCTGCATTAATATCCCGACCATCCACGCGTTCTTCATCCACCATTCTCTTTTTCTCTCCATTTCGTATTCGGTGAATTTATTGCTCGCACTGAATATGGATTACATAGTATTTCTTGCGTAACTCGCTTAACTCTCTCCGCCAATGCAGGTAATATCAGGCAGATATACACAGTTTACCACCTGACCGTATAACCTATCAAGTGTGTATCCGGAATGCTATATAATTCGGGTCTAAATATTTATAGTAGCGCCGTAGATCAAGACTTACATACCCCATATGCGTCTCCAGCTTTTTTCGTCCCGCCCGAGAGGCGCTTTAGATACACCAAATCTGGCCGGTAGTCCTGAATTGGCTTCAGGCAGACATATCCACTCTCTAATGCAATCCGGTATTTCCTCTCTAATGTGGCTAATACATATCAAAGCCTGGTTCTCATTGAGGCCTCCTACCTTGACGTTGTTTGATTTTGATGCATCGCTTTCAACAATAGTTTCCGATCCGTCGTCGTTCTTCGAATACGATTTTGTCTCTCCATGCTCGAGGAAGAGAAGACAGCGATTCCGAACACCATCATCCATACCGCTGCACGCTTCATCCAAAACAACGATATCTGGATTCTTAATGATTGCTCGCAGGAACAGTGCGACCCGCTGTGCGGAGAAGGACAGTTCTCCGAACATATAGTGGTCTGCCCACTGTAGGTCTGAGCTCTCTTGTGCATCGGATCCAAGCTTTGACGTTTTTATGAATTCCGGGTTCAACTCAGCCTCGAACCATCGCAGACAGGCCTTGATTTTTTCTCTTGCTTGTTCGTCAAGTACAGCCTTCGAACGGAACGTGTCGGCCCATGCATTCGCAACGACTTCTTTCACCGTAAGATTTCGGGGCATGTGTTGATGAATTTCGGGACTAGAGTGCCCGATTCGAGCTTGAATATCCCAGAACGTTAAAGGCAGCTGGTCCGAACCAACTTCCGGCAATCTGCTTCGCCCAAACAACTTCATGGGTAGTGAATAGGTCTGAGGGTGGTCCGAACAGATGAGAGATACGATGGTTGTCTTGCCGGAGCCGTTGGGTCCAAAGATGCCCCATCGCTCTCCTCGCCGCACAGTCCATGAGAGACCCTCTTGTTTTTTCCCATCGATTTCTTGTACCCAGTTTCCAAGTGCGATCTTACCACGATATTGTACTTTGCACCCATTCATCTCCACAATGGGCTCCCCAATATTTCTGGATACGCCTGCATCTTGAGCAATTGGCGACTCACTAGCTTTCAAAGCCTTTTCGCCCATTAGTGGTTCTCCATCTATCCCATCAGCAGTCAGCGTTCTGCCGACGTGCACTAAGTTATGCACCGGTAGGCTTTCGTCTTCCTTTGATTTCCCATTCCACACCTCTCGAACATATTGTCTTAATTTTTCCAAGACAACTTGTTTCTCTCCAATTGCCCCTATTTGACAGTCTCCCCTGAGGTAGGCCAGGTGTGTAATCCAATCGGGAATAGGATCCTGCGGCCTTGCACTTAATATCAACCTCGGGCTAGCTCTACTTGCCAGCCCATGTAAAAGCGGACTCAGCCCAGCTACTGTAGGCGGATCAAGTCCCATGAATGGCTCATCAAGTAATAAAACCTCCGGAGTAGAGAGAAGAGCTCTCGCAATTCTAGCTCTTCGTCCCTGGCCATTGCTTAAAAATGTGACGGGAAGATCCAGTAACTCGGCAAGCTTTAGATCTCTCACTACCCTATCAAATAATTTTGGATTGAAACCGCCCTCGGGTGGACGTTTTAGAGGATTAAGTTCTGTATTGCCCAAGAGGAAGTCTCTTAAGGAGAAATCGGTGTCCTCGCGCTTCGACTCATATCGAGCAGACAAATATGCCGAAGTCGTCACGCTAGATGCCAATCCATCGTTATTAAATCCTACATATTGAATCGCTTTATGCGGAACCCTTAATCTATGAGGCACCTCATCCATAGACAGATAAGGATAACTTCGTGCAGACGGGGGGAAGCAAAGGTGACTCCCGCTCAAAATCTGTAAAAATGTTGTCTTTCCGCTAAGAGACGGTCCAATGATATACCAATGTGTCGGTGATTCGGTAGTAGAAGGTAGTGTGAAGTTCAGGTTTTTAAAGAGAGCCGGGTTCGGGTGGATAGAGCTTCCACCGGGATGATGACGGTAAAAAGTACCGAAGACGATATTTATCACCGGTGGGCGAAATGTGGTAAACCGCATGATATCGATTGAACCATGGCAAATTCTCTTTAATAGATATTATATGTTGAAGATATGCATTTTAGAGGGTCACATGAATAGGACATGAATGAGTCAACTTATTCTGATATTTAACATATGAGAACTGTTGAAGTTAGATATCCGAGATATCGGGGTTAACGAGGCTCACGCTAAATCCAGCCCCTGCCAGCCTTACGTAACGTATCCGTTAGGTGCAGGGACCACCTGTGGGCTACTTCCCACCTCCGTCCTTGGCAAGGCTCCAGCTGCGAAGTACAAACACGAAAGCTCCTGGCAGCCTACTCCAGCTTCCCTTCACAAAAGCCCAGCCGAAGCTCAAACCACGACCACAACCGAACAACATCATCCCAGTTCGTCACATCATAAATCCGCCAATATCACGGCCTGACGGATTCAACAACCTAAATATTTCAAAAATCACAAAATCATAAACGAAAAATAGTACCAATCCCCCCACAACCGCCAAGATGGTAAGCTTCACCTACCGACCTACACCACCTCTATCCCCCATCCAGTCCAAAAACACTAACTAACCACCTCCCCAAAGTCAATGCGCATAGTCCCCCCCGCCACCCACAGCAGCACCTTCAAAGCCGTGAACACCTCCGCGCCCTCCGCCCCGGGCGTCCACGACACCCTCCGCCACGGCGTCGGGCCATCACCCACCATTCCCACGTCCACCTCTCTCGTAGAAGCCCCGTCCTCACGCCACCCACTCGAATCCCGCCTGAAGGCCTGGGAATCCACGCAAGAGGGCCTACGCATGGAGACTCTGCGCCGCACCTACGGCATCGCGGAGCCGATCCGTCGGGGCATGGAGCTGAAGATCGCGCGGGACGGGGAATGGCGACCTCTTGCGCTGGGAGGCGGAGCGGGAGTCCGAAGCGTGCATGAGGATATCTTGCTTGGTCGTGAGGCTAGGATGGATTGGGAGGATGTGTTTACGGGCGAGGAGCAGCGGGGTGCTGTCAGTGTGCACGATGAGATGGAGCGGAAGTTGAAGATTTAAGGGCTGATAGATGATCCATTCGTCTTTCGATCGTGATAGTGCAGATGGGAATAGTGGATGGTTACCAGTCTGTCAGTTATTCGGACAGTTGGCTGGGTAACTATATCACCTTCATCGTTTGAGTGTCTTACACTCGGAGTTTGGCAGCTATGAACACAAGAGTCTGTCTTCGCATGTATACGACACAGACATGAATTAAGAATAGACAGGTTATGGACTTCAATCCATAATAGCAATCACGATTCTCAATACTCGTCTCGAAGTGAAAGTAATAACAATCATATATATGGACAGTGGCTACAATATACCACATTACTCGTTTATATGGTCGGTATGACCGGTATAGTGCAAATACTATAAACACAAAATAGTACGCCAGATATCGGCTACTTTCTCCGATGCTGTATGAAAAAGAGCAAACGAGAAGCAGTCGCTATCCCTCCCGACCTTATCCCCTCTTGAGCTGTCGGTGTATACTCCGGGGGTACATTTGGGAAAGAATTCTTACCTTACATGACTGTAGCAATAGCTTCGTCTTAATCGCCTGCTTCAATTTCTGCTGCTTAAAGGAAAAAAATCAAGACCTATCACGCCGCCCTATGCCCAGAATCCGCAATCATTTCCACACATAGATGCCAATTGCCCGTCTTGCCTATATTTCCCCCAAGTCATTCGGGCGGTTCTAGAACAGGATGTGATGCCGCCGCATCGAAAAATAGTTCGCTTGTCAAGTAGCAGGAGATGCTAAAGAGGACCAGATCATAAGATAACGCAGCATCCGCTACGGCCACGATGACTCCCGGCATCCTTGACCTTCTTGGCTGCCTCTTCCTCGTCTATCAGGTCCTGGGGTTTGATAGTCATATGGACGACGTTTCGTTGGACACTGAAATGGTAATCTACAGAAACATCATGTTAGTATTCCATACTCTTAAAACATAAAATATGTGGAAGGGAATCGTCGACTCACGATTAAGTTGATTGCGATCTTCAAGCATTTTGCCAAAGTGAATGAGTCTTATGGCACTAGGTTCCCTCGGTGGATGGTCCCATTCTTTCCTCCAATCTCTTAGTATCAATTCTTTAAGTGTGTAGACTGTGATGCTGAATGGATCCATCTTGCCATCCTCCGTCTTGCCCGTCACAGTCACATTGCGTTTCGATAAATATTTTTCGTCGATCCGAAATGGATGGCGCGCACCGGAGGTTAAGAGAAGCATAATATCAACTGCGAGATCACCGCTTTCAGCAGGATTGCTTGCAGGATCGACGGGATCTATCGTGAGCTCATGGTCGTCATCACCGCTAGCGGGAGCCTTGCCACGGGCTTTTGATGTAGCTGACTCCCCGACTGGAGGGTCCTTGTCTGGTACAGGTATTGGAGTGAGCGCAGCTTCGGTGTCTTGATCTTCGGTATTTGAGACGTCTGCATTGACCTCTGTGTTGGTAGGTTTGGGTTCGGTCTTGGATAAATCTTCCATCTCGACGTCGCTGACAGGCTGAGTTGCTGGCACCGCCTCTTCCCTAGCTCCTTGATCTCCGCTGGTAGAAAGGGACTTCACGTCCGGCATGATTGATTGCAACAAAAAGAAGGGTGATCGATCGCGACACCTCGAGTCGTACGGATTGCTGACGGGTGCGCGCAATCAACAAGACGGGTACACTGGTCGGAAAATAAATGGTCGATTTTTCTTCGGTTCGAGAGATGCACTCGGATTTTAGGATTGCCGAATTATTAAACACGAATTTGTTGAATACAGACGTGCAATTGAGAAAGACTTGATTATGATTTGTCGCCTTCGCCGGTCCCTGCCATGGAAAGCACGCAAGATGAAACGAATGCGGTGGCTCGAACGATGCGTGAATGGTGTAAGGGAATTGTCGAATTAGTTCAAGGTTCTGGTAATCATGTAGCAAAATTGGAAAAGTTGAGAAACAATGATGACGAGTGACCAAAGCTTCAAGTTAATGCAGGAAATGCAGTGCAGCAGCCAGTCGCCGCTAGTAATACAATCGTAAAAGATGGTGTCGATGTTATTATTCGGATTTGGCGGATTAGATTGGTAGGATTGACAGGATTTTAGGCCAGTAGCAGAGTACCGACAGTAGTTGGAAGAAAGAAGAACAATCGAACAATGTCCCAAAGTCCAACCAACGAACAATAAAATCGAGTCCGAAGTTTCCAGTTTCTAGTTCCAGTTCCAGTTTCCAATCTTACGGATAACGACACGACATAGCAACTACTCGATTATTCGCTTTTCGAGAAAGAAGCCCTGGAAAGCACGAATGAAATGGATGATCTACCTGGGCTGTCGCCAGCTGGGTCCTGGGGTTGCTGGGCGTTGCTGGGTTGTTCTTGCACTTTAGGTGGTTTTAGATGCCCCTTATTTCAGGTTGCTATTACCTTTCCTAGCGACAATGGTCCTACACTGACCCCTTCGTGGCCTATGCGGGAAACCTAGCCCCTAACCTTAGTAAAAATAGAGATACGCGTACCAAAGTACTTCGTATAATCAATCATCTTAAAACTTGCATCAATAACATTTCAAGTTACAAACCTTGATGACACTTCCTAGTTTGTTAACGACACCACAAAAACATTACACAGTAATTTATTCCCCCGAACTCTTCACCTTTTATAAATCATGCAAACTGACAAGGCAGCAAGGTGAAGATAATGCTAATATCACAGCTACCAGGTAGTTACCTAAACCCCGGATTGTGGTAATGGTAATAATATGGAGATAACCAATTCTCGGATCTTACTACCTTAGAGGGAAAGCGGCGAAATCCAGACGCCTCTATCGACCATAAACTCGCCTGCTCCTCAAAAGTCGAGTTTCATTCAAGATAGGGTTGTATCCGTCCGAATAAATCGCAAACATGACTGAATTTAGAGACACACCTCGCGGTTCACTGCAGCTTGCTAAATTCGAATAACCGGTCGAGAAAACACACCTCGTCAGGACAATCACTATCGGGGAGTTACAGAGAGTTGCAGATAGTCGCATCCAAGTATTTGAGTTTTACGTACGATCATTATCTCGAAATGGACATTCGAGCTGAAGATAGATTGGATCTCTCTCTCCCCTCTCGGCAAGGTATCCGTATCCTCCCCCGCCTTGGCGCCATCGCCTGGGCATTGGAGTATTTCTCTTCCCCACACTCCACTCTCTCCCCTCCCGCTCTATCTCGCTCGCTGGCTGGTCGATTGGAAGCACATGCACGTGTGATGGTGAACCGATGGTGAGCTATCAACTTCTAAATTGTACTTTGAGGTTTCAAGGTGAACAAGCCGTTTTCAGCAATGTCACTTTTCGGTCCGTGTGTTTTTGTTTTGATATTATCTTCTACCTTTCCCCGCGGAATGTGACATGGCAAGCGTGGAAATGAGTTGGATTCAATTCCCTTCCTCAACGACGTCACAGAAACCCAATGAACCCTCTACCCCCTGCTTTAATCCCGATGCATGCATAGAGATCATCCGTCATAAGAACTTTCAATATTTTTCTTTCGCTACTTACCTAGGCAGGTTGTTAAGTAGGCGTTTATTCGAATACCTGAGCCCCAGCCACCTTCTTACACCGCTTATTCGTTGTTAGCGAGGCACTTCCCTAACCCAAACTGCCAGACTGCAGTAATACTCATCGAAATGGAATTCTCCGCAATTGCTTCTACGCTCTAAAATCTTTCTAATACATGAAACTATTTCAATGGATTCCACTAAAGAATGGGGGCTGGCAAAGCTTGACAGAATGAAGACGTCTTCGCTTTGTTTGTCACATGTCCTAATCGACGATTAGTTCTATGCAGGACCCAAGCTAAACCGATATACATAATGCGGAACTACAAGCTCTGTCTAGTTATGCCTCGACTCAACTAGATGGATGCAGAAATTAACATTTTTCTGTACACGTGAGTTCATGACATACAATCAGGCCATTATCTACGTCCCTTCGGGCGGCAAGCCTAGCATCCCCGCAAGCTGCCGGTTTTCTACCGAGGCCGATTTCGCATCCTTCCCGTTCGTCCTCCCGAAAATCGTTCCGCATCTCCCGGCCTAGCTTCACATTATGATCTCGAGATTTTAATACAAACATGTACTAAAATTAAGATTCTAATATTTACTTTAACTACACCATTGTCTGTTCTCGCGAAACTCCTCCGTTCCTTTGTTGTCGCCTTCAGTTCTTCTAGGTTGTGGAAGAAATGCTTGCAATCTCTAAAATTACTCGCTGTCAGACTGGAACCACTCACTTGGTCTACACGAGCAAAATGATTCAAACTTATGGATCCCTAGGTTAAGAAGAGGAGATATCTAGACCATATTATTATCTCCTATCATACTTCAACTTTATAAGCAGGTGTTTAATTCACCAATACGCGACAACAGATTTATCGAGGCGTTCTACTTTTAAACCTTCACGCTTCCGTGCCTGAATCTCGCTATGCGGTGTAGGTATCGCATTTGGGATACATAGGTTCGATGAAGAAGGCCAGCCAAGAGCCCTTGGGTGTCGCTCCCTTGTGAGAGAAATCAATTATGAGAATTCACACACGCAACGTTCCCAAGACTAGATGGTCTATATTGAGTCGACATAATAGCGACCATGATTGCAATCCCATTTTCATATAGAGGTGCGCTATAACTACAGGACTATAGCACTGAATTCCATTGTAATTACAGTGGCATTGCTGCTTATGATGAACGAGCCAATCGAAGGATTGCATGGTGCTGATTGCCCATTTTACGTGGTTCCTGATGTGTAAGCAGTAACGAAATACGAACATCCAAGATAAAAACACGCGAAATTTATCATTTCTCTTAGATATACCAACTCAAAAGTATTCTCATCGAAAAGTCGACTAATTTAAAAGTGGTCTGGATGTGCTTGTTTTGCCATGGCTGTGTTACGCCGGTCTAATTCTCTTCGCGCCTCTACCTCAGTCGCGGTCGCAACCACTACCGCCCCCAGAAACACAAACGGCAAACCTAGAGAGGAAGATCAGGATGTTATTCAAGCCGAAGCAACCGAAAATCGTATATTGACCGATGAGTTGGTGATTGATGAGCATGGCTCCGCGAACAGCCAGTTAGCTACGTCCCGGGAGCATTCAGTCAGTCAGCAGAAGCTCTCACCAACATCAATCGCCTTAATCATGTTACCGCTTTGCCTGTCGGTCCTGCTATCAGCGTTAGATCTAACGATTGTGACCCCGGCTATCCCATCCATTGTCGCGTCTTTCCAGTCCTCGGTGGGTTATGTCTGGATCGGCAGCGCCTTCGTCTTGGCAAATACCGCCTTCACGCCGGTCTGGGGCTCCGTTGCTGACATCTGGGGACGCAAACCGATTATGCTCATCGCGATTCTCCTCTTCCTGGCTGGTAGCCTGCTATGCGCCCTCTCACCGCATATGGATGCTTTGATTGCCGGTCGTGCTGTTCAGGGTGTCGGCGCATCGGGTATGGGTACTATGGTTAACGTTATTATCTGCGATACCTTCTCATTGAGAGACCGTGGTCTGTATCTGGCCATCACATCCATGTTCTGGGCTGTTGGAAGTGCTGTTGGCCCAATTCTAGGCGGCGTTTTTACTACACGGCTTACGTAAGTTTCAAGCTGGCTCATCTTCTTAATTACTTCCCCAGAGTAAACCCGCTGTGCTGATACTCCCCAGGTGGCGTTGGTGCTTCTGGATCAATTGTAAGTTACCCTAGTCTAAAGCGGCATGAATATTTGGTGGCTAACATTGTATCGAGTGCCTATCGGTGCCGTCGTGTTCTTCGTACTACTCTTCTTCTTGAACATCACAACTCCTCATACTCCTGTCCTGGCCGGTCTGAAGGCTATTGATTGGCCTGGCAGCCTCCTTATCATAGGCGGTGCTTTGATGATACTTTTTGGGCTCGAATCTGGCGGAGTTTCTTACCCGTGGTCGTCTACTACAATAATTTGCCTTATTGTCTTTGGCGCCGTAGCTGTTGGAATTTTCCTGGTCAACGAGTGGAAGTTTGCTGCCAACCCTATCATTCCACTCCGGCTTTTCTCATCAATATCTGCAGCAGCTGCATATGGCGTATTTACATCCATTTTCTATGTTTATATCGGCCTTGCGTACTATTTGCCCCTCTACTCCCAGGCTGTGTTAGGTGCTAACGCGCTAACCTCTGGTGTCTATCTCCTGCCTCTCATTGTATCCTGTTCTTTGGCAGCTGCTTTTGGAGGAGTGTTCATTCAAAGGACAGGTAAGTATGTACCGCTCATGTATGCAGCAGAAGTGACGCTTGTTCTTGGCGCTGGATTGTTTCTTGATCTCAAGTTTGAGCAAAACCTATCCAAACTGTTCGTATTCGAAATCATCGCAGGCGTCGGTGTCGGTCTTAATATCGAGGCACCCATCCTTGCTGCCCAAGCCGCAACAACAGTTCGAGATACGGCAGCTGTCATCTCAACGATGGGCTTCCTCCGATCCCTTGGGACAGCCATATCTATCGTGGTCAGCGGTGTCATCTTTCAAAATGAAATGACTGCGGCAAATCCTCACCTGGTTGAGCAGATTGGCCCTGAGTTGGCCAAACAGTTCAACGGCGACCAGGCATCTGCCAACGTTGAGCTAATTGGAGCATTAAACTCCGAGCAGCAGGCGATCGTTAGGAAGGTATACTTCGAGTCGATGAGAGCAGTCTGGATTATGGTATGTGGAGGTTCATTTAACTTTCTCGCCTAGTGACAATTTAAACCCATTCCATCCATCCATCCATAGATTCCATTAAACCCATGATGTTTCTTTACTAACACGACTTTCTTTCATAGTATGTGGCGTTTGCCGGGGTTTCGGCGGTGTTGAGTCTTTTTGTTCGGGCGCACTTCTTAAATACCAAGGCAGAGAGCGCCGTATTGGGGGCAAATAGGAAGCAAACCGCTACGTAATACGTATCTATATGAGGCATCTAATTCTAAAAGAATTTACTATCATCGTGTGAGTCGACTCAAGATGCTGATCAGGTATAATGAAAACTCACCTTGCAGTTACCCCGATGGTGACCCTTACGAAAAGGGGCTTTCGCGCTTGCTGCAAATACATATAACACGCAGGACTTCAATTAAATCATTGTTGAACTTTGAAAAGCTATTGCGCTCCAATATTTAGGCAACTGGGATATTACTATACGGTAATAGCGGGTTGCGGTTACCCTATTCGTGATACCTGTGTACTTCGTCAGGTACCTCTTTCCCAAGTATCCAGCTAATTACGGTGGGAGCGTGCAGTAACTGCCGTCCATGATCCATTGTGATTTCCCTACACGCTCCTGGTGGTGTACTGACCCAATTCTTTCCTGTGTATTTTAGAAGTGATATTGGTAGGAGCGAAATTTTGTCATCTGCCACGAAACAAAATTGAGACTCAATTTCTCACTTGACACGTCGCACTCATACTTACTCGTCTCGATATCTTCTCCTCTTCATCTCTTCATTTCTTCGTCACTCATTTCATTCATTTCCTGGTAATTTCTTGAAGACCGCATCATTAAATACCCGTACTGATCAATCAGGAGAGAAAAAAAACAACCATGAGTATCTTGGCAAGAACCTTCGTGGTGTGCCTCATGGCATCGTGCCATGGAATTGCCAACTGTGCTGTCGTCCAGACCGCCAACAAGCAAGAAATTGGAGCAGGTTCATCTATCGTGGCCCAACATGCACCTATCACCACTGCTGGCAGCCTTTCCGAGAGTATTGTGCCTGGATCACTTCACACAGTGTCCACAGTCACCAAGATTCGCCAGGTTCCATTCCAACAACTTCGTGTCCTCCAGGATACCAGTCTAGTCAACACGACTTCTTCCCAGTCTTCCTCAATTCGCCCAACTCGTACCGGCGAGGACACTAGTCGTCCACCCACCTCATATATCCACAGCCCTATCATGACCACAATCCCTGAGCATGACCTAGCTCCCTTGTATCTCGACTGGCCTGGAGATGTAGACCCCGAGGATCTTATTCCATTGTTCCAGAGTCTCGCTGATGATGACAACGCCGATGTGATTCCACGCGATAACTACGACGACGGATATGGCTTTGGATATGGCTCCAGCACTGCCGGCCCTGTCAATGGCGGCTATGGTAACCCATCTGGAACAACGACTCCACCTGCTGGTGGCTATGGTAACCCCCCCGAGACAACGGACCTGCCGTCTGGTGGTTATGGAAACCCGCCGCTACCTCCCGCCGTCGTCGACCCAAGCATTGTCACGCTGCCAGACCCACCAACTGTGACTATTTCCCTGGAAATGTGGTCATCATCTTTTGACCCAAGCACATCTACAGATGGTGCAACAGTCGTTGTCGTCGTGCCTGCCCCGAGCACAGAAGCACCGGAGCCCGACGTTACAGTAACTGTCGCTCCGCCCCAGGCAACCTTACCCCTTCCATTATCTACTGGTGGTCCAACCTTTACGACTATTATTGTTCCAGGTGAGACTCCGCACAGTACGCCAGGCTATGTCTACACGACAGTTACTCCATCGCACACGGGACCACATGCCGTCACCAGCACCTTCGTGGTAGTGAATACACCTACGGCGCATCCATCTCCGGTCCCTATCGGTACAAGTACCGGCCGTCGTGTTCAGCCGAGTCTACGTTTCACATGGGCCATTACGATTGTTGCACTTGCAACTATTGCGGCGACTGGCATCATCAACGGACCGAAGCGAGCCAATGATCTGAAGACTACTCGACCTAAGCATTGTGAGCACTAAGTCTCGATATGACCTAGAATATAATTCGAACAAGGTTCTAAGGTCCAACGACCGCTTTCACCAACTTAATACGGAGGCATATGAATAGGGGGGTGGTAATGGTTGATATTTGATTTCGGAAAGGAAACTAGCTCCCCGATGTTTAAGGGAGAAAAGAGGAAAAATGCTATGTTTCGGGATTTCTTGGGAGCTGAGGACTGCAAAATTGTAAGGCGGTGTTCCGTCTTCTGCAGATTAATGATTCGCTTGTCACTTATCACTCGCTGAAAAATGCAGATGGCCTTTAATAATTCCCCAAGTTAGATTATGCGAGATCTTTATGATGTGCATATGCAAGGCGCTGCACTGCAACGAGATTACATATCCGATCCGAGTGGCCCTGATGAATGTGCCTGGGTGATATGATCTGATTCTTTGCCGAACATGACTCGGACTACCGAAGCCGAGAAGTTGAAAGTACGTGAAGATTGATATACATACCTACATACAATGGATAGTATCATCATTAATGTCCTATTTCTTTCTCTCCTTTTCCCTTACCAATAGGTAAGGTATTCTAGTCTGACAATTGCCATATCGGCGGCTTATCTACATACACTGAGCAATCTTCCACTTCCAACCGCTCGCCTCCCCGCGCCCTTTATCTGGGCTTATTTGAACTATCGTGTCGTATCGTGCTTCTCGCCTCCTCGTATCTTCTTCTACTCCTTAGATGGTAGTTTATGACTAAATATTTACTCTTCACTAAGTACCTATGCAAGGTGAGCTAAATACTTAGTATGGATGCAAGGCATATGGTCCTTGTCCTTGTTACAAGTAGGTCGCTACAAAAGTAGCAGATCGCCGTTACTTCCGACCCCCTGAGCCGGCTGCAGGACCTGCTGTGGCGCGTATTGATTAACCACATACGAAGCTTCGGTGCCGGTGCCGCCGAACGAGCTGTCGCCCGCCTCGTGGATGCCCATAGCGGCCATTTGCTGGATTCCGATGCCGGCGAAGTACGCGTCCGCGTCGTTAACGGCGTTGGCCATACTGCCGCTGTTCTCCTGGCCGAATACGTTCTGAGGGTTCCCGGTATTAGGGATGGAGACGGGTTGTCCGCCCATGCCAAAGGCGCTGAGGCTCTTCTGCGCGTCAAAGGCGGGAAGGTTGGTCGCTGTTGGTAGTGCATGTCTTTGGAGCGCGGGGGAGTCGGGGAGGCGTCGGGGACGTGCGCTGCGGAAGACGGTTTGTACCGGCTTAAGGTAGATGGTGGCTAGCGTGCCGACGTTGAGACACATCTCCTCGAGGGTCTGGGCGTCAAGCTTCTCGGATTCAGCCGTGATGGGCGGTTTCTCGCCCATGACCATTTGTTTCGCGACGTTCATGTCTGTGCTGAGGAGACGCCAGTACATATACGCGCGGTCCCGGAGGTCCGGGTTGTCAGTTTCTTCGGTGGCCCACTTGAGGACCTTGGGGACGAGGTCCTGGCCCTTGGTGGGGCGTTGTATGAATAGCTTGACGGTGGCCGTGAGGAGCGCTAATTGCACTTCTACCGGTTCCTCCGCGAATGAGTATAGGAAATCCTCAAGCAGGACGTCACTGTTTTCGATTCTCGCTGCGTATTGCCCGATGACCCACACCATTGCTGCTTTAGCTTCTGGTTCATCTAGAGAGTCGAGATGTTCGCATAACGTGCCGATTATTGATTCGTACTGGTTAGGGTATTTCCGGAAGATATTGCGGATAACCACAGTAGCCTCTTGGACAATATACGGGACCTTAGTCGCCACAAGTTCGAGGAGCAAATTTATGCATGATCTTGCCGCTGGCTCAATCTTAATGGCCAGCTTTCCGATGGCGCGAACTGCTTTCCGAACGAAATGAACGTCGACTTCCGTTGCATACTCCCTAAGTTCGGTTAATACTTCGTCGATGTTCTTCTCGTTGGCGAGCATAAATATCAGTTCAAGCTTCGTAACCTTGACATAGATCGGGTCGTTATATTTGCAGAAGAATACGCGGATATCGTTGCGAAGAACATCCGGTCTCCTTTGGAGTATGAGTAGCGCATTCCTAAGAGCAAGATATTGTACTTCTGGTCCCTTCGCAAGCAACGTCACTAGTGGCGGGGATAGTTTTCGACATAGTGCCGAAACTTGTTTCTCGTCTGCGATATAGTTCATCAGATACAAAATCACTCGAATACAGGTCAACACAACAGCCGAATTCGAATGAGATAAGCGCGGCGCAATACGTTCGGCTAGCAGGGTGGCTTCCCCTGATTCTTGAGGCACATAGGACATCAAGGCTTCGAGGATATATGTTTGGCCCCACCTATTTTCATGTTAGACAGAGTATAAACGATGATTATAGAGCGGTACGAACTCGGAACAGTCTGGTAAGATTGCTACCATCTTCGATGCATTGCTATAGTCGATAGTGAGCTTAATAGAATCACTACGTTCCCATATATCCATCAATCCGGCCAACGCGCTCGCAACAACTGTAGGGTTGTCGTCTCTTAGAAGCTGATTAAGCCTATCTATCAGATCGGACTGTTCGACCATGAACTTATCGTGATCGTACAATTTCGCGACGCAGAAGGCGGCCGTCTTTCGCACGTAAGGATCGGAGTCCCGAAGTAGGTGCTTGACGATGGGGACTGTAGCTTCGACGAATTCTTTGACGTGAACGTAGGACATAGTTCGAAGAGCCAAAGCTCGGACTAGCGGGTTCGTATCTTCCATATCCTATAAAGTATTAATTACTTATGACATATCATGGCATGTTTGTTGTAGCACATACATGCTGTAGGAATGGGATTGCTTTGATCGCAATCTCGGGGCGCATCCTCGCATAGTTAACTAGGAACAAGAAACACCTGCACATCTCTTTTTATAAGTGTCATCCTTAGACCGAGTGGTTTTTCGAATTGGCGTAGACGTACATCTTCTTGATCTCCAAGCTCTGTATGTGCATGCAACCTATTATATCGGGAAAGAGGGAGACCATCTCATTGTTGCTCATAGTCATGTTGGCGACGATCTTCTTCAGAGCAATCTTTTTCTGGGTGAAGTTTTTATCCTTCTTTCCGCCGCTGTTCAACTCGAGTCGCAGCTCGGCGACTTTCCCCTGTATAGTCATCGGTCGTAAGCCATAGTCCGGAGGTATGTACGATAAAAACATGGCCATTATGCGCGACGGGGGAGGTGGGTAGGATCATAGTGTGTTTTGATGACCCCGAAGGGACGTTGGGTTGGAGGGCGGCTCGAAAGGTTTGCCTTTATGAGATAACGGTCAAGACAGAATCGCTTTGGCGAACTGTGATAAATGTATAATATAATCAAATTGGGAATGGAAATGTTAAACCGGACTGGGATACAATAGAAGAGATACGACTGGTACAGGAAGGTCAAAGGTAAGATGTAATATGTATAAAGAAATAAAGAATAATGCGCCTACCCGAGCGAACAGCTTCGAGTCCCCTCCACCTTGGGCGCTCGACATGGTGGTTTAACGTTGGTTCCTGTCTTTGTCGGAATTGCCTCTTTGGTGTCTCTCGATATGTCGGCTGGTTGGCTGAATACCTAATAGGATCGGTCGAGATCGATAAAGCACCTAGCAATAGCAGCAACAGGGCGTAAGCAAGAAAGCAAACAGCTGTGGTTACCCCTCACGTAAAGCGTAGAGAGAGAGCTAAGGATTGCTAAGACTGGAACAGAATGGATTGACTAAAAGCGTACAATATCCTTTTAAGACACCTATTAATGCAACCATCCAATCGCATGGATTCACGGCGAGGCGGTATTGCGGTATTGGATGAGCGGTCGAACGCGATGCGCGCCGGGTTTTGATCCCGGCTCTTCGTAGAATGAGCGTATGATCAATTCACCGTCGATCTAGGTGGAAATGGAGAAAATGAATAGAATCGTATGGCGACATTATCGAAGTCAGGAAGACATTCGGGTACGGAGGAAGTTGTCGGCCCCTCCGTTCAATTCCATCAACGCAAGAAATAATGTTCGAAACCCCTGAAGGCGGAAAGTTGGACCTTCCGTTGCGACTAACAGGGATATAACCTTCGGGCAACAGGGGGCACATGGGGCACACGGACCATGTGCATGTGGATCGGCTACTTTTGACATAGCAACTAAAGCTTTGTCAGCTATCCCGATATGGCGGTTGTTGTGGATCATCAATTGTACACTCATCAACTTCGGCGTAACATCACCATCGAAAAGATAGAAGCTCATACAGCGACATATTACGTATTATTTTATTTATTTGACCACCGACGTACTACTAACGAGACTAGAATTCGCCGGTCGACATGTCTTCTGGCGACCTTTCCGTCCCTAAATGGGTTGTCGACCTTAAAAGTCCGCCTGCGCCTAGGCCGAACGCCGGCAGCATACCCGATCCGCCTGGCTACCCGACTACAGTATCAAGGGTATGGATGTATCAGAAATGTACTTGCTTGGAATGGTGGTTATTAATGATACATATACAGAAACAAGCGAAAGAAACCAAAGCTCAACCGCGAAAACAACCCACCCCCGAAGAAATGGACACGTTGAAGCTGAAGAAGGCTTGGGAAGTGGCACTCGCCCCCGTCAAGAATCTGCCCATGACTGCCATCATGATGTACATGTCGGGAAACTCGCTGCAGATTTTCAGCATAATGATGGTTTTCATGGCTTTTAAGAACCCCATCATGGGCATCATCACGACGAATCAGGCATTCGAAAGATTTGAGAGCGATAGTAACAAGACGAAGATAATACAGGCGAAGCTAGCCTATGTCGCTATGCAGATGGTGGCTTTGGCTGTTGGAGTGTGGAAAGTTAATGCGATGGGGCTGTTGCCGTAAGTTTGTTAACATTTAGTTGAGTGGATTATGCTAATTAGTTATAGAACTACCAGATCTGACTGGCTGGCTTGGGAAGCCCAACGAGAACCTCTAGAACTCGCAGTCTCTGCATTATAAAATTACAATCATTAATTAATATATCCCTTATTAGACCATTTCTTCTATTTCTCGCCAACTCCTGCCCCTTATTTTGTCTTCTCTATCCCGATCCCGATGTTGCTGCTGTCTCACTTATGGGCGCCACCTTTCTCGGTAACTGATCGCCGTGGGCGTTGGGTTGTCTGGCTTGCGTTTCGGTGACGACCGACTTCATGTTATGGTATGGGCCATCTGATATTGACTGTGCGTACCAACGTTCTAGGGGGTCCCCCTTATCTAGCTCTGCTTTCCACCACTGCTCCCTTTTAAGGGTATCTTCAATTGTGCATCGGCGATCTTTCCATGGGCGATTTAAAGGTATGTGCCTGGTATCTTTAGAGGCGTGGTCCACTGACGCTGGCTGCTGACTTGTCGGTGGTGTATTATCCGCATGTGAGGTTGTGTTCTTTCCATCTTGGCTTTCAGGGACTTGCCTTTTCTCATCCTACCAACACCATGAGCAACCCATTCACGGATTACTAAAGGGAATGTCATACCTTAGAATGTGATGCCTTGTGTTCCATAATGTGGTAACTTGTAACTAATCGTTTGATAGGTAACAAGTATACGATTTCTGCGTGTTCAGAGAGGTTATGCTACTTTTCTCGCGCTCTAGTTGGTTGAAACCAAATATATGGATATGTCGTGCCCATACCAGTGGTGGTTGCGCAGCCGTTATTCGCCGTTTGGGCTCGCACGAGGACAGGCAATCTCATGGGCCCTTAAATAGCATTCTTAATATCTAACTAGGCCCATGATGCTTTATATTGTCCATGAAGGTTGCGAACTACGGCAACCCCGCTTCAAAGTACAGATAAAAACCTTCAGCTGTCGGTCCTCCCGTCCGTTCTGGCTCTAGTACGTCTTGCATCCTCTTGCGTCTTCTGAGGGACAATATCAAGTTGTCTTCGTCGAGGTGTGGTAAACCCCCACGAGTCTCGCTTCGGCACAACCAACAACGTCGAATGGGGTGTTGCCCTTCTGGTCCTACCCAACAAGCCCAGAGAGGAAAAGACTAGGCTGTAGTCGGACAACCTTAGTCGGAAGTGTAATATCGAAGCCGCGGTGAAGAATTGTGTACATCATCTACCCCAGAGTTGTTGCCGGCTGCTCCAGGAGCAAAAAGACACGTCAAGCAGCCATATGAAGACACCTCTACTTTCAATCAAACGACCAATGAGAGACAGATTCCAAACCGTCGGGTCAGAGTTTGAATGAAGTGCATTTAACATTTTAACCAAGATTGATATCTGGGGAGCAGCTTAATTGCCGTTGTGGTGCATGGCGTGCAGCATATTGTGAACAGGTAACCCGGTTTTAAGTAGCGGTCAAATATGCTATAGCGGTCAGCCATTGACGAATGGTACTCAGTATATAAGAGTGGATACTTCGACGCATAAAATAGAATGGAGAGTTGGTGGGTGGCATACCACCTCGATGGGGGCAGTGTGGTTGTGCGGTTATGTGTGATAGTCAATATCACCTACGAACTTTCCGTACTAAGTACCTATTTCGGGGTTTATTAGGTAGTCAAGGACGTCTACGTGGCTTCGGCTACAGCGATTCTTTGGCTCGAAGTGTAGCATTGACAACGAATGGCTCTAATCTCGGCACTTTCTTGCTTGCAAATTACATACATACATACATACATACATGGATACACACAAACATACAGCCAGCACCGGCTTCATCTGGCATTAGTCTGTTACATCGCATTTCCATCAGCCCATAACACCACAACACTAACGCGAATTTCTAATTCCGGAAGGAAATTCTGCAACGAATTGTTTTATGTTCACCGCTTTGATTGCTTGCGCTTATAGTAGCTAAATCGAGTTTGGACTAGGTACCTGTAAGCATGATATCTCATCCTTCGATTGGGCAAGTTTGAGACATGGACGCATTCCCCACGTCACTCGATGCACGCCGCGGACTTGTGAATGAATGCGGCTCTGTACCTGGTAGCAGGGCTGCTTATTCACCCCACCATCTTTACTCGGAAGTATGATACTATTGTCATCTCCCGGGATATCTTCCGTAAATTGCGGTCTTCGATAGAACAATCCAGCCCGCAAAGGATATCCGATGTACAGATTACTCGAACAAACCAGATGCCATTCTTTCGATGATAGAGCGGGATGTTGCAGACTGGGCATTGATACCCCGACCGCTACTTTGCGGCTATGATCCTTACCGGCATTTCGTCTTTGAAGCTGAAATTTAGACCATGACGGGCTTAAGGTGGCTTCATGGCTTCTCCGGTACCCCCATCCAAATCCAGCCATATGGCTTAAGCCACCATCTTGTTTCGATCGCTGCAAAAGCACCCTGCAACTTGCCGTTTCGATATACAACTTCTGACGGGTTTTCATGCCAGCGAACTCGTCTTGGTTGATCACGCGCATGGTAATCGCTAATGGCGGGATCTAGAATCAGATATTTGAAAAGGTCTCGGTATCGGGGTTTGGAGCGCCCTTGTGCGCCTGCGTTCGACCACGGCTATTTAGAGCCCTAGTACATACCTACCCATTATCAAGAATGACCTTATGTGGCTAAAGCGTCCGTCTTCTACACCACAGTGTACGATGTACTTCGCAGATTATTACCTGAAGAATCGAGAATTCACAGAACTTGATAATATCCCGTGTCCGTGCAATTGAGGCGTGTCGTATACAGGAGTACCTGATAATTAATGATGTGAGTTATCACCCTGTGAAACCTTGGACAAGCTTACGGTAGTCCGGCATGCATGGCAACGATCCAAGCGCCGCGGACGTTTGACAACTAGAGTCTAGAGTTCATTTAGCTATGATGCGAAGTTACCGGAGTTATATTCCCTAATTCCTAAGCTTATCCCCTACTCCCGTTGTAGGAATTGAAGGAATATGCTCATCTATCACCTTACACCGACGATTGATTCGAGTACGATTCGAGTACGAGTATCCGAGCGACGCTGTTTGACGGTTGGGGGCGGAATTTGTTGTCTGTCCAGCTCCGGTTGATATGCTCGAAGGATCATTAGTGTCAATGAGCGAAAAAAAAACATACTTCAATTACTTTTGTCGGGAATAATTCGCTTCGCCTCCAGTGGCAATTCAAATATCGAGATGTTTAATACACCTTTGTAATGAGGTTGATGTGTGATAGCATTTCTTTCAACGCTCTTTCACATGTGCGATGTAGTGTAGAATGAGAATGTCTTAATTCAAGCTATGATGTAATAGTCTAACCTTAATATATGGGTTTGCTCCGCACAAGCTCCATCATATGGATACCAGAACGGTTGCGACAGTCCCCTATCGGCTTATCTTTCTATCGATAAACATCTAAGCGTGATACTCGTGACAATGCTTGGTCCTGTGATCATTGGAGTTTCGACTTTAAGTTCCTAGCAATTAATCGTTAACAACCTCTTTCTCTGATAGCAATTTTAGCCCGATAATCTCTGAGCCCTCATACCTTTCCTATTTAGGTTGCAAATAAGGGCTCCCATATAGAACATGCTCCATTGGAGCGCCTCTATAGGTCCCAATGGCTGACGCGACCGATCAGGATGATGTCAAGGCTAGCAACGGCCAGCCTTCTCAACCGCCAAGCCAACCTCCTCACGATACCAACCACGAGGCCACCGAAAATGGATCCCAGGAACCAAAACCATTAGAGCCTGCATTTCCTTTGTTACAAAATAATGCTAGTAGTGAAACACTGCTGCAAACTGTCCAGACGCAGAAACGGACCACGGCCGAGGACGACAATGAGGAGGAACCAGCCGTAGCTAGACCTTTCGTCCGGACAAACAGTCCCGATTTATCTTCCAGAGTAGCCACACCGCCCGAAGAGGAGAGAGCGCCCATACGATCAGCCTACAAGATGCACAAATTCACACTGTACGAGACGGCAAGCCGATATTACATCGTGGGGGGAGACGTTACCGAAAAGCGCTATCGCATCTTAAAGATCGATCGCAATACTCACGATTCCGATTTGAGTATAACTGACGATAAAATCATATACACCCAGAAGGAGATGAATTCGTTGCTTAATACTATAGACGACGGGAATAAAGGCACTGGTGGTATCAAGCAGAGATGTACGACATGGGGCATTCTAGGTTTTATCAAGTTCACAGGGCCATACTATATGCTGCTGATTACCAAGAAGAGCACGGTTGCGATGATTGGAGGTCATTACGTGTACCAGATCGATGGCACTGAACTCATCCCTTTAACGCCAGCAAAATACAAGACTGATGCTCGTCATGTTGAGGAGCAGCGCTTCCTGAACATCCTCACCAATCTGGATCTGACGAGGTCGTTCTACTATAGCTACTCCTACGACATCACTAGGACATTGCAGCATAATATCACCAGGGAGAGAATCGCTTTACTAGATGGTATGCCGGGCACTACATACGACGATTATAACTCGATGTTTATCTGGAATAGCCACCTTTTGCGACCCGCCGAAGAGGCTATTCATGACCCCTTCGACTGGTGTCGTCCAATTATTCATGGCTACATCGACCAAGCTGCGATATCCATATACGGCAGAACAGCGCATATCACCATAATTGCGCGACGGTCGCGATACTTCGCAGGTGCAAGATTCTTGAAGCGCGGTGCCAATGATTTAGGTTACGTTGCAAATGATGTTGAAACTGAACAGATCGTCGCTGAAGCCTTAACGACTTCGTTTCACTCGCCTGGCCCTAAATTGTTCGCTAATCCCCAGTACACTTCCTATGTGCAGCATCGAGGAAGCATTCCTCTTCATTGGACGCAGGATAATATGGGTGTCACCCCAAAGCCCCCAATCGAGTTAAATCTCATCGATCCGTTCTACACAGCAGCAGCACTCCATTTCGATAACTTATTCGAGCGATACGGATCTCCTGTATATGCGCTGAACCTCATCAAAGCGAGAGAGCGGACCCCAAGAGAATCAAAGTTGCTGGATGAATATACTAACGCCATCAACTACCTAAATCAATTCTTACCTCAGGGTCACAAAATCATTCATAAAGCCTGGGACATGAGTCGCGCTGCGAAGAGTAAAGACCAAGACGTAATCGGTACACTTGAAAACATTGCGGAGTCTGTTGTCACTACAACCGGCATTTTCCATAATGGCGATGGAGAGATCACTCCAACCAGGGTGCAGAACGGTGTCGCGAGAACAAACTGCATCGATTGCTTGGATCGTACGAACGCAGCTCAATTCGTCATCGGAAAGCGAGCGCTCGGACATCAGCTTCATGCTCTAGGCATTCTTGAAAACACAACCATCGACTATGATACAGACGCAGTGAACCTCTTCACTCATATGTATCACGATCACGGTGACACGATCGCAGTTCAATATGGTGGGTCCCAGCTAGTGAATACTATGGAGACGTATCGCAAGATCAACCAGTGGACGAGCCATTCTCGGGATATGATTGAGAGCTTCAAACGATATTACAACAATTCATTCATGGACAGCCAAAGACAAGAAGCCTACAATCTCTTCCTCGGCAATTATATCTTCGCTCAGGGACAGCCTATGCTGTGGGACCTTTCCACAGATTATTACCTCCATCACGCGGATCCACGAACATGGTCACAAAAAGAGAAGCATGACTACATTCACTGGTATACGCCCGCTTATCTCGAGAAGCGAACCATACCAGCTTTTGTACCACCGAAAGGGGAAATGGGCAACAAGCCTGTTTCGTTTTTCGATGACTACTGGCTCGAATATTATCGCCCATCAACCTTGTCTTCATTCCCGAAGATGTTTCCGTACAAGATGAATTCAACTATCAAGTACATACCCTTCAAATCAACGCAGGAAGGCAAATATGACTTGAGTCCCTTCCGCGTTCGCACTGAAGGTGACGGGGAGACGCACGAGAAGAAGAAATCCACGACAAAGAAGGAGGTGATTATTGTTGATCCATCGGAATCCCACAGATCAACAGCAGATGATGACTCCGAGTCCGTGATGACAGAGAAGGCCAGCGTCAGAGGGATTTCCATCCAACGCTGGCTACAGCCCATGCAGCCGGAAAAAGGTCCTACAATCCCTCATAGTATCATGAAAGATTCGGCGGAGAATCGTGATAGGCCGAAACAAACACAGCAAGAGAAAACCAAGGCCGCGCAATGGACCTTCGCAAACATCGTCCAAGAATCGCTCAACCCAACCGTCAGCGCGCAGGAAACGGAGGATTACACACGTTACATCAGCCACCCGCAGAGCCTGCCGTTGGTAATCTCGAACGACGCGCCGCCCGATGTCGATTCTTCTGAATACCAGGAGTATCTCAACGGAAGTTGGCATACGGAAGGCCTAGCCCCTAGCGGCGCCGAAGAGGATATCGACGGGTATAACAATTTGCTGAAGGTGGGAGAGAACCCGTTGACGGTGACGGACGAGGACTTGCCCAAGAAGAGATACAAGGCTTATAGGAAGTGGCTTAGAGGTAAATCGCTCTTCAAGCAGCAACCTCTCGATTAGGAATCGTCGGCTCAGACTACCCCGATGAGCGACACTTTTCATCTGGGGTCGCTAGACTTGGGCTCCCCTTGACAGCTCAAAGCTACTCTGGGTTTATATCCCTGAAAAGCTTGCTTAGCTGTGGCTCTTTCTCGATAAGCACACCCACTCGTTCGTGAAAGTCTACTTTGGATGCTTTCATTACTGCCGATAGGATGTCTGCGGTCTTGGTCAATTCGACTTTTAGGTCGTTTGCAATCGGGCTAGTGGATGAAAATGAGTCCTCGTCCTCGATGTTCAGCCAGCAGAGCATAAGAATCTTAACGACCTCATTGCAGTAGTGCGGGATCCGCGGCCAGCAATTACGCAAGATGGTCTGGAGGAGTTGGGTGGCTGAGGCGAGAGTCGGTGGGTGCTTGGTTCCGAAGGGATCGGTCATGATCTCAGAGACCATGGGGATGAAGTCCTGTTTTGAGCACGGTTCGTTAGCAGATCAATGAGAAACGGGCGTTACGGTATAGGCGTAGTGTGGTTTGTATTTGATCACGGGCAGGGGTTGGGCGGTACCTTGAGGTGTTTCACGGCTAGTATACCCATCCCGTTTATAATACACACGAGTACGTCGCAGAACAAGCCGACGAGTCGCACGTGCTCTTTCGCGTGATGGTATCCTACCATTACGCCCTCTCTGATTATCTTGTCTAGTAGTCTCCGTTGTGTTTCCGTGATTTGCTGTTTCCCATTTGTGCTTAATCCTGGACCGGGGTCGGAGCCGGGGTTGGGATACTTGAGCCCGGACATCTCGATTAGAGCGGGGTATGCCGCGTTTAGGATCTCTATAGATTCGTCTTCCGGGGTGAGGGTAGGGAGGAGTAGGACTGCTGGAAACACGGCATCTTCGAAGACTGAGGCGAGACCTGTGGTGTGCATCAGGTTAGGCGGACAGCGCGACCAGAATGAGCGGAATATCTGGAGGCCGCGCACTTTGAGGCCGGCGTGTGAGGGCTCGTCTAGGAGAGTTAGGAGCGCGGGGGTGAAGGATGGCCAGTGTGTTTGGAGGAGGGTGGACTGGATGGGGTTAGTTCTGGTGTATTCAATTGCTTTTGTGATTTACTCTAATATCTTCAGAAGATTAGGTATAGAAATAGAGCAAGCCACTTACATCTGAATGCTCCACCGCCCAAGAGAAGACAGTGATGGCATACCGATGGGTATACTTCCACGGCTTCGTCTCGGGAGTCTCCCGGTCTACGGTATCGTAGCGCGACTGTTCGACGAACTCGGCCTTCCGCCCGGATGCCGTCACGGCTGTGGACCGAGACTTGGAGAATAGCGGCCGTAGGAAAGTGGTGAGGATCTCCTCAACAATTAGGGACTTTGTCTGAGACTCGTCTAGGATCTGTAGTTGAGCCTCTAGAAGTTTGCGGGCTAGGGCGGATGATTCCGCTGTCGCCCAGGGGTCCGCGACATCTGTGAATGCGGTCAAGCGGAGTAATACCGAGGGTCGGAGTTGAAGTGGTGCTTTGAGGGGTGTGTTGATGAGTTGTTCTATGGCTAGGAGGCCAACTTCGCCCTTGCGCCGGAGTTGTGTGTAGTCGGTTGTGTCTATGCAGAGTTGGTGAGTGATCATGTCGCTCCGTACTGAATGAGAGGACTCATACCTTCGTCCAGTGAGGCGCCAGAACAGATAGGTAGGATGATGGAGCTGAGATGATCGGCAATGCCATGAAGCATATCATTCAAATCATCTTCATCGTTGCCATCTTTGCCATCTTGTTTTTTTGAGTTCTTGCCGATCTTTATGAGGGTGGCGTATGCGACCAAAAGCATGGGGACGTGATCCTGCAAATGCCCGCTTAGCTCAAAGCCACATGTAGTAAAGACGTATGGTAGACCATGAGAACCATGTGCATACCGATTTATCTATCACATTTGATAAAAACTCATTTAATGCCTGGACTATCGTTTTATCGGGAATTACTAAGATTGAAAATTAGCTAATTGTCTATGAGATGAGTTTTATGTGAACGAAGAACCCACATTTGAGAATGTCTTCACTTATCTCCCATGATGGCGTTTTGATTTCCTCTAGCCGTTTGCAAGCTTCTAGAAGTTCTTCAAACATGTTTATCCCTTCTTTTGGCATAGGGTGTAGTCGGTTGATGTCTCTAAACCATGAGTTGAGATTTAATTGAATGTTTAAATGCCGAAGTGCCGGACCGTCGCCAGGTGATTCGAAGCTGAGGCACTAGGCAGATTACCTAAGGCGACTTATCTAATGAACGCTGACTCAGCTGTTTTGCTTACCTAAGTAACCAAATTCAAGTTGAGTCCGGATTCTTCAATTGGAATGTTCGACTTGAACCAATCTTTAAATTTCACCTCAACAACTTCAAATGTTATTCAAACTAAAACTTGGGTTTTTTCATACCAAGGTATCTACATATCAAAATGTCAATCTTCGGACATTCCAATGCTTTAACAGACCCCATATTTTATGATCCTCTTTTCACAGTTGTTCGAAGTCACTAAAACATGCCACTAGCTTTAGAAGCCCAACACGCTGAAGCTGCAAGTTCGCGGCACATCGTGGGTATATCCATGGATATGTCTCAGCGTCAGCACACGTAACCACGTAAGGGATCCAGGGTACAGATTTCTTTATTTCATTGACTATTTTCTACTAAACGCCGTAGCTTCCGGCTACTATTGTTAATTTTAATTGCTAGCTATTTGAAGCTGAAGTTTCAATTTATTGAATTTAAATGAATCTATCAACGATATGCATCTTTAACTCACTCAGAATATAAAAATGGCTAGAGGTACTATAACATGGCTCCTTGGCCTTGGAGCTTTGATATTCGGTCTCCTTGCTGTATACCTCGAACCATTCCGAGAACTCTTGCTTCAAAATGCCGAGTACTATGAGATTAAGCTCCCTTTTTCAACCCGGGTTGATAGGGTTGACAGGGTCGACCCACCCGTCGTCTTTGACTTTGCCCGAGAACTCGCATATATGGGAAGCCGCTCAGATGGCGTGGAACACTTTCAAAATATCTTTTATGCTGAGGACACCTCTGGAAAGAATCGTTTCGCACCTCCAGTTCGCCTCAATCATGCGAAGGGAACTGTTATTAATGCTACTCAGTCTGGTGCCTGGTGTCCGCAAGGGACTGGTGATATACTGCCTTTCACTAGTCAAGTACTGAATATCAGTGAAAATTGCTTGAGTTTGAGGATTGCCCGACCAAAAAATACGGCCCCGGATGCGAAGTTGCCAGTGATGGTATGGTTACACGGGGGTATGATGCCCCTTTTCACGAACTGGCATCGATATTCTCAACCCAAAAAGCTGAGACAGCTTATGCGCCTAGTCTAGTATGAGGTAGCCTTAACTGACACTCCTCAACATAGGTGGTCATGCACTAGGATCTGCTTCAGATATCCTGTACCAACCCGATGGACTTGTCAAACAAGCTGTTACAGATGGCCAGCCATTACTTTTTGTCGGAATTAATTACCGCCTGGGTTGTAGGTTACCCCCCTCAACGCCACATTTAATGAACCTACTAACAGACCCTGATAGTCTTCAGTTTCGCGACAAGTAAGGCACTCATGGAAGCTAAGCATACGAACGTTGGCCTACGTGACCAGCGCGCTGCTCTTGGATGTATGTTTTTGACATAAGCTTAATTCCCTCGACCAATTATGCTGATATGCCTTGCTACAGGGGTACGTGATAATATCGAAAATTTCGGCGGCGATCCACAGCGTGGTAAATACTCCTTTCAATGAAATCGCCTCGTAACACTAGTTGACTAACCCTTGAGCCTATGAAAGTGACTGCAATCGGGCAGAGTGTTGGTGCTAGTGATATTAGTTTGCAGTTGATTGCGTACGAAGGAAAATACGATGTGCCTTTCCAGCAAGCTATGTGAGTGGCGTCCCGCGTCGAAATTGTCCACCTCCATATTGACTTATACAATCGTTAGAATGATGTCCGGCGCCTCAGGGCTCAATTTTAATACCATGTCGGACCTAGTAGTTAATAACAGCGCCGCGGTAGCTCATGGAGTAGGATGCATCAAGAACGGCGATAGCCAATCTGCTGAAACTCTTCAATGTCTACGAGAAACCCCTTTTGAACTTCTAACCAACCTCTCCGTTACGGCCTCCCGTACCGCGCGCCCACCATTCGGAGAGGCATTTTTCTATCCCACATATGACGGAGACTTCATTACCGATCGACCGACTGAATTGATGCGCGCCGGGAAATTCTCCAAAGGCGTGCCAGTCATCGCCTCTTGGGTAGCGAACGAGGGGGCATGGTACGCTCCTCCAACCACCTCAACTGATGAAGACGTGTTGTCCACTTTCGGACTCTGGCTAACCGGACACTCTGAATCCACGAAAGCTAAGCTGCTGGAACTGTATCCGCTAGCAGATTTCGAGGGGATGGTGAGACCGGATTATGATGGGCCAATCTCGGCTCAGTATTACCGCGCCGCGCAGCTGAGTAAAGACATCTGGTTCACATGCCCCATCCTCGATTTCGCATGGCAGTATGTCAAGAATGGTGGTGTGGAACCCGAGAAAATGCGCCTTTACAATTTCAATGCGACGCGGTATACCCCGGTTTTCGAGAACATGGGGGTCCCCTTTTGGCGCGTCGCGCACTTGAGCGACATCCCGTATGTGCTGAATAATCAAGGTCTAGGCGGAGGGGCTGATAACTCAGCCCCGCAATTGGAGTTGTCGAAGGTGGTGAGCCGGAACATCGTGAAGTTCGTGACTTCTGGGATTCCTGAAGGAGGCGATAAAGCGTGGCCATCGGCGTTTGATGGTGTTACGAAGGATGAATTAAAGAAGGAATTCCCAAGCAAGGTTGCGCTGAAGTTGTTTGGAGGGCCGTATGGGAACACGGCTGTTTCCGTTAGTAAGGGAGGAGATGAGGCGGTTACGACGGAGGCGGAGCGGGCTTTAAGCTGGGAGAGAATGTTTGAGAGGTGTGAGTTTATAAGTAGTGAGAAGGTTAGGGAGGAGTCTGGGGTATGAAAGGGTTAGCTGCGAGGTTTGGATGGGAGTTGGAAAGACAGTGGGGCGCTGGCTGGGTTGACGTAACGATCTGTTTTAGAACATGAATAAAAGTCATTGGGATTTGCCTAAGGTATGAAGATATTAGGCTTCATGATTTACGATGAGGTTGTGTACGTATTTTAATGGTAGTCAATTGGTCCAAATAACCCCTTTATAATATCTTCGCAACATAGCGACCTTGAACTTGCAGCTTTACTTCAATTAGCGTACGAAGGTCCCGGCGAAATTTTGTGACCCCGCGCTGCGGGTGCTGATGGGTACGGAGTAGCGTTTTTTAGTAGCTAAGCTCCCTAAGAAAGCTTGAATTATAGCGGATACCCACTAAAGCTTAGCGTGTAGATCAGTACTAAGTCTCAGTACCCACCCAATACAGCATGAAATAATTGCTTATTTCATCACGTACAGGGCAACGGAGGTCCGAAATTTTGGGTCGAACCTTCGTACTGGGTATAAGTCTATCAATATAGGAGTATGCATGAATGTATATACCACAATCCCATACGTATATCCCGATCATCTTCTTCCCCGCATGTTATTTACCCAACACTCATTAGTAGCACGTATTACCTTATCGAAATCCAACTTTGGAATGAATCCTATGAAGAAGACTTTCACGTTGTGCTCGATCGTGATGAGCTTGGCGTAATTCACTCTGCTTTCTTTGGGTAGGGGCTCGTCGTCTTTATAGCCGTCCACTTTGATCGGCGGGAATCCTAGTTCGGGCTCGCCTTTCAGTAGCCTAGGCTCTCTCTCCCCTGGGTTACCTGATACGCTGTATACTATCCCATGGGTCTTTGGGTTCACGCCGGTTTTAGTGCAGCCTCGTCTTTCGTAAGTGAGGATCGGGCTGGAATGAGTTAGCTAGGGTGGTAGATGTAATCTTGGGCATGTCCTTACACGCAGGTGGAATGTCCTTCTTTCTCGGTTGCGACGATTATAAATCTCCGGAATCCAACATAAAACTTGCTAGCGCTTCTGTATTTGACGCCTAACGTTTTGGCATCTGTTTTTTCCGACCATAAGATTTTGAAGACCTACGTTTATTAGCATGGTCAACGTGGTGAAAATGATTTCCTTACCCTTCCAAATTGGAATTCTGATTGCTTATGTACTTGATACCCTGTTATGTAGCGAGTGAGCTATGATATTCTTGTATTCCTATTCAATAAATGATAGATGGACTCACGAGCGTCTAAGAATGACCTGGGGTCCCCAACATCAACTCGCTCAGTCGGTATGGCCGGATATGCGAAAGACTTTACTGAAGCGGTTTCCGTGAGATCTAATTAACAGTTAGGTAACTTCAATTTATTGTGCATTTGGGTGGCAGTAAGGTTTTCATACCATCGATAGCAGCATGCCTAGATTTAATCGTAGGGTAGTTGACTTCCGATTCGGCACCATCATGAATCTCATATCCCGAGACGGACGGAGTCGAGCCGGAGAGGACTGAAGATTCGGATTCGGATTCGGATTCGGAATCCTCTGGCAGGTATTGAGGTTGTGTGTCAAATGACACCACTTTATCCCTAGTCGCAATCGGTAGTGATTGTTCGCTCTCTGAACGGGTTACTAGAGCTGTGGAAGTATCTTGTGTAAGATATTCATCTTCCAGGGATTGGTAAGGCGTACTTTGTAATGTATCGTCAATCTCCGGTATTTTCTGTGTTGTTGTTCCGATATCACTGTTTTGTACCCCAGGTTTAGAAGTTTCTGTTGTGCGTGAGTGAGCAATCCAATTATCTAGATTTTCCTCAAGATTCGGGGCCTCGTTTGAAGAAGTCTTCACTTGATCTTCCCCTTTGTCTTTCACGCTCCAAGCGGCTGGTTCACCCACGTTATCTAATGGCTTGTTTTGGGGAGAAGGCGCCATTGAGATATCCGGGGTAGACTCTTGCATCGAGGAAACTATTTCCGAGTTGATGTGAGTGGCTATTTTCTATCTAGGATTATCGTTTTTTACTCACGAATTGCTGAACTCCTTCCACCTATGCTTGGATTACTCCAGAGCTTGCTGTGGTTAGTAGATGGCTCGGAAGATGTCTCATTTTCCCCTATCTCTGGTATTTCTGGGATGGATGCTGAGCCTGCCCTGATGTCGTCGTTGTACCAATCATATAGACGAGCCATAGGTCCTGTCAATCGATTCTCAACATTCAGCCACGGTGGTCCATATCTAATTAGATGCTTCGCGCTAACATATTGGAAGAGAAAAGCCTGTATAGGTAGTTTAGTACCTTTAACTCATGGAAATGTAAAGAAAGCTTTACCCACCTCGTATCGTAATATATCATCTCTAGACATTATCTCCTCTTCACCCGGCACTTCGAGTTTAACCAAGTTTTCCAAAACTTGATCAAAGAGAATTTTTAGTTGTAATCCATTTTGCTTGGCACTCTTTTCGAGGTCAGTGAAGGTTTTTGGGAGAATCTGGTCGACAGCACCGAGAACTGTATTAAGGCCTCGGTGTTCTTTTCTTTCCGAATGATACATATGAGAGTCAGGACGATCTACTAGATTAATTAACTGAGTTCCCGCAAAAGTCTGATGTGCCATTTGATTGTCGCTTTGTGGTTGTGTTTCTACGCTTGAATCCTCCCCGAGGCTTTCGAATTTGTGAGAGACTATGACTGGGTTGCCTATCGCAGCTGGTGTACCATCGACATTCGTCGTAAGCATTTCGATGGGCTTTTCACCCTTGGTAAATCCAATGAAGGTGACGGCAGGGTTTCGGGGTAACAAGTCCCATACCTGGAGGGGCATTTCGACTAATAACAGCTCCGAATAGCTTTGATATAACTTTTCAAACTTGACAACACACTGGGGGGCATCAAGGATCCACTTCTTGAAGCTCTTTAGAGCCTCAGAATTACAGTCGTTTTCAACTAACCGAATGGCTAGTAAAACCCTAGGCAGTTCATCTTCGCCATTCTTGCTATCATCGTCGTTGGGGGTTTCCGGTCTTTGTTGCTTATTTGGGGCTAGGAAGATAGTCCTCGGCTCTTCATTCTCGGAGAGAAACATATGAATAGGGGTTGTTCGTACTGGCTGGGTTATAACTGGTTCCTTGGTTTTGTTATCCCTTAAGATTGTACCATCCCTGTTAAACACGCCGTGAGGTATCCAATTCTGAAGTCTATCTATGATTTTTCGGTGGAGATCAGTTACCGATAAAGGCATAGAAGATTTACTAGCTATAAAAAGCTCATCATAGAGAGCATGCGTAAAAGAATCGAGGCCGGCGATGGGCACTTTGGTTTCGAAGCCCCCAGCAAATAGGCACTCAACAATAGCCCTGCTCGGTTCGTCGTTGATTGAATGAGAAGATAGAGAATGGCAGCAATCATAGATCAACAAGACATCTGGTGAATCATCTTGGGCGCGAGCAAGGATAGGAAGTATGTTGTTCGTATCGAAACTGGCCCCCGGCTCCCCTGCCGTAGGTTTCCTGAATTATTTTTAGCGTTGTAGCATTAAATGTGTATATGTATTATAGGATGGTAAAAAAGGGGGTATGTAGGGGGTAGTCAAAACTTACTTAGGGTACCATATTGGCGGAGAACCGGTGCGCAAACCAGGTCTAGCATGACCAGCGTAGTACACAATCAGCAAGTTCTCCTGCTGGCCATATTCCTCAATAAAACTGTCAACTTCTCTTCGTACCCTTAGGTCTGCCTTGGAGGTGGGAATTATCAGTCGATGGATATTGTAACCGAACACATCTGAGAATACACTACTCAGTCGCTTAATTTCATTTTCCATGCCACGCATATCAGTCTCTTCCCAGGTAATAATCAGTACATGGACATCAGAGTAGGTGATATGCCGTTTAGGCCATGCGGCATCTATGGCCTTAGTAAGGTCACATAGCCACTCGCCAAGTTCGAGGTGATATCCCGAATTTGAAATATCATGTGATGGTATGGTTCCGCGAGATATAAGGTCATCGTAACTGATCAGTGCTCCGCATTTACATCTTAGAGACGTAGTGCCTAGATTAAACGAATCTGGTGTGGAGAGGGCTGTCTCGGTAGCCGCAGTAAAATTTGGAGTGAAGGTCGAAGTGGACTCCAATTGGGGGCTATAGTACTCGCTTGACGATTCATCCTGTCCTTGATCGTCTAAATCCTCTAAGCTGTCTATTTCTATAGACATACCTGTCAACGATAAACCGTTGAACTGGTTAAATTCTCCGTTTTCGATAAGGATATGAGATCAGCTCAAGGATGCTTAAGAGTGGCATTCTTGTCTTTGCCATGAGTGGAACAGAATGAAAGCGAGTGGCTTGATAAACTATACAGGTGTGCTTTCCAACACTAGCCCATCTTGGAATACCATGCATATCAGAGCCTTGTCCGCCCCCTGGTCAGTAACGGAATAAGTTGATATATGACCAATGGATTCGAATGACGATAAAAAAACATAAAAGTTCGAAGATAGGTAATTTCTTCCCGTTAGATAGTTTAAGAATGACGGAGATACGCATATCTCTACGGAGAAGTAAAGGCAACAGAAACTGGGTATGAGATGTGAGACACGAAGTCACCGAGATTACGGCAACTTGTGATGGGGATGAATGGGCGAACATTCAGCTGTAAAGTTAGCCAATAACAAGTCGACAACAACCTTACTTTGCCACCATCTCTCGCTTATAAGGGGCTAAGCAGTTTGGCGTCTTACCTGCATGAATGCAAAAGCCCAAGCAGGGATAACTCCTATACATCCATTGATAAACGTACTTATACCTGGGCAACGGACGCAATCTATTAGGTACCTATGCACTTCTAATATCTCGTCGAACCGGAGTTCGGCCAATGGGGATCCCGATGGCAGCTGGTCACCTGGCATCGGAATGGTATAGATGAAGAGCATACCGACCGCGATCCTACCCAAAATTCACCGCTTTCTCATCTGCCAAGTCCATGTTGTACCAATCTCGTCACAGTTAGAAATTTACTTTCCTAACTGTAGAAAGACAACTAATACAGCCGAATATCTGCATCCCGTTAGAGAATTCCGAATAAACTCAGACGTAGTTTCATACCCTGCAGTGGCTGCTAGCGTTTCGAATGGTCTCCCAAGAGTAGCGAACGACAGGAAAAACACGCAAACGATGATGAAAGAGGTGATGACAGCCAACTTGGAAAATATATCATCAAGTCGCTGAAGAATCCATAGTGGGGCTATTAGCATTATCAAGGCAATAATCAAAGTTGCAAGCGATCCAAAGGCATCTATAGCCCTGTCGCTAAAATGAAATATCTCGTTTCGGTCACGCAGGCTCAGACTGGGCGGCGGATTCTTCCTGAAGAGGCCCATAAATATTTTAGTCCGCCGTATGATCTCGTCCTCGAAGAATAATCGAAGAATGGCTTTCTTCTCCCCGCATCCAGATATAAGATCATCTCGATGCTTGATGAAGTCTGTCTCTTCTTCCATAATCGCGCCCTTATTACATTCAAACCAAGTTTCGATGTTTTGAATATTTCTCTTTGGTGCTGCTGACATATTCATTAACGAGCAATGATCTAGTAATAATCCGTCTAGATATGATACGTTAGCAATCAAAGCCCAACCCCAACCGTTAGGTTGATTGGCCATACGTGTGAAATCAGCAAGACATACCATACTCCTTCAGCTTAGCAATTATCTGGGAGATAAGTTCAGCTCTTTCCAATACGTCATCTCTGATTGTACCGTTATTGATATCTCGAGCTTCTGGCGGTTCTCGCCCGGTGCTAACACATACGCTTGGATGCGGATATTTTCCAAGCAAAGTCGAGTCAACGACAACAGGAGGATTTGATCCAACAAGCTTCGTCGTCTTTAAACTGAACAACTCATCCATTGCATCAAGCCTTTTCTCTAGTTCAACTATTTGATCTTGGAGTGTTAGTAATGCCCGTGAATGAAGTCGTCCAAATCTTCGAACTGCGAAAAAGTCCGCATCGGCCGCAACGCATGCGGTAAAATCTTTATAGCCTCTATATTTCCTGATATCGATGATGTGAATGAGTACCTATATCGCGATTCTCTGGGGAGTAAGACATACCATGGGAGCTCTTCAACTTCGCGTTGCGTTGGGATTGAGGAAGCTGGTATCCCTATCGAAATCCCTGTCAATCCAGCCATGATATCTTCCTGCTTAGGTAGGTTTCTACAGTAATTAACTACCTACGTAAAGGTATTTCATACAGGCCATAGTTTCTGGAGGATAACTTATAGGTATATGCATCTGATGCACTTTACTAGGTAGAAATGGAAGTACTAAGCCCCTCAGACTCCGCGTATGGAATAGTGGCTTCGGAGCCTCACTGGCTGGCAGAATTTCGAAGGAGTCATATGCAGTCTAGAAGCAGGCTGAGGCACCAAAAAGTGCCTACCTTCTACTATACCCCGCTTATAATCGCCCTTCAAATATCCAAGCCTGCCGCTGATTTAGGGAGGAATTATTCGAATACTAATAAGTTTCTCGCCCAAAAAGCCTGACGTGCGCCTAGAAAATACCTAAAACATAGTATGTCCCCTTAGTAGCCAAATTATTACCAATGTCATGGAATAGCACCGATTGACTCTAGTGGTAGTACAGTTGAAAATGTCCGATTCTGCAGATCCTAAGACCAACAACAACACCAAGCCATGCGATGAGGCGGACTTGACCAGCGATAAGCCTGAAACGACCGAGAACGAGCAAGAAGAAACTGACCCTCAGACTGCATATGCTGAACAATTTGATGAAGAGGAGGAAGAGCATTGGGCTGATTCATATGGGGATGGGGATGAACAGCCACCAAGCCGAGGCGCACTACACATGGGAACGGTCAAGACCACTGTTCCGCCGAAGCCGCCCCCAAAGAATAACCCTTAAAGGAAGGAAAAGACTACACACACCGCGAATATTACTCTGGGAGCTAGGAGCGTTGAGTTGAATCAGTTGTGAATACAAGTCTAGTCTTAACTCCTTTCTCGAGCTTGGAGAAGTAAACCTGTGATATAAAACGTTCAATGTGCATCCCTAAGAGCTCTGCAAATCGTAGGTTATATCAGGGTAGGTAGGTAGTCATAGGTATCCAATCATATAATTTACTATTCTACCTACCTAGTACCTAAGACCTTTGACAGTCAAGGTAGTTTATGAGAATTTACCCCTGAGCCCCTTAACTGCCAGGTAGTAAAAGGGGTTATATATGGATCCAGTGACCCACTATACAAATATCAGGAGTAGGTAATAGTACCTACCTACATTTGCATGCTTAACTTGAATACCTACCTACCTACCTATCTTAGCTAAACTTGATAACGATTAGGGGTAGGTGCTGTCTAGGAATTATTATATTTTTATGTGAAGCTGTGTCACGAGGCGGAACCAGAAGGCATGGAAACCACAACGTTGTCGCGCCAGGAGCTCCTAACTACTCTCGCTACGAAGAACACGGTATGCATACAGATAAAGCTCTTGGTCTGTTCTATACCCAGGACTAGCGGCCCACCGGACCCTACGGGCTCAATGGGGACCCCACGGGCTGAGCACCGATCCCATAGACCCCCCTAGCTACTGGTCTGGAGGAAGACTAGACGTCTGATATAAAGATTATGTAATGTCAGATGTTTAAGAAGGTAATACCTAGACAGAAGTATTCAACCCGAATCGGGAAGAGTCCTCTTGAAAAGAAATTTCCCATCCGAAAGAGACCAAGAGGCCATTTTCGCTAAAAACTCCAAGGGTCCTAGTTCGAAATTCCATGATCGAGGTAAAGATATACCTAGTGCTTGAAATACGGATAGTTACAAGATCATAGCAGAGGTTTAGCCGCTAACGGAATGATGGCGTCATCACCGAGTGTTATGGGGGGCGATTATACGGAAACTTCGCGCTTAGGTACCTGATATAGTAGGTAGTACTTTGAGGCTGTGATTCCGTGCTGACGCTGACCATCCCTATCAATCCACATCCTTTGAAAAGGGGTTACATTACATAAGCAAATCGATTACCGAGTTCGTTCACTACGACATCTATGTTTATGTAACACGAAACTCCACAACCACGTATTTCTTCAATAATTAATTCATGATGTCCTCGAACACAAAGATATGCGAGAGGATTGATGAGGCATACAGGATAGCAGTATAATTCATGGGATACCGCACGTCGTATGGCACGCCGTGAATGAAGGTGGGAACTTAACACATGTACAGAAGATAAAATTGGTCGCCGAAAACCGAAGACTGCGGTGCTATGTAGCTCGAATAACCTCCATCCCCCGCCCAACGCCATTGATGCCAAAAATAACTGCTCATACCAACACACTAGGCTACCAGCACACGCAGAACGGGAGACCTCGTGTTTCGGGTAAAACGATTGGAAGGTAAGAATCCTTTCAATACTATTTCACCCTATTTGAGGTAGTAAATCGTGGCCTGAGCTAGCGGCGCGTCGGTATATGCACAAAAACAAGAACCTATCTCACAAAGGGATTTTTGGGGGTATCTGGTTGCTCGTCTAAAACTAGACCATACCCAAACGTCATATTCATTATTGATTAATGTCTTCAGTGCTCGTAACCGGCTCCACGTTGCCAAGGGCTATATAGTGTTAATAAATACTGGCTATCAAAAAAAGAAGTCAGGGCAGGATCTCTTACCTTGGACTAGTGGGCGGTTTGAAACCTGCCGGGCTGGCATTGTTTTGTGCTCGTCCAACCGACGATACTGAGCCGTTATATGGGCTGGCAGTTCTGTTGATTGGGTCGACAGGCGAGCGGGGTGGAGCGTAGTGAGATGGGGCGTGGTGTGAGTTGTTAATCGACTCAATCGCAGACCCTTCGCTTCGGTATACAGAGCCACGGTTGTGGGAGGATGAGTCGTCCTCCAGATCGAGAACGGATGAATATCCTGGCTTCTCGCCACGTGCAGTTATAGCCAAAGCATCGAGTTCGGTGGTAGTGGCAAGCTGACTCTGGGACTTCATGAAAGAGGTCCGGTCATCGGCCATAAACTTATAGCGTCCGTCAGGGTTACCATTGAAGATTACTAGGCCTGTGGTGACAATCAACATAAGCAGGAGAACCAGTGTGCAAGCCGCATTCAGAATCCATAACACCACACCCACAACACCAGTGACGAGAGGTGGCTGATCGAAAACCTTGGTGAAAATTAACAGGAAAATGGCGTTGATGAAATTGACGGCGCAGATGGTGATGTTGAAAGAGTTCGTCTTCTTGTCCATCCAAGGTCGTAGAACAGCGGCAGCAATAAGAGCTGCGGCCTCGATGAGAATGAATCCGATGGCTTGAGCGATGCCAGAGTTCTGGCCAAATGCGATGAAAAATGATTTCACGATAGTGTACCCAAGGACCGGAACGATGAAGTAATAAGCAGAGGCACGGAATTGGATGTAGAGGAAACCTAAGAAATATCAAGTTAGTAAACGCGTGATACTTCGGCACATGAATTAAGCCATCATTGACGGAAATTCATGAAGTATAGACACTTACCCCATTTGTTAAGGGTTTGAGGATCAGAGAATAGGATATAGGCCGGGTTTCTATGCAGTGTAACTGATCGACGCGCAACACGGATGACCTTATATGCTGCCCAGCCAAGGACGGCGTTAAGAGCAAGCAAGAAGAATACAGCCATAACCATCAACGCAGGTGAGTCATTCTGGGTGAATTCCCACAAGCAGAGGATGGTCACCGGAGGATGCCCGACGAGGGCCATTCGGAAGAGAATGCCTTTTAGAACAGTACCTACAACCCACATAAGTCAGTATTCAGCTACTATGAAAAGACGGATATAAAGTAATATCAGCTTGGGAGCACTCACGCCAACCGTTGCGGAACTCTAGGAAGGTATCACCCTTCATCCATTTTTGTTTCGCAGCCAATTCGCAACCGCCCTTAAAGGCAACCACGAAAAAGGTGGTCAGAGCCATGATGATGTAGAAAAAGACGATTCCAGTGAGGAAGAGATTTGTGCTCTCAATTCCCGCTCGAAAGGCGACACGTTGGATGCCATACACGATATAACTACCAAAGCTGGTCTGGACATTCCCACGCTTCATAAGATTCGAGCCATGTTCCACCACGCTACGAGGAAGCATTGACGCTCCACGTTCAAAAAGATCGAGGGCACGTTTTTGGACCTGAACGGATACCGTCGCTAGAGAGTCTACCTGTGTGATTAGCGTGGATGCAACACCCCCTGTCGATCGCTGATACCAGGTGAAAATGCGTTGCACTAGAACATTAGAAGTTAGCAAGAATTCTCACGATACCATCGAAATCACCCCATAGTGGTGGGGGATCATAGATTGACATACTCCACCCGACACTAATAATACCCATGCTCCACTGGAAATCTTGAGTCCAAGACTGCACGACGGGGGGCAGTGGGATTCCGACAAGGCCAACCATAGCCTGAGCTTGGAAGTAGCTCATCAGCGACAATGCGCTCGCAGCCACATGGGAAGCGGCATTCGTGTGTCCCAAACCAGATAAAAATGCGGAAGAAGCAAGGGCCAAACCAGCGACAACGGCAGAGGCCCATTTTACACCTATCAGATTGACAGTTTGTCCGTTCGAGATCAAGGCTTCGACGCAAGCGACGCTTTGGCCTGCTCGGTCGCCATCAGTGGCATTGATAAAAACCTTAACTTTAGCGTCGAGATCGGGAAAGTCGTAGGCGATGGAAGGGATATTGCCAGTAGCATCTTTGCCAACCGGAAGCACAAAAGGATCTCCCAACTTTCCAGATATCATGGGGCAGAAACCTGCTAGACCGACATCACAAGGATCAATAGTCCTGTGAAGAAAAGAGTATCCATAGGCGCTGATATCGATATCGAAGACAACCTTCGCTTCAATGGTTGAGATAGCGGAGATGTTGACATGGGCGACACCTTCACTAGGGTTATAGACAACGTTAAATAAACTGGCGGTAAATCCGGAGTTTTCTTGGCAGATGTTAAGGGAGGTTGATTGTAATATTCGTTCGGCCGTCGCGGGAAGGATGACCGAAGCAAAGGAGATAGCCGCCAACAGCGGCGCTCCCATCGAGAACTTCATTTCCTAGAGAATTCTTCAAATCCGACCAGCGTTCATTTAGCTTCCCCTGTCCACCTAAAATAATTTTGCGATCAAGTCCAGATTGATGCGATCATGAAAACGGTATGCTGTTTGTATGATCTCCTTCCGCTAACCACAACGCGCGCGACACTAATTGTTGTCTCAGATTGATTCGGGTCGTAGTCTGGAGAAATGCCCAGAAAATGGTTGTATAAACGTTGGCTTCGTGAGGGTTAGACAGATAGTGTTCAAATGGTGGCGAAGCGAGCGAAATGTACCACCTAAAATTTTTAAGGCGACGGAAGCGGAAATAATGAGGTTAGAAGAAACAAATACAGAATACGGGGAAAAAACGAATGAATGAACGAACGAAGGGAGAAAAAAGGTGTGAGATGCGAAATGCAAGGTGATGGAAGAATTAGTTGTTGGCAATATTGACCAGTTGGTAAACCCGGGGGGGTCGCAGTACTAGTAATACAGCGTAATACTGCACAGATTTAACGATCCCTCTCGCTCTGTTGTGCCACAAATGTCCACAATGTCCACAATGTGACGGTCCAATTCTGGTTCTTTGCCTTCCCTAAGCTTCCCTAAGTCGACCTTTGGCTGCTTTGGTTCCCAGTGCGTCGACGGATCTGACACCCCTGGGGCAGTGCATGTGTATGTGCAGACTGTTATGACATGGGGTACACAGCCTCGGTGACTTGCCGGGTACTAACAAACATGTCCACATTCAATACGAGACTCGCATTTATTGGTAAGAAAATGGTGGTCTTGGCACGCGAGATAGCGTAGGTAGTATAGGATGATGGCGAACGTTGAAAGATGTAACTAGATGATGATGGATTATGTTTGAAAAGTTTTGGAGTTTGATAAAGTTAAAGTTAATTTCAATAATGTCGCTGTGATTTATTCAATTAATTCAAGGTTACTACTAGGTAGACATTTATTGCACAAAAGATACTTCATACCTAGTACTTTCTACTATTCATTAACGAAGGTGCACTACATATTACATACTAGGTACCTACCCAGCTGCCCAGGTATTTGTGCCTCTTTACTAAATTTAAATGTAGAGGTGATGTACCTTCAACCTTCCTATCCCAGATTTTAAATATGGGGAAGTACGAAATACTTCAGTAATTTCTTCAGTTAATCCTTCTGCCTGCCCGATTCGTTAGATCAATTTCCGTGCCGCACTCTCCAATGAATTCCAAGCGTGTCAATTGCCGATAACCGTCTTATGCGTAGAATTACAGTTTCAGAGTCAAATAACTTCAGACAAATAGAAACAAGAGAATCGGTTGTGAAGGAAGGCTCCGTTCAACCCATCTGATGCAGGAACAAAAGGTTAAATTCAAGAATGACGGAGATAATGGAGATATCCAGTTTGCTAGCGTGAACCGGAGCCCCGGCCCCCACCTCCCTCCCTAACAACTGACTAAGGCTGCAAGGGTTGCACTTCGAATCGGCGCTTGCCGATAGGGCGAAACGCCTAAGACTTTTTGATCAAAAGCTTCAATACGGTAGTTCCAAACGTTATCTTAACCTCTATCACCATCTACACTATCATCACTTTGTAAGCCAAGACAATTCTCAATTCTGCAGGTACTAATAGTACCAATTGTTGTTTTACGCTTCATCGCACGACCGTCAATACTGCTAGGCACCTATATTCGTCTAAGGTAAACGAGCTAAGGCGAAAGACCCGCATTCATCTCCAAATGGTGTCCGGCACATCGCGGTTCGTGTCACCGTCAAGGTCAAGGTATCCCCATCTCAGAGCGGATAAACTAGACAATCAATCCCTGCCCCAAGTAATGACACAGCCCAAATCTGTTTCATCGTACCCGACTATTAATTATACAACAACCAAATCCGTGAAATACATACGACTTGACAAATAGTTCGGGATGGAGCCCTGGAACACACATCACTCGACCTCAAAATCGGGATAGTTTCCCTTCCTACTAAAAAAACTCATCATTCTCCGTAATTGCCGAAGTGTCTCTCCCACAAGCGAAAATATCTAACGCTCAAGCTTGAGCCAACCGCGAATGGATGAAACGCAGAGACCGTAAGCTCATCTTGTCCGTTACCTTTATCACCTGTGTACTGAGCTCTCCACTTCGTATGACAAGACCGGCACTGGAAAAGAAGGTTATTGTTGTTGTCGATGAAGGTCATCCGCTCCAACTCCTCCGCTGACGGTTTCCGAAACACACCGGATTTGTGGGCTTTCGTCCTCTGGGTCACGGGGAAGGCGGACACGATGGAGTGAGTGAAAATAGGGCTGTTCAGGGTCGCATATTCAGCTGCGTTTTTCATAATTAGTTTATTTGCCGGAGGATTATGATGAGGGCAGATCCTTAACGGGATGCGAAGGATATCATCAGGTCTCAATGGCCGCTCAGGAGAAGATAAGCTGATACAGTGGTCATGCCGGATAACCAAACTGCCCCGGGTACGGTCTCTATCGCGGCCTCTGACGCGACGCGCGGAAGACGAAACCGTGTATTTGAGGTAGGGATGCGGGACCCGGAACGAGCCGGAGAGATACTCGATCGGCGAGTCCGAATCAACGGGCGAAGATTTCATTCCATGCAGAAGATGCTCCCAGGCAAAATTGTAACCAAATCCGGCGTCGTCCAGAGGCAGGAATTCCATAACCGGGCGCTGAGACGGGCAGTACAGCTTGAACTTGAATTTCCGATATTCACTAGGCCTTGCCAGAAATGGGTACTGTCGATGTAGTATCATACAGGCCCTGCAAGCTGCGAAACCCGGCTCCCTTATGTCGTGAGTTAGGAGCCTCATCAATCTCCATCGTGGCGGTAACCGCATCTCAGTCTCTACGATACTTTTATATTTCCATGACGATGTACCTAGGGTATGCAGGGCGAGCTTACAGGTGAGCGTGAAACAGACGGCTGATTTCTGTGGGAGAAATGATGAGATTTCCCACAGGATCTCGAGGGGAATCTTAAAAAGCCAAGAATTCAGATTTGGGTCCGAAGCTGCGTCGACATCGGATCGCTGGAGATATGACGGTAAAAGCTTCTCCATCCTCGCTTTTGATTCTAGTTGCTCTTCTTAACCAATTACTTGGTAGGTTACTCGATATACTAAAGCTTATGTGTGAAGTCTCAACTCTAGTCTCTAAATGTAGTCGATCACAGAACTCGTTTGGTCTAGAGTTTCGCTTCTCTGTCCATCAGATTTTACAAGTTTACTGTGGATATGTTTACGATATATGGTTTTTTTATCTGGCATAAGTAATCAAGAATCCTCAGCATCCCAGCGGGTCCCATAAGTTAGGCTGCAAGCCCATTTGGTGTTAGCGTCCAACTGGTGCCTGAACATTCTGTTATGCACCCGAATTTCATTGCTATCAGATAATTTGCCTAGGTAAGAAAGAACTCGTATATTCGCCCCCAATGAGTTAGAAACACTTTGTTTTTTTCTGCATTTCAAGAGTCGTAACATCGTAAATCGTTTACATCCAATAAAACCAGAGAATCGCGCGCCCTCACTCATAAGCCTTCGATCTCCACACTAGCCCCTTGGGAATATATCAAATGCGGCAACATTCTTAGTCGTATCGTTGTCGATCTCTATCTCTTTCTTCGCGGCGACGGCGGCGCCTTTCCGAGCTTTCGGATACGATTATCTGGTTTGCACGTTCTCGCTCCGCGCGTCTCTCGGGCGGGACGTAACCAGGTGGAAGGAGGACCACTGGCTCTTGGCCCGGGTGTCTTTGCATCACAGGGGGTGGATGCACGGGAGACGTCGGTCTACTCGGTAGACTGTCATCACTGAAATGGCTCCCAACTATGCTCGGGGCTAGCGTGTCCGGGTCTACCACTCCGACAGCGAATGGGTAAGTCCCTACAGTTGCGTAGGTAGTTTCTTTGGTATGTTCCGTACCGGCTTCTTGGCCATGAACACTATGTTATATTAATCACCATAAATTAGAAAATAAGGGTAGCTGACGAACTTCATTCTCTCCATCCATTCTTCTATGCGGTCATCAGTTTGTTTTTGGGATAGGCTGTCTGAAGGCTCCGGGTCTGGAGCGGAAGATGAATCATCACTCTGTTCCCATACGAATGGAGCACTGGCACTGTCGTAATAGTTACTTGGAATAGATCCCGAAAGCCGGGTGTATACCTGATGAGTGACCTGACGTCGCAGAGGTCGGGCTGCGATATGCACTCTTTTAAAATCCTCATTTCGACTACATCCCTCTCGTTGAAGTTCCCCTGTGGAGAGATTACTCATTGTGGCGCTAAATTCTTATGCCCAGGTAGATGTGGAAAAAAAAGAGGAAATATGGTAAATATAAGTAAATTGGAGGAAATACAAGATAGAAAGCTCTCTCCAACATTCTATCAAATAGAAATCTTCTCGTCAAATAGGCATGGCGGTCATGTGAGTCATGAGGCTGGGAGCCCAACTACTAGGTAGACAACCAATAGTTGCCTAGGTTGTAGCCTGCCTCTTAGTTCCGCAATGATTTTCTCAACATTTCGAATGAGAGCTGTATAAATAGGCCATAGCTCGATAAATGAGGTATATCTTGTCATCGTTTCACACAATTTCTGCTAATTGTCACACGGGCGGACCTGACCAAAATTCGAGATTCTGCTCAGGAGATGTGTAAGCATAAAGGGGTGGACTGTGCCGCAATATCACCGTGAGGAACAAATAAGAATCCATCTCCTAAAAGCTCATAGAATCATCTCAGAAGCCTTGATCCTGACTACGAACCGCTCTACCATAGCGACCTCTGTAAATATGATCCAACTCTTTTAATTTTAGATGTACAGGTTGGCGCGTAAAGTTACCTATGAAATAAAAGAAGATCGTATGTATAGAAAACCTGGAATAGGGGCTATATTCAGCCACATATGACAATATTAAATACTCGCACAAAGATTATTTGATCTTGTGTCTCATGCTTCCGAGGCCACTTTAATCTGTTTTGGAGTCTGGGATAGGTAAATTGTGAAGCTTTTTTGTTAAAGAGAAAAGACAGGAGTGCTGGGGCTCTCAGTCTTATCTTATAAGACTTCACCCATAGACCTCTTACACGACATTATGGAACAGAATGGAACTTCGTCATGATAAGACTTTGTTTTGCCTCGATAGTCTTGGTCCAAGGAGCACGAGACATCTAGCATCACACTTTTAAGACTTGCGCAAGGCCATGTCGGAACGGATTGACTAATACTTTTATATACACCTATTATGCCTAGGTACTGATGAGTTTTTTCTCTTTACGAAACGGATCTTTCGCGCCGATTATATATCTTATTGTTAGATATAGGCATATGACCTCCCCTTTCAGACTAGCTAATTTCAGTCTAGAAACATCCAAACATGAAAGGGTATTTCCAACACAAATCCATTCGAACAGGCGGTGCATTTTGTCTACCCTAGTAGAAGTGACCTCAATCCGTAAATTACGTCGTTTCTGGTTTCGTCACCCGCACCCACATGTTCTCCTCGATGAATTGGCTGTAACTCAGGGAATCCCATGGTTTCATTGGGTTAACCAACTGGAAATCAAATTCTCGAAACAGCTGCATTTGAGGATTTTGTTAGCATAATATCCCCTTACGATGATCCCAACCCCATGGCTCAATTAACTCACCTCAAAGAATATCTTATTGAGCTCCATAAACGCAACCGGTTTCCCGGCACACATCCATCGGCCATACCCAAACACAAGTTCGACGTTGCGTTCCATCTCAGCACGTGTAGCTTCATCTACTTCCATAAATCGTTCCGGGCGGAAGACATCTGCGTCGGCGCCGAAAAGCTCTGTTGAACGCATCACCGCCGAGGTGTTCATTCCGATGGCTGTTCCGCCTGGGATAAATTTGCCGTGGATCACGTCGCCTTCCGGGGGTACCGACTTCGGATAGAGACCTGGGGCTGGTGGGCGCATGCGGATGCCCTCGTAGATTACGGCCTAGCCCAAAGCATGGTCAATAAAATCCCCGATATATCATAATAGATTAAACATACCTGCAAGTACGGTATCCTTTTCGCCTCCTCATATGTGATCGGGCTGGATACTTTGCCGTCTTGAACGGTCTGCAACACCACATTCTTGAATTTTTGATATACCCGCGGGCAAGCCATCAAGTACAGAAAAGCCGTGCGAATTACGGATGCTGTATTCTCAAACCCGGCAATAATCATAAAGAGAGCTTCCGTCTCGCATTCTTGTCGGTTGAGTCCGTGACTTATGAACGCCCCCTATTTCCGGGGGTGATGTGTCAGTGCCCCACAAAATAACGCCCCTTTTCCCCTTGATGATAGGAGACTCACAAGCATGTCTTTTTGTTTTTCCTCATCACCGGCAAATCGCTTAGAGACGACCTCCTTCGCTATTCTACTCGAAGTTAATAAGACCAATCCTGTTGTAATTCCAGTTTATCAACTTCACTTACCCCATAAGTTTCCCCATCCCCGCCGAATCCGTCGGTTTCGGTCCAAAGAACTTCAGAAACAGCTGCGAAAACAGTATATTTCTGAAGTAAGGTACATCCAGAGCTATCGCTATGCTAGCCCAGCTGTCCTTCACACTGGCAAGGAATCCATGCACATCGGAGTCCGTCTTCAAGCATCCAAACTCTTCTCCGAACGCAGATCGTGTGATCACATCTACCGTGTAGAAAGATATAAGCTCTGCGAAGTCCACTGGATGGAATTCTCCCGACTCGTCGTTTGATATATATTTGCGTCTAAGTAGGTCGAGAAGCGAGTTGATTTGATCGTTAATTCCGGGTTCTAGAGCAGGTGTCTCACGGCCTCCATATGCGCCAGCTATCTTCGCCTTGAATTTATCGTGGGGTCCAGCTTCGAGAAGGGTGAAGACGTTATCATGATATGGATCGAACCTCGCAGCCACATACCACTTTAATATCAGGGGTCAGCTAATTCACATATGTAACGTGAAAATGAAAGAGTCATCCATGTATTCACCAGGTTGCTTTGGTGTATCGTTCACTAGATCTGACATAAGCGATGAATCTAACTCACAGGGTCTCTCCCGTACGAACTCCGAGCCGCATTTATCTTCCTAATAACTTCCGGGTCTTCCGTGGAAAGTTCATTTGGTCCAACTCTAAACAAAGGCCCGTACTTCCTGTACATGTCCCGATACACCCAGAACTGCTTCCCGCTCTTCGCAACATTTGCCAGCCACAGGTACGAAAAGGAAGCGAGAAACGGACCAGGGACATCTCGGAGGCGGTACCAGGTCGCAAACGCCGAAATCACGTAATATGCCACTGCGACCACGCCGGCCACGATCCAAACCCCTCCAGCGGACCATTCCCAATTGAATAAAGCCATACTAGGCTCAGCGGATTAACGGGTCGTTCCCAGAGCGATTCGAATACATCGAAAAGAAAGGAAAAAGGAAAAAACGTAAAAGTACAGATAGGCGTACGAGCCAGGCAATTTAAAATTCGAGAAACGTGGAGGGATGCCCTACCCGCCCTAGCCTCCCAGTCTATATATCCTTCTATATACATATAACCAGCACGCAGATCATCCGGTCGAACTCACCACCCTTCCCCGACACCGACACCGTACTATCTATCTCTAAGCCGGGAAGAGAAGAGACGGGTACGAAAATCTGACAAAGCCCTCACCCACGCCAACGTACCTATCTCATGCAACCAACCAACCCACCATCCGTCCGTCCAATCACGCGCGATCGATATAGACATAAGCCCGCGATGATCGTTTCAAGTTGGTGCTGCTATGCAATAAACGGCATGAGCTAAGAAAGAATTGCGCTGCGGCCGGGTTCAGTAGCGCAATTAATACCAAGTGCAGTGGACGTCTTCGAAAGCATTTTCGCGTAGGGGTCTCGCTAATACTAGGTACTATATCCATGTGCGGTATGTATAGGTAGGACCTAGGTATGTAGGTAAGTACTAGATAAGAGCCTAAGCTAGCCTCGCACCACGTCGAATGCTGTCATCATGATCTCTGCACCCGCGTTCTAGAACGGACGACGCCCGACGCCCCCCACCTAGTCGGGAAGATCGCTGTTCGATTCGGGCAAGCGCAGACCGCATAAGACGTAAAGGGATTTCGGTCGACCGGCCAATTAGGTTAGCGCCCGTTGTGTTAGCATGCTGCTGTGGAGTACGGCGGGCTTGTGCTATGCGTAATTACCTGTATATCACGCGTCGAGCAGCTAGTATAGCGCCCGTAGGAGCCCGGCTTCCTGGTTAGGTGACATCGTCGCTAGAAAGCACGCTATCCTGCATGTCTTAGCCCCTACTTACAGCGCACCCCTACTCTTGGATAGTGCTGATTACCACACTGCTTTCCACATGAAATTTATTGACAGGTGGATTTAATCCTTCAACTTTGCCTTTGCATTTGCATCATTCGGTGCTAAGGGTCCTTTTCGCATGATATGAATTGAATTTTTCGCCTACGGCGGCTTAGGGTTTCTTTCATTAGGTATCTAATATGTCGATCATAACCATATGGGAGAACTGCTCACGATGTTAACGATCGGTTTTCGGAAATTCATAAAAATCTCTGTGGTTCTCATGTCTCATTCATTTTATTGATACATCACCTTGGTGCTACCTCCTCAAATCTAAGGGTATCATTCATCGAAACCAGACCGCTATTTCCCCGGAATTCCCAATTCAGCTCTTTGGCTCCGGACATCTTCGACGGCGCCCGCTGGGTCGGTCGCTTCGGGGTGGCGCAACTGCCATTTGATGCAAACATTCAGTGCTTCCGCCATCCATTTACCAGGCTTGACACCCAAGGCCTTAGCGAGTTGGTTACCGTCAATAAGTCGCTTCAACGATGGGGCTTCCATGACATCGAGTTCTTGAAGGTGGTCTAAGAAGAGTTGCCACTTGTGTAGAAAGTCGTCTTTACTGACTGGTGGCTTGTTAATGTCGGTGAAACACGTAAAAAAGTTGTCGGTACCGATGCTTACCTGACTTCGCAGAGTCTGGAGCCAGAACTTCCATGGCCTCAATTAAAAGGGCATACATGACCTGTACTCTCCAGTGACCAGCTTTTGCCTCCCAATTCCGAATAGCCATACCGAATCTATCCCTCTCGGAGATGAAGGGCGCATTTTCTGAGACTGCCATCATCAAGGACATTATTTCCGCTCTGTTATTGTGTGCAGCGGTTGCAAGGTCGCTGATCTTGTTGGAGGCCTTGATACCTTCTCTCGCAGCCAATGTCACGAAAGGGGGCGGCTGTTTGCCTTTCCCACTGACATGAGGAGGATCTTCAACACTCTCCCAGGGGCAGATGGCCACTAGGATCCAAGCGTAGTAGTCAGCCTCATCTGATCGCACGAGAGCATCATAGATAGATCCAGGGGTTTTATTTTGGCGAAGAGAATCAAAAAGCTCGTATGCTATCTTCCAATTAGAGATATCAGGGACTGGAATATTTGAATGAGTCGGGTCCGTAAAAACTGTATGGTAGAGTCCAAGTTTCTCAAAGTATTCTAAAGACTTGCGAGGGTGGTTTCCTATATCGCATTAATAACTTGGGGTCACGGTTTTACCTCATACAAACTTACCTTTGAGCATTTTCTCAACTTCAACGCCGACTCTCTCGCGACTAATCTTCAATCGGAGAGCGTCTAGGACGCGACGATCACCCATGACCTCTTCGGCAGCAGGGTCAATAGTAAACTCTAGGCGACTAGCGAATCTGACTAATCGAAGCACGCGGAGAGGATCGTCCATAAATGTTTGGAATGGTTCTAACGGTGTTCTGATCAACCGCGACTTCATATCCTTCAGTCCAGTAGTGAAGTCCTCAACTTTACCAGTGTTGAGGTTGTAGAAAAGAGCATTGACAGTCGCATCTCTTCGTAGTGCATCCTCTTCGGCAGTGCCAAACTCCATCTGCGGATTGCGACTATCTTCAGTATAAGTCTCCTTGCGGAGATTGACGAAGTCGACATCATATCCGAAAAGTTTGATGGTCGTGGTCTCGAGATGCTTGGACTTTTCTGGATTTCGGGCAATCTTGTGAAGATTACCAACATCAGACTCTGCGAGAACATGCTTTTTAATGGTGGCGGGCTGTTGACATAACTCGCATAGTTTTAATGCAAACGCCTCACCCGTCATCACGTTGATGGCTGTATCGATATCATGTGACGGGATTCCGAGGAGTTTGTCCCGAACCCATCCACCAGCCCAGCGTAATACAACCGGCTCTTCTAAACTGCCTGACCCATTTATGAATTTCGCAACATCTAGAAGCAAGTCTTTGAGCTGAGCCTCCTTGGAGGTGAGCTCAATAGTGGTGGTTATTGGTTGTGCTTCCATCTTTCTTATTCGAGAAGGTGGTTGAATATTGAAGCTGTCGCCTAGCACCTCCGACTTTCTCTTTACCATGAGGGAATGTGAAAAAGAACGAAGGCTAATTCTAGGTATGGTGTAGAAGCTTGTAATAGAGTGAAGAGGGAGGCGGAGCAGGGGTCTCATTGAGTTGGGGATGAGTCAACCGGGGACTGTGATTCAGGGAGCACCCAAGGCGGAACCAGACATTAGGTCATTCCATCGATCATGTATGATTCCTAGCGTGTACGGGCGCAAGCATAGAAAGGTAGGGTAATTTGTTGCGCGTTTCTTTACAATTCATGAGTCCGCATGTCTTGCGTTTCGACCTAAGAAAATTGAAGAGTTGATGCCGATGCCAGTTGGTTTTCAGTTGAAAATTAGCGTTCACAAGTGATAGCTAATAGGAGGTGGGTCTTTACAAAGAATCCGATTGGTCCGTCAGATCAAAGCATTGACCACTTGAAACCCCACCTATACCGGGGTAGAACCAACATTTACCTTAACCAGCTAATCTCACCTGTTTGCATACAAGACCAAGAAGACCTTCTATAGGCGACCAATTAGAACACTGAGGCCTCTGCTAATGGAGTATTACTCCTAGTTTTGATATCGAAACAGAATACCAAAATCAACGAAATGAACCCGGAATACTTTCGGCAACGCACCGAATGAAACGACCAAGATCCGTCTGTGCAATAATCTTCGTACCCGCTTAACCTAGATAGATCTGAGCTTTGAGGATCCACAGATCACCTGGATTTTCGTTTGGACGTCGATATTTCAGAGTGACATCCTGCTGGCATATTTCAAGTTGATCGGTTCGTTAGATACTTCGAGTATGAGATGTGCAGTATGTCGATGATATGTAAGTAGCATCACCAAGTGTTGATTGATGATAGATTTCAACATAGAATAAACCATTCCGAAATATCACACAAACTAGACCGATATCTCCTAGAGCATTCAACATGAACACTCTCAATGATCGCTCATTTAGGAAACATGTCTTCCCAAATAGGCAGTCCTTGCGAATCATACTGCCTTTCCTAAACAAACACGATCTGACCAGGTCTCGAAACGATCTCCTTGCTCGGGCCAATCCGCGACAGGAAATCCGGGGCTCTGCGAATCGAAAGCTTAACCGAATCCTCGATTGCGATTGGCTCTCCAACCAGGTGTCAACTCCTTAGCTACTCTATCCGGCAGCCATATTCCCGCTCAAACTACTGAGCTCAGCCACAATACCTCCATTCTATTATACCGTGATAAGTCTCATTCATGGCGGTTGGACTTCACTTTGGCCAGATTAGGAATGGTCGAAGTCCTGTTTCCCATACCAACCAGTGAGGAACGGCACTGGAAGCCGTCTTGGCAGAAACAGCTTGGTTCAGGTAGGTAGAACTAGGAAACAGGAGACGGAGAAGGGGGCATGAGCGGAGGCAAAAGATTCATGAATCTTCATCAACGAAAATGTGTATAAGAACACCGCTTCGCGCCGAAGACAATGTAATCTTCTCTCATCATCGCATCATCAGTTCACTTCCAGCTTCTCAACTCCTCAAGATCCTTCTTCTTTCACTTCTTCCCTGCCGGTCAGGTATTTTCAAGCATATAATCCTAGGCCTTCTTTACCTACCTAGTCCATACCGACCTTCATACATAAACAATAATGTCTTCATTCAAAGCCATCGTCGCCTTCGGCCTCATCGCCACCGCCCAGCTAGCTGCTAGCCACGGCGTGATCACCAATGCCACTGGAAACGCCGGCGGGTCTGGTAGTAAGTAGCTCTCCTACCACGAAAACATACCTCTACCTCTACCTCTAACTAACACAACCTAGTGGCTCTAGGCGTCGACCCAGACACCCCCCGCGACGGAACCCGACGCAACCCCTTCCAGCAAGACAGCACGCGTTTCCGCGGCGCCTCAGCCGACACCTTCGGCGAGACCATCGGCGCCGGAGCCAACGACCTCGAAGCCGGAACGCAAGCGATCATGGCCATGACCGGCGACTCCCTTCCCCAAGTCACCGCAGGCGGGCAGGTGAAGATGACGCTTCATCAAGTAAACGCCGACGGCGCGGGCCCGTACACATGCATGATCAGCGCGGACGCAAGCGGCCAGGACTGGACCGATATCAAAGTCACGCAGTCTCCCCCCGGAAAGAACTCCCGTGATCGGGATGGCAATGAGACGGATTTCCCGCTGACGGCTGCCATTCCGGCGGGTCAGACGTGCACTGGTACCGTGGCTGGTCAGGACAACGCGTGTCTTGTGCGATGCCAGAACGGTGCTAGAGCGGGTCCGTTTGGAGGTGTTGTTCCTGTTCAGAGTAAGTTGCTTTCATTTCTATATACTTCAAAGTGTCCATTAGTTAACGACGAGACATCAGTGGCCAGCGGCAACGCAACCTCCGCCGCGACAACGCGCCGGAATCTAGCCCGAGCCATCAGGAGGAACGCAGCTCGCGCCATGCAAAAGGAGTAATTGACATCCACGACCACCCAACCTCCCGGCCCCACCTGACGCCCTTCTCATGTTCCCGGGATCGGAGCGGAGCGACGATATCCGGAGACTTATCTCTTCACATGCCTCGATATATGTATGAACATTGGAGCATTCGGTGGGCGAGGACAGTGAAAAGCCTTATTTCGTTCTAGAATTTGTAGTTTGGAGGATTTTATATAATTAGATAGATGAATTTATCGAGATATCACCAAGATCCGATTACTTGAGCGAGGTCCATCTAATTTGTCAATTGCGCCCGACACCGCAACTACACCGCTTGTAGCCGTCCATCTCAACCATGGAATGCACCAACGTACTGACGCACGTGATATGACGATATACTCACAGATAACCATATAATCCAAAGGTTGAGCAATGGTCGATTAAAAGATTGGGTATTTCCAATCACTAAGGTTCAATACCTTACCTTACCTTGTCATATCCTTGGCTAGACAAGATGTCGTCCGCTGAGGGTCATGGTGCCGATTTAGAGCTTCAAGAACGACCGCATATCTTTACGAGCCATAACGATGTAATCGAAGAAAGGGGTCCGCCTCAGGAACTTAAACCCGTCGACGGGGGTCGGGACGCCTGGACCGTCCTCATAGCCGGCCTAGTCTTCGAAGCCTTTTTCTGGGGTATGTCCTAAGCTCACCTACACACTACTTACCAGATAACGGACTGACGAGAAAAATAGGGTATCCGGCCTGCTTCGGTGTCTTCCAGAACTACTACACGAACCAGCCCGAATTCCGGGACTCGAGTTCCGACATCGCGCTCATCGGCACACTCGCACAGAGTCTCGCTCATCTCGGCGCCCCATTCTCCGCCATGCTCACCAAGCGGTTCCCCAAATACCAGCGACATCAGATATGGATCGGGTGGCCGTTTTGCATCTGCGGGCTCGTCGTAGCCTCTTTCTCGAGGACGGTAGGTGGGCTCATCGGCACCCAAGGCGTCATGTACGGTTTCGGGTTCGTAGTCCTTACCTATCCTATCATCAACATGATCAACGAGTGGTGGGTAGCTCGCAAGGGCATGGCCTTCGGGCTGATCTCCGCCTCGTCGGGCGTCACGGGGGCTTTTCTACCCTTCGTCATGGAGTATCTGCTTAATAGATACGGATGGAGAACCACGCTGCGCATCTACGCTGTGGCGCTGGCCGCGCTTACGGCCCCACTGGTCCCGCTCTTTAAACCCAGACTCCCCGCGTCTGAGAGCGCCGCGCTGGCGAAGACCGACTGGGCGTTTCTCAAGCGCCCTCTTTTCTGGATCTATGCGCTTGCTATCCTTGTCCAGGGCATCGGCTTTTACTTTCCATCCGTGTTCTTGCCATCTTACGCGGCCTCAATTGGCATCTCGCCAGTAAGCGGCGCGCTGCTCCTGGCTCTCATGTCCGTCGCGCAAGTTCTCGGACAATTCGCTTTTGGGTACCTGTCGGACAAGTCTCTTCCGGTCAGCTTTCTGGCTATTGTATGCTGCGTCACGGCGTCGCTGGCCTCCTTGACGTTTTGGGGATTAGGCAAGTCGGTAGCTCTGCTGGCTGTATTCAGTCTCGTGTACGGGTTTTTCGGGTATGGCTTCGGCACGATGCGGGTTGCGATGGGGCGCGCAGTCAGCGACGACCCGTCCATCGTGGTATCGACATATTCGATATTTATCTTTTTACAGGGTATCGGGAATGTCCTCGTCGGTCCTATTAGCGCAGCGTTGATGACTCCGTCGACGGAGCGAGGGCATTTCGGGGCGGGAAAATACGGCGGCGTGGTTATATTAACGAGTTCGTCGTACATCTTGGCTGCGATGGTTATTGGAGGATGGCATGGTTATCAGCGCTTATTCAGTACGATAACTCGTTAGCATAACGTGGTTTAGTCGACTTATTTGGTTATTCACATGTGCCGCATGTATGTCGAGGCAGGTCGAACAGATCGAGGTTACAACGCGGACCTGCAAGAGTTGGAGCCATACCTACTATGCGTATTGGAGCTACACAGCTGCGCAGCTGTACAAGTTTCTCGATAGTTGCTGACTGCGCCTCTACCCCCGCCTCCCCCCGCGTTCCGCGGACAATTAGTCTAGAGAGGAGTCTAGACCTAAATGAGACCACAAACGTAGGATGTTAAAACTGTCGATCATCTGCATTAGTTAAACAATTATCACGTCTCTTCCCGGTGACCAACCACGATGGACATCATAAGGACCGTCTATCTCCATGTTGGTTACGGAGGATCTTTCGGTAATGCAAGATAATTAAAGGGAAGTTATCGGCGATCTAATCTCGCCTATGGTGTCGTTTCCAATAGATTACCTGACTGTCAGGGTAATATATCATATATCTGAATTGATATCATATATTTTCGTGTATTGATATGGAAAGGTGCAAGTTGGACAGGGTTGATTATTCAACTCCTAATTACATCTCGGGAATTTATGGAACTCTATTGAATTACCCCATTCTGATTGGTGCCCACACTTCCATTAAAAACGGTCGGGGAATACTTTTCGACTGCCGTTACCCTCGATGACGTCATGGGCTAACTTACGACTACTATACGATTATATAGAATAAACAGCTACGGGAATCTCACGGGTATCTTTTCAATATCTCACATGAAGGTATTCTGGATTTCATTTCAATTCGGTTTATGTCACACCACCTGCAGGTCAGATGGCTCGGACTTACACAGCCACGGTGATAGAGCTTAGAGCTTGGCAAGAGACTACTGGGGGAGCTCTTTGTGTTATCATAGCTGCATCGCAGATCGAGACTCATCTAGGCCGATTTACATCATGATAAGATAGGATACCCTTACCTAGGTATGTATCATAGAAGCGAGGAGGGGGGCAAGAAGTAGGGAAGAAGCGAGGCATTGGCATACATAATCAGAGCTAAATGATCTAGGTGGTCTGGGTGGTTATGACGAATACAGAGCAACACAAGCGTAGGACCATTTTGTGACTCGTGAAGGGAGCTAAAGCTATCATATGCAAGTTTAAAAAAAGGACGGGCTGCCATTGGATCAGCTCGGATGTCTAGGCAACACGCTAGTTACCCTGGCCGTCATCTTGGCTTTGGAGCTTGGTATTTCTTATATCGATTATGCCGTATGCGACTGAGTCGTGATGCTGCCCCAAACCAGGACAGATACGGGAGATGACTGCAGTGTAACCAATGAGAATCCGGGGTCTCACGACATAATACCCGGGAGGCAACCCATTTACCACTTCCGGGTGGTGCTCCTTTGTTACTCTAGTAGATCATCCACTCTCTAGTTAATTCTTAGACAATCGTCCGGGTATGTAGAGAGTAAAGGAGCTCGTGGAGAGATGGACAGATGGAGCAGGAGACGGAGAGAAGTTGCCTTTTGCTCCGCCACATGTCTTGCAAGGTTGCAATTGCTTTCTCGAGCTTGAGAGATTCGAGGAAAGATCGGGTGGAATTACGTACGTGGGGCCATGGAAGGCGAGGTACTTGTAAACTCTATCTATCTGGTTCGATAATAAGCACTTGAGGTAGTTTGCACCTTCCCGTCGTATAAAGGGGTCCAAACCCAGATATCTGGGTCAAAGAGAGAAAAATAGTCTTGTACAGATCTCGATCCTTTCAACTTCACACCTTATTAAACCAGAATACATTCTTATTATTACACACTTCTTACCTAAGGTATTTCAATTCTATTATCTTCTTTGAAAGAATATTAGACGAATTATAATCCCGGGACCTTGAAGCTAATCCATAACTTCACCTAGACGTTTATTATACCTGTAGCTTATACCATACCATACCATACCATACCTACTCAACCCAGACACAACCACGATGGCAACGGGATACCAAGGACAGGCACCCCAATACACGAATGGCTTCGCCGGTGAGCAGCCGCCAGCCAGGGAACGAACTGTGTCGCGAGACTACTCCAACACAGACGAATGGGGTGAGTCTCCCTTTTCATGATAGTCCTATCTATGTATTAACGAGAGATTTCATATAGATGCATCCAAAACACCCCCCTCACGCTTCCAAAAGCGCAAGGGCAGCATCTACGCCACGCCCTCATCCCGAGACGGCCACGTCGAACGTAACCGCGATGCCGTCGAGGAGTTCCACAAGGCGCACTCGAAACGTGTATGTAATCCTGTGGTCCTCTTTCTACCCCTATCCCCTTCCCACTTTTCGTGTCTCAAACATCGGAGGTTATTCAATTCACCTACCGATGTACTCACCCCCTGAGACATGTCTTACGCCCTGAACCCTTCAACCCTGTGATAAAACAGTAACATAAAAGTAATACTAACACCCAACCCGCAGTGGTCCGTATCAAGCTCCGGCTCCAGCCGCCGCGGCAGCGTCGGCAACACCCTCAAAGACCAACACCACGGGAGCACCACCGAGCAGCGCAAGGGCAGCCAATAGGTACGGACCGTGTGGCTGCCGCTGATGGAGTAGGGCCGGGGTCGCGAGGGCCGTAACCGACGCACGCGCTCGCGCCCATACTCCTGCCCTCACGAACACATCCGCGAACTCGAACTCGTACATGTACGCACACACGCCCGTCGAGTCCACTCAGACGAGGTCTCGGTGGGAAGGGAGAAGAAAGTATTGATGGGTCCGCGGCTCCTGTGCTTGAAGGGGCTGGTTGATTCGTTCGCCTGTATTACATACATAGGGTATCGCGGAAGTTGATGTTAATGTCGATGTTCGGCATTGATGCTGATGATGACGATGAGGAGGATGTATAGGTAACCTAGCGTGATTTGCCTTGCTTTTTCTTGCCTTCGGAAAAAAACTCAATTCTTACGTTTCGCTTGCTACGGAAAAGGATAAATCAATCAATCAATAAATACACACAATTCATCTCCAGGTCGTTTTTTTGGATTTACCGAGTGACCATTGTGCTTCTGAATGTTGATGAGAAATGAAGTCTACTAAGGTAGACCTGAACCCGCAACGACTAGGTACCTATGCAAGCCATGTCTCTCAGCCAGCCTTGCCCCTCAATTTGGTTGATCGCGGATTACGTACTACGTTAGCAAGTATAAAGATCTCGTAGTCCTAGACAAGAGCCAATTTGCATGAATCATTGCTAAGTTTAGTTGGTGAGGCTGGTGAATACCCGTCTCACCCTAACAGGAACCAAACTTCCCTATCCATTTTCGATGTGGGGGGTATATGGTTCGATCCATCATACAACGCAGGTCGCGAGACATACATACATACTAGGCGACGCGCGCATTCACTCAATCGGTTAAAAAAAAGAAAGAAGCAGTTAGATACCCAGATAACACCCAGATGCCTAAATAAGCAGGTAAGGTTTCGCGTTGGATCGGATAGTAGTTTATGTAGGTATGGAAGGTATGGAAGGTAAGGTAGTAAGGTAGTAAGGTAGTAAAGGTAATGTTAGCATATGTAGTAGGTATCAGCGGAATCTGCACCGCCGTGAAGTGTGCTGTTTTGTTATGCATGCACCGGTAACAGTGAAAACAAATAAAGGAGGACAGAAAACAGGAAAGAAACCTCGGAAGTTTAGAGAGGAAGTGGATGGAAGGAAATAAACAAGAACACGTTGACAAACGGAAAATATGCTGCCCGTTGATGATGATTGGATTTGCTATCCCGTCCCTTTCCCTAAGCTCCCTTCAACCCTATGCCAAATGAACATGAACATGAACCAGTATAAAAAAGCCACCTGTGGGATCAGAAACTAATGTCGTCTCATTCGTCATCCATGTCATCGATATCGATGGCGTCTGGATTCGCCGGCGCCGCGGGCTGCTGCTCCTTTTGCATCGTCCCCGCGAGTCCTGTACTCGCTGCCACAAACCCTACTGGCGCTCGGGCCTGCCGTTCGAGTTGTTCCATGGCGTCGGCGACCTCGGGGTCTCCTGTTCCATTGGTACCTTCACCCGCCCCTCGTTGGTTGGCGCGTGCGATGGCTTGAGATGCTATGAAGTTGACATCCGTATTGTACTGTGCCTGTACGCTACGCTTGATACGTAACATCTCCTTGTATGTATCTTCGTTACCGTGCTGCACCTCAAATTGCTCCCACTTAGTCCAGAATGCAGGGTTGGTACGCGGGTCGCAGAATTGCGATGCATGGCCATAAATGGCACGGGCACGATCGATTTCGCCTAGACGTTTCTCCATGTCGGCGAACTTGAGACACATATCTCGAGCCTCTTCGTCGGGAAGGGCAGCGATAGCCCTTTCGTAGATTGGTCTCGTAGACTGGACTCCGAAGTTCGATGCCGACTTGGTGATATAGAAGTTGAACATATCTGCACGGTCTTCGTCTGACACGGCTCGAGTTGCTCTTTCATAAATGCGCATAGCATGCCTTGCCAGACCTCTTTCTTCTTCTAGGTTGCCATACATAAGATAGAGTACCTTAGCAAATTTGGGAGGACAGTCTTCAACTGCTTGTTCAAAGAGGTCACGGAGCCGTTCGATACCGATCTTCCTATCTACTGCCTTGGTCAAGTAGAGGTTCCATAATTCAAAAGCGACTGGGTAACTAAAGAGGTCCAGCCCTCTCTCGTAGATCTTGAAGGATTCTTCGTAGTACTTGTTTTCTTCCAGCAAGTTGGCGTAGTTGACAACGGTCTGTGGTGTAGCAATACGAAGTTCGAATATTCGTTCGTAGACCTTCTTTGTCTCTTCGAGGGTGCCGACGCCTTCTACAAGGTCGACATAGAAACTCCATAGCTTCCAACTCTTATGAACCCTCTGTTGTGGTGATAGGGTCTCATCGAAATAGTCCACAGTTGATCTCTTCGGAGCTTGCACGGCCTTAGTCATGATCTTGACTGCCTCATCCAAATTCTCGTTGCGAAGTTCCATCTCAGCCCATTCGATCCACATATCGGCCAGCTCCGCAACTGATTTGAAAGGGACTTTGACAGCCTTCTCCATAATGACTCGCGCGCTTCGTAGATCGCCCCCCTTCTCGTAGAACTTGGCGTAGTTCGCCCATAGTTGATGAAAGGGACCAACTGCTTTCTTGGGACTGATCGCAGCAATGGCGTCCGTGTATGTCTGCACAACCTCAACCTTATTCTCCCCCCAAAGTGCCACACGCTTTTCCCACTCCAAGACGCTGTTAGGGTTTTGCCGTAGCAACACATCGTTTAGGAGGAATGGTCGACGGTCCATAAGCTGCTCGAATCGCATCATGCGTATATCCAGATCAAAGTCGGCATCTTCATCAAGTTTTCCTCCTTCGGCTCGTTCGGATGCTAATTCCATTAGCGCACCAATGATAGATTCCTCAAATTCGGCATAGCTGTCGAAGATGAGAGTAAAGTCTCGAACAGTCATGACTGTTGTTATCCCCTCCTCAAATATGTCCCTAGCGCGTTCGAAGCTCCCCCTCTTTGCCCAATACGTCGCTAGACCGCACCAGAGCTTTCCTCTTTGATCGGCAAATCTGTCGATACCACTCCTAATAATTCGCTCGACGTCAATGCCAGTTTCATGCCCAGTTTCGACTTCGTTGGCATGCTCTACGAGTAGATCAACCATCTCGCTCCATAGCTCGTAATGTCCTTTGCTCTGCTTGCTGTTGAATCGCGGGTTGTTCAAGATGTCGATGTATTTCTTCACAGCCTCAGTGTAAAGACCGACCTGGATTAGAAGCTCGATGAAATCTTCGGCATCTTCGGGATGAACCTGCATATATCTCCGCCAAATCTTGACTGCCGTTACGCCAGAGGCGGAGTTGGCGAACGGTCTGTAGAGTGCCCATATTCTATTGTGTTGGGTTATAGGAAGCGCCCGTAGTGCTCGATCGAAGGTGCGCCGGGTAAGGGTAACGAGTGGCTGCTTCAGTAAGAACTTCAAGTACAATTCCCATATCCTAGGCATTTTGTTGAGCAGGATTAGTGCTCGTTCGAATAGGGCGTTGACTTTCTTGTACTCGGAAGCGAAGACGGCAGCATTCAGCTTTAAGACATGTTTCGTGCGGAATTGCAAATACTACCCAACGTTAGCATTTTTACATTAGTATGATACGAAGGTATCGCGAGGTGAAACGGAATCAAGATTTGCTTACCATCTTCCAAAGCTTGTACGACCTCGGTAGTTGTTGACAAGCCCGCTCGAGAACAAAGGCCTGCTCTTGTTGTGTGCCATGCTGGAGCTTGAACTGGATGTAAGCTAGCCATGGCTTTGTGCTGCCTGGATCCCGTAGAATATCCTGTTCGTATACGGCATCTTCATCTGTCTAAAGTGGTGTTAGCTAGAGAAAAGGACAGATAATAATTATTAATATAATTGCTATCGAACATGGGTAGATAAAAAATATACTTACGACAAGGTGAAGGTCTGGTTGTCGGGCACTTCGGATGCCATTGGTCAGGCCATTTGGCGACATTTTCAAGAGAAATATGCCAGCGATTGTGGTCGTGCGCGATCGCTCGCAGATAATGTCTGCAGGTCGACGGTGCAAACGAGATAGTCAGGGCATCGTCGAAAAAGGGATTGGGTTGGCGACTGATTTCGACCTCAGGCGTCGAAGTGCGTCGAAGTGGGAGGCGACCGACCGTGAACGCGCGACAGGTTCCAGCTAGGTAGGTATTTTAAAGATCACGTAGGATTGGTTAGGATTTTTTTCTGAATTCCAGGACCATGGCAATCGTTCAACCTGTAAGATTCCGAGTTTTCATAATTCAATCGTAGGAGTTTAAATCCATATACAAGGATCATGTGTTCATTTATTTACCAAAGCGCAACGGTGTGTGCCCCACTTGTACATGTGTACCTGGTACTTTCGTCATGTACATGTACCTAGTATCACTGCTGCTAGCAACTGCACCTCAATCGTTGATGCTCTATTTGATAAAGTCATCACGAGTACCTAGCAACTGCCTTCAACCCTCTTCCAATCAGCTTTCATCCTCCATCTCCCTTCGCTCTAGAACTCTCGAATTGTATATACAACCACCACTGGGCTAGAACCTATTGAATATCCCGAAATATTACGGATACAAACGATCGAAGACAACGGATAATACACAATGTCGGGAGCTGGAGTATGTCAACAATCACTACCATATTGGACCTGCTGCATAGCTATGCACGATTCTAATATACTATATAGGACCGAGAAGCTGTCTTCCCGACGAGACAGTCGTTGGGTATCATGAAGTCGAAGCTCAAGGGAGCCGAGACGGGCCATAATTTACTGAAGAGGAAGAGCGAAGCCCTAACCAAGTACGTTCCCCAATCTCTCTAACTTCACCACTCTCCCACCACTAACTCCTAAACCTAGACGTTTCCGAGAAATCACACGCCGAATCGACGAAGCGAAGCGCAAGATGGGACGTGTCATGCAAATCGCCGCCTTCTCTCTCGCAGAAGTTTCGTATGCTGTAGGAGGCGATATTGGCTACCAAGTGCAAGAATCCGCCCGATCGGCGCGCTTCCGACTTCGCACCAAGCAAGACAACGTCTCCGGTGTGCTTCTTCCCGCCTTCGAGAGCTACCTGACAGAGGGGAACAACGACTTCGGCCTTACTGGTCTAGGCAAGGGTGGACAGCAGGTCCAGCGGTGCAGAGAGACTTATGCCCGTGCAGTCGAGACGCTGGTTGAGCTAGCTAGTCTGCAGACTGCCTTCGTGATTTTAGATGAGGTTATTAAGGTTGTGAACCGAAGAGGTATGTGTTTCGCAAGTATTGAGTAATGACTGGACTAAGCTAATCATGCGACTATAGTAAACGCAATGTAAAACAACCCGATGCCCCAATCTAATACCTCGTGCATAGAGACTAACTCAGCTACAGCGAACACGTCATTATCCCCCGAACAGAGAACACCATCAAATGTAACCCCACCTCCTTAATTATCCCGGCCAAACTGTCTTAGTAGCTAACCGTACCTCAAGACATCAACTCAGAGCTCGACGAGCTAGACCGAGAAGAATTCTACAGACTGAAGAAGGTAGCAGGCAAAAAGCAACGCGACACCGCAGCAGCAGATGCCGAGATGAAGGCGAAGAAAGAGGCGCAAGAAGCAAAGGAAGGACAGGAGAACGTCAAACCCGACGACTCGGCGCCGACTGATATGCTGGCCACCGGCGAGGACGACGATGTGATTTTCTAGAATGAAGTATGGTTTGTTGAGATGATGAAATGATGGAAGGAGGGGAGTTAGCCGGGACCTGAACTATGTTATCCGTTGGGTTCGTCGGCTTGTCGTTAGTGTATCTGTACTCCTATTGTGATACCAAGAAGTTGAAATGACTTTGGATTCCTCTATTTTATAATCCGCACCAGAGCAAATTAAGAGAACATGAATATATGTATGTCATAAGCAAATCTCGCAATCTGTCTTTTCGCTTCACTTTGCTACTAATGGTTACCTACTTGCCATTTACGATATCCACATTAAGCCAAGTGCAAAAGGGGGTATAAGCAGACTATCTATCATACAAGCCATCCCACTAGCACCAGGACCGAATCTACTGTCTCTGGTACGTGACCTTAATGAATTTCTCACCAAGCGACATACCCGCCGTATTCTCCTTCGCGGTGATAGCCCCAGCCTCGGCCTCGTATTCAATAAACGCGATGCCCTTGCGACCAGGAACCAACCGCACCTCTCTGAAGCCCTCGAAGCGTCCGAAGATACCGGTAAGCGCTTCGATGTCGTGGTAGTCGTCCGGCAAATTCTGCACGAAGAGAATCTTGTTCGGGGGCAGGTATTCGTCGGGCACGACGGCGTTGGGACCTGCGGAGGGACCCGTTGGCTTGAGGCCGCGCGCTGTCTTTGCGGGACGCGAGGCTTCGCCTGGAGCGGGGACGGCGCCGGGACGCTTGAGGCGTTTTTGCTCTTCCGCTGCTTCGAAGGCTTTCTTTTTGTCTGTTTGGAAGGATGGGGTGTTAGCATTGCTTCTTCTTCTCCGAATTTGCTGAAGGGGCAAATTGAAGTACCTTTCTCAGCCAACCGTCTTCGCTGGTGCAGCTCGAACTCGTCTTTATTACCAGAGCTTAGAACAGTTGCATCGCTCCTAGTACGCGCGAGCGCGACTTGCATCGGCTTCTCGAACAGCTCGAAGCCCTGGATCTCCTCAACGGCCTGGGCAGCTGATTCCGGGCGGTCAAACACGACGAAGGCCTGTCCTTTGGCTTTCAGGTTGCGCTTCGCGACGATGTCGATGACATTTCCATATTCGGAGAATACGGCTGATAAGGCCTGTTTGAGGGGCTCGGGCTTGACGCGCTCCTCGAGGTTCTTCACGTAAACGCTGCGAAACGGGAAAAAAGATCGGGTTAGCTTATACTTAGACGAGACGAGAATGATACGAAACACATAGCCAGGGAATTGTATGTGTCGGAGTGCAATGACACATACGTGGCAACGGGTGGGCCTGAAGCCATCTTGCTAGATATTCTCTCGTCGTAATATCTTGGGTACTGCTATCACTTCAAATTGAACGATGGCGTTCAGGTGGGTTTGAAGTTTGAAGTTGCGAATGTTTGAATCTGGAATAAGACAAAGCGCTACTTCGTAGAGCTCTATAAATGAGATGCCTTATCGATAAAGACAAACTATTGTGGTAATTGCATAGATTGATAAATGCATATCCAAATTCTCTTAGTAAGAATTTAGTAAGAATTTTCCATTAGGAAAACAAGAAACGTTAGGTAAGCAATTATTAATCCCTACTTTTACGCCGTTTTCCCTATTTTCGCATAATGTCGTCGCCATTTTATTAGGGAATAAGTTAGGTATATAGGTATTTTGCACTCCAGGGGCCGCCCCTCTTCAACTCTCTCTATTATACAATCCACACAACTAAGGCAGCCCCATCTCTATTCGCACTGCACGTACTGTCTATGATATCGTAAAACTTGTAATAGCTCCCATCCACAAAGGGTACACACATACCACGTCTCCTTGTCGACTATCAAGTTGCTGCAACCTCCTCCTGAACAATGCTTTTCTTATCTACTTGCTGCTCAACTGGCTCAACTGGTTGTTCCACTTGTGGCGGTTGCTCTTCCTGCACCGCCTCCGGCTCTTCTAATGCTAATTCGGTACGCAAATCAGGTAGAAAACGATCAATGCGTTTCCATGTTTCTACCCACAGTTTCTCCTGCGAGGGATCTTTGCTCGGCGGAACAAGGTACCCACTGCTAGCCATAAATAGGAGTACGTTTTTCAGATTCTCGGGGACAGCCTCCTCCTAGATATGACATTAGTTATTGGCTATTGATTAACGGAGATTTAAGAAGACTCACAAGACTATCACCTTGTCCGCTATTCATCAACCTATCCATGATGTCGATGATTTTGAGCCATAGATCTAGCATACCATCCCATTTGGAGAGAAGCACAAGGTATTGCAGGAATGTCTTGCATAGAAGCGAGGCTGCCTGTACTCTCGTTTCACTCATGCCATCCCGATCTGATGAGTATACTTCTGGTTTTAGGAGTCGTAAGATTAGAGGGAACAGGACCTCTCCGAAAATAGCAGTCCATTCCTTGTGGTCGCTACAGGTTAACTCGGGAGACAAAAGTGACCTCTGAAGAGACGAGAATGCCAAGGATCGCACTTCGCGGCACGGGTTGGTACACTGTGCCGTTAAAGCTTGAAAAATAGGTAACCAATATGCCGACCAGGCTACAGAATGATTAGTACAGTAATGCAGAGTCGTACGACAGCGGACTTACCCTCACTATTCTCAAGGTGTGACTGTTTCATCAAATGAGGAATACGAGCTGTCATGCTAGAAATGAGATTGATAGCTTTCACGCCTCGTGAGACTACAGCATTATCACTGGCCTCTTTCTTAGGTGGCCGAGCGTTTCTCTGCCTTTTCTCACCCTTCTGCTCAACAGCAGCGCCGATTTTAGCGGCGTTGGCGTACTCATTTAGCAAGGCGATAGCAGCTTCATAGTTATCCGCGATTATTGCAGACGGCGAGCCCGATACTCCTCCCTCAAGTATCTCGAAGACGGTCGGAGAAGCATTAGAGCTGCTAGCAAGAGTGCGTAGAATAACCCAAAAATCAGGTGATGTCATGATTTCGCTCCGTAGAGGACCTGGTTGTTCGATACAGATTTTCAATCCTTGCAGAACTAACTGCGAAGTTTTTGAGAGAGTTTCCGGTGGGAAGCTGGATATAGCGTGTAGAAGGACCGGTGCTCGTACAAAGTCATGATCCTATCCAGTTAGTACAGACCAACCCATAAGCGGTTGTTGTGGCGTTGCTTACATAACTAGCCTTTAATATGCTAAACTGATAGAAAACCGCCCGCGAAACAAGGATGGGGTGGTGTTGAGGAGAATCGCGCAGAATCATCTGAAGAGCTTCTGCAACTGCTTTGCCGAGCAGTCCAACGGTTTCGTCGTCCCTCAATGCAAGAACCGAGCAGAATTCAAGGATATATACGACCGCGGGGTCATAGGTTCGTCTCCCAGACGCAGGTTTAGAGGTAGAAGGCGATGACGGCAAGCTCTCTTGCTTAACTGTGATAACGGGAACAGTTGAGCTTTCATCATCAGGTAGTTCGTTTAATAAGGCTTCGACGAGTGGAGCTAGGGAGTTGGCTGGAAGAGCCCTGAACTACGTTTAGTAATGTTTAGCTAATTAACTGATAGACGACTCACGCAATATTTGAAAAGACGCTTTCTAGGTCACAGGCTTTGATACAATCGGCTGTACTCAATGAACTCTCAACCTCTTCGGATGATGGTTCTGGTGGGTCGTCGGCTGCATAACTGGAGATATACGAGGTTAATGCTGAAAATAAACTCGCGTCGGTGGTTTTCGTCGCTCTGTCGATGACCTGAGATGGTGTATGGAGAGGAATTTTGGGAAAGTTCAATGCTTCGTCGCCATTAAAGAACGATGGAATGAGGGCGTTAACGAATAGTTTCAACCAGATACGGATAATCTACATAAGTTAGTTAGGGAAGAACCAATACAGACCAAGATACACTTACATATTCCCATCCATGATGAATAACATGTTCACTGCCCTTCACAACACGGAAGAGGACGAGAGTAGCGAGCTGCGCTTTGAAGTCTCTGCCGAGCTTAACGGCGAGTTGGCTAACCATAACGGTGTCACTATCATCTGATACCTTAACTTCCGTGTTCAGACCAGTCTTTGCCAACTCATCCTCATCTAAGGCAGTCATGTAGCTGAGGTTCTGAATGATACGGTCTAGCGCATCCGCAACGCCATATCTGGAAGCAATCTGAGCACACTGATCGAATCCAGTGACAACCCGGGAAAACACCGCATCGTCGGTGGCCGACATGAACACATAAGACAATGTCGAGACGATTGGCTTCCAGGTAGCGGCAAACATATCTGCGTCGTAGATATTGGTATCGCAAAGGACTAACGGCCCTGCAGATTCAGTCTTGAGCAAAAGCTCCCTCCATGCGTAATCAAACGCATGTCTATTATCATGCTCATCGGGGAGAATGATCTCATTGACTTTAATTGCTTCGAAAGTGGCGGCAAGGAAATCAGGGGGGAAGTCTTCCGAAGCATTGACGCCCCGTAAATTGCGCGCGAAGTCTTCTAGTTCCATACGCTGTTTGCCTTTGAGCTTCGGGCTGTGTTGATCAACATTGAGCATAATGATTGCATATGTAAGAATGAACACTGCATCTTCGCTTTTTACAATATCACAGCCCGAAGATGCGAAATACTTCCCCGCGAAGGTAGTCACTATTCGCTCGATAAGCGGCGACTCGCCTGGAAGCCGGAAGCTCTCGAGAAGAAGTCGAACTGCTTCATCGACCCGCTTACCAGAAAAGTCGAATAGATCCAAAAACGCCTCTAGGTACTCATCGTTACCCCTTTTCGCGAGGAATTCACCAAGAACAGCCTTGGAGATTCGTGATGTACTTCTGAGAAATTTCGCGACCGACGCAGCGTCATCACCGATGATTCCCTGTTCCTTGAGATATCCTAATCCCTCTTTCGGTTTCTCATTAAACTTAGTGGCGCCCTTGACAATTATCTTCTTCCTTCGTCTTGCATCTCGTAACGTCGTTTGATCAGGCAATCCATCAGAAAATGGCTCATCGTCTAGACGCTCAGCTATGGATTGGACAAACCCAAGAAGAGCATCCAAACACAGTGGAGGGACGCTAGTTGTACTCCAGGTCGCAGAATCGGGTAAGGCGCTCCTCGAAAGTAACCCGATCATATCTTCACATAAGTTACCACGGTTTGCGTCCGAATCGTAGTTCACAAATAACTCAACTAGGAAAGCCGGCATTCGAGTCAGAGCGCCGACACTTTCAACCATTGCTTGTCGAGCATCCGGTTTGCGAGCACCACCTTCCATGCCCAGCTTCTGCCGGTCTTTCACCGGAACTGGTGTTGATCGCCCACTACCTGCTTGAGATGGGGGAGGTTTTACACCGCTCGGCCTTTGAGGGATACCATCATAAAGTGAAGGGTCGATATTAGGTTCACGTGGTATTTCAACTGGTGGATGTAAACATGCGATGAGGTAGGATAGGAAAAGCTCCTGCTGAAGTTTCAAAACACCTCTACATGTCTCAAGTAGTGTCCCGGCCACGATAAGTGATTCTTGGAGAATAGCCATGTTATCAGATCGGACGAGCTGAAACAGATGTCGGCATAAACGATCTTCAGCGACCAAAGCTAAGGCTGGATGTCTTGCTATGGAAGGTCCAGCAACTTCCAATGCAACATGAATAATGCGCAATGCCATGACCCTCATCGTGTCGCCTTGCTGTTTGTCGTGAGGATCCAAGAGATCTACGAGAACCCTAAAGAGTTCTTTCATAGACGGCAATGAATAAGGTTTAATTTCCGTGTCATCATCAGATTCCTCGGACTCCCTCCTCGATCTATCCTCCACTTCATGAGCGGTATTCTCGGATCCAGATGATGATTCTCGTGGCTCATTAGTCGTGGGGGCGTCTGAAGACGCAATAACATCGTTACCATTGGTGGACGGAATCATTTTAACGCCTTCCATGTCCCCATTGGCCTGGTTATCCAGGGCCTGTAAGTCGTCGCCAGCTTCAACTTCCAGATGTTTGAGGTGTTCAAAGATGATCTGACACATACGGACCATAGCCGCTTCGGCTGTCCTACGGAGAAGCTCGGATAGACGTGACTGGCAGCACATAGTTAGGCCAGTCTCCATCATTTCACAAACGCTTTCATCGCTTAGTAATGCGCCGCCCGGACCAGAGAGCATATCCTCCATGAGGTGCAAGATCATAAGCAGTACAACCTCATCTTGGGCAGAATCGCTGGCCTCGAAGCGACAGTGTGTTATTGCCGTCGACAACGATTGCATGGCAAGAGGGAATCGTGGCGAGCCGGGGCTAATGAACCCGTAGGAGAGGAACTTTCGGATCGCTTTTAGTGCAAGTATGGTTATGGGGGCGGAGGTCGAGGAAGCCTGGATCACTTGGAGGAATGGGTTTAGGAGTGCGGGGGCATCGAAGTCGTGTATATCTAGAGCTTCGATCAATATTCCTTCCATAGATTAAATACTAGGTTCCTGAGATTTACCTTTACAACTCGATAATTCATGGCGCAGACGACCAAAGCCAGCCATCAGAGGATTGTCCTGAAAGCTCTTCCCTTTCTTCCCACGCAAGCCCCACCTATTCGCGACTCCAAAGTCCTGGGCACTATCTGCTCCGAAGCTAGCTGTAGAGCTTTTACTACCCGGCCGTAGGAGAGGACTAGGCGGACCTAGCTGGACGGGATTCGGATTGCCTCCGAGGATGGAAGATACCGATGAGCCCGCCCACCGAGCATGCTTTCGCATAGCAGAGGTAACCGAAATGCATTCTGATATAACTAGGGATACGGGATCAACAGCTACTGTGACCGGTCGGCTTCGATATTGCGTATTGGGCGACTGAGCATTGGCGTTTACGATCGCGTTCCCTATTGCGCTTTGGCGATGTTGAAGACCCGAACTATTCGGCTCGGGCGCAAGTTCTTGTTCCATTGTATTATTTCCGTGTTCATCTCGACTCATCGTCACCTACAAAGGCGCCACTGGATCTAAAGAGAGAGGGGTCGCGACTCGATATCGTTGTCGCACGCTCGAAGATCCCGAAGATATAAATCGACAAGGCTGAGAGTTAGAGAAATTGGCGTACGGAATGCGGAATGTGGAAACTGGATTTTGAGAGGTTCGTGTATGCGTCGTTAAGGTTTAAATGATCCAAGACCCTTTTGTACTGTCCAATGACGTTTAATATGTAGGTACGGACAAGCTGTCGTGAATAGTAGTATCGTACCTAGTAGATCTTATCCTATCGCCGTGGTGTTGGGTCCTTAGAAATCTTGCACGTGCCAGGAAACCGTTGCCAGCTGCCCGAATTTTAATCGGCAAGTGTTGATCCGATTATAACAGCGTGGCGGCAACCCCTACCACACTAAGAATTACCTAAGCCTCTTACCTCATCATTACGATAAAGGGGAAATTGACTTCAGAAAAAGGTTATTTAAGTCTTATATAATCCATAAGTATTAAGTGAGGTACATACCATCTATCACTTCATAAAGTCGTTTACTAGAAATATCAAGTCAACTCGAAGATATTGGTGATACATCTAGGTAGCTAGCTAGCTCATCAAGAAACGAAATCGCCAGGATATAGCTGGAACAAAATATCTACTAGTAATATAGCCTCGAGGCCGGTCTATACAATTAATAACGCAGCTCCGTTGCTTGCGTTCAGTTCAAAAGAAAAACTTCCATGCTTCATAATCATGCGTCGACACTACCAAAACGCCGTGCCATGATCCTCACCATGGTCCTCGTATTGTACACGACCATATCTGATCAAACGTGTGCGCGCCTACCCTCCCCCTTAGCCCAATCCGATTTTTTTTATATCTTCCTGTGCTCATGATGCAAGGTAAGTCCGGCACTGCGGTGAAGAGCCTGAATACAACCGAAGGCCATGCCTGTAATTTTATCGTAGTGATTGAACTCTAGGCCGCTACCCTAAATTGGTTGTTCTTGGGTTGCTCTTCGACCTTATCAGCTGCCTTTTTTGAATCTTGACCCGACTCTTCCTTTTTGGCCTCGACTTTTTGTTCTTTCTGCTCTTTCTGTTCTTTCTGGGCCTCCTTAGCCAGGTTTTGTATTCCTGATTTGTCTTGTTCCCACTGAGCGTTGGCGTCACCAAACTGCTCCTTTACCTGCTTCTCGCGGTCTTGCTTGGCCTTTTCTTCAGCCTCTTTAGCCTGACGCTCAGCCTCCATCTCCTAATTCAAGTTAGCATATTTCCATATATATAGAAAACGTGGGGTGCTAACGTACCTCCATATGTTTAATATCATCCACGCTAGGCTCGTACAAATGCCAGATTGTATAATGGGGAAGTCCAACAACAGAGAATTGCATGCGTTTAGCCATCTGCATATACTGTTAATATTAAGTGGAGTTGTGGGATCATGAAAGACGTTACCTTGCCAAAGCCTTCGGTTTCAGCATGTTTTTCAAAGCTAAAAGCCGGGAAATGGACACCAGATCTAAATACTCTTGCCTTGGCTAGAATACTAACACCTCCGACGCCATCGATTTCCATTTCCATATCTGGATCACCGTACGGGTCACGGAGGTAGGCAAGATGGGGCCGCCAAGTAGCGTACTCAGCATAACCCTCTACAATCACGGCATCTTCGTCCAAGGTGTCTGCAAGTGCCAAAGCAGTTTCCGACTCCTGCCATGAGTTCAGATCGTATGGTTGTTCGCCTCCAAGCCAGTCGGGAAGTGGTCGCCAAACATCTATAGTATTGTCAGCAACACAGTAAACAGCCGCAGCAAATCTTAAGGGGACTCACTTGGTACAATGACATCCTTGTTGTGACGCATCAAGTCCTCTAGAATGGTAAATGGCGCTGTCTCAACATCGACATCTCTCCAATAAACCCAGGAATGATACGGCCGAAGAGTAGCACTTAATAGCCAATTACGCGCTTGGGCCATCAGCTTCCGGCGACTTGCCTGTGCCGCAAATCCGTGACGACTCTCCACATCTTGGTTGACCTTCTGACCAAAATCTTTTTCGATGATCGATATTTCTCCATAAGGTTGTTTCGGGTCTTCAGCAGCTTGTAATTCCTCGAGCTTCTCGATTAGCACTTCTAACGTTCTGTCTTTCGAGTCGGAGACGAGGAAAGCGAGGTCGACAAGATGGTGGGGGTAGGTAAAGTTTCGAAGATGTGAGAACATCATATTGAGATGTGGTTCGGCATCTCTTAAAGGGACACACATGAGAATGCGTTCCTCTCTTTCCCAGCCGCGAGCGGTTCCCTGAACATTCGAAAGATCGTAATATCGGACAGTATCCATCAAAACATCGCTATTCGTACTTATAAGGCCCAAGGAAAAAATCGACGTAAATACACCGCTTCCCGATGAGATGAACAGCCAAATCAGAACGACGACGACTACGATTATACCTAGTCGTGTTAATAGGCTTTTCCGTCGACGAGCTGCGGGTGTTGCGGCGCGAGGCTGGAATCTGATTTACTACCAGTCAGTACCTATGTCATTTTTCATAAGGCTAACCATATAAACCATGTCAAGCTTGATTGACGCGCTAGAGACGAAGGGGGTCAACGAACCTGTGAGGGGAGATATCAAATGTGTTATTTCGCGGGTAGCCATTGGAAACTCCGGCGGAATGATGCCGGGACATCATCTTAGAACCGGCCGAAGATGCATATGAAGGTAACATTCGGAGTGTGAGGGGGCGACACGCTGATGAGAGCGCGCGCAAGAGATTTCGAGATCGCTACGGGCGTAAGACCCTTTTTTTAAGGAAGACCGCCGTTTGGGCTGAAGTCTATAGGCGCGAGATGCGTTTACGGATTCATGAGCGAGAATACGAGAACGAATCCCTTAAGTCGAAAAGAAATAGGTCGGTACTATGAGGATTATGGAATTTGAAACTAAATTTTCAATTGCGCGCCGTTGTCGTCGCCGTCGTGGAATACATTACAATCAATACGAGGTACAGGGACGGAATAATCAAAAAGGTGTCGACTTCAGAAACGTGCCAATCACGCTAACTTCTATCGCTCAAATTAGAACATCGATAAGCATTTAACGAGAATAAGCCATCCTCTGCCAAGCCGCGCTAGCAATTATTGAAGCCGTTTCAAGTTGGAATGGTAGCGAATTCTGGGTCTGATTGGTCGACATATCATTTCTATGGAGAGTGCCGACGCACAGACCAGATTGCAAAGTTCAGCCGGCATTTCTATTAATTTATTTCCACATGATTCAATGCTCTATGCTCTCTTATTAATATCCATGGATGTATTCGATGTCGACGACGATGCATGATATACTTATCGAGTATAACCCAACCAATACATTATTCATCGATCGATCAATCATGAGCAAGTATCTAGACGATCAAGTAATATCTTTCAAGTTTTTAGAGGTTGATTAATTATCATTTTACCTTAACAACCTCAAGGCTGTCGTCCAGCCAGGGACATTCTAGTTCTTGCCAGGGCTCTCTCTTTTCCCCTTTTCCTCTCCCCTTTCCATAACCCCTGTTACTTCTGACGCTTGCATGCTCCGAATGATCGCCGTCTAGGTTCATAAAGCCTAGAACACATCACATCTTCTATATGACGAAATGCAACAAATATCCGACGCCATCTCAACATCTTGAGAATATCGCTCAGATTTGCTTCTAACTTCCCGTTTTAGACGCAACTAAGCGTCAAGGTCTCTTTCTAAATTCCATCAGTATTTCCTTATCCCTTTTACAATCGCTGAGCGTGCAGCTTAGAGAAATGTCCCATTAGTGGGAACTGTCGAAATTCGAGCAGATTTTCTTTTTTCCGCCCTCTCTTTTGTGTGTTGCTCGCTATGCTCCGGTATAATCAACCGTCTTCGACTGAACATACCAAAACTGACAAGTATTGCAAACGCTCCAATGATTGCACATACACGCATATCCTCGTTGAATGCGTCGGAATATGCTTGTTGGACAGCGATCTGTTGAGTATGAGTTAGACCATCTCCGGCACCTTCAGGTGAAGGAAGCCAGCTAGTTTCCAAACTTCCAACCTGGTCTTTGATTCTGGTTCCCACAATAGCAGACGATGCAGCAATACCTATACTGCCGCCTAAAACCCGAACTTGAGCCATCACACCCTGCGCAACGGCTATTATAGAGTTAGAATGGGGAATCAATCATACTTCAATGGCTGAAGACTAACCATGATCCCCAGTTGATGATTCCACCGTCGCTGCGATAGTTGCTGTGGACACAATTATGCCAAATCCAAGACCGACAAAAACTAAAAATCCCAACGCTTTCGGTTCAAGCGTAAATGAGCTAGAAAGGGTCGATAATAGTCCGCAACCAAGGACTACGAAACAAGAAGCCACAATTTGCAATTCGAATGTTCTGTTTCCTTTCGAATTGAAAGCTCCCGAAATAACGGAGCCGACGGCGCTAGATCCTAGCATTGGAAGTAGCATGACACCGGCCAGTAGTGAGTCCTTGCCGTTCACTATCTGCAGCCTAAGAGGAAATGCATAGATGATAAGCAAGTAGGGGAATCCGATGAGCAGTGTGTTGAGAACTGCAGCAGCGTACACGCGGTTCCGCAGTAGGCGCATGGGGAGTGCCGGTACTATTTTATGGACCCAGCGTTTCTCGATGAAGATAGACCATGCGAACAAAGTCAGCCACAGGATTACACCGATGATGAGTGGGATAATGAATACGGCCTGTGACCACCGATCTGTCAAGGTGCCGACATTCTGAAATGGGAACACAACTAATACAGCTGCTCCAATGAGAAGGATCGAGCCGAGGTAGTCGAGTTCCCTCCAAGTTCGTCTTTCGGTATTTGGCAGATACTGAGGCTTCGGCCACATCAGGAAGAAGAGAAGCATCGACGCTCCACCTATAGGTCCACTGAATATATGTAAGTATATCGTTGATCTCTCACGCCTAATAAAAAACACACTTGATCCAGAATATCCATCGCCACGATGTATACTCTGTTAATAACCCACCAAGGACCGGTCCTAGCACACCTGCCATGGCTACCACAATCCCAATCATACCTCCGAGGAACTTCTGTGCTTTTCGTGGCGAGATCTCGGGGAGGATTATCATCGTAATAGAGTACAAGCCTTTCAACAGTCAGTCGTCCTGTGCTGACAAGCGGAATATTTACTAACCAGAACCACCGAGTCCTTGCGCAGTCCTGAAAGCTATCAGCTGGGTTAAGCTTTTAGCAAATCCGCATGCAAGTGAAAATGCAATGAAGATGATATATGATACGAGGAACGCATCGCGCCGACCAATAATGTCGGATATCCGAGCGAATAGTACAGCACATCCAAGGTATGCTAGAGAGTAGGCTAAGGCTACCCAGCTGATTGTCGTCAAAGCCTTGAATTCAATTCCTATTGCGAAGAGACTAGTGGCGACAATCGAAGTATCGAGGAACGACAGCAGCAAACCCACTTGAATTCTATTCTCACGTTAACCGGTGATGCTCAAAAGTGTCGAAGAGGTTTCAGCTTACCCGACACTTAGAATACAGTAGCGAAGCAGAGGCAATTCCGGAGGGGCAAGTTCGAGTCGTAAACTTGAATCGCTAGAACCGACAGCAATAGTTTCAGCATCCTCGCTCCTATTGGCATTTTCTGAGTGCGGCTCCATGACTAATCACTTGAAGAGCGCCAGAATGCGTTTGAGTAATTAAGAGGAATTTCATTTTTTATGAAGAATCTCGAAACAAGGATGACTCGACCCGAAATCCATGGTGTCACAATCCTTCACTATCCTTAGATACACGTGTGATACGCATATATGTCATCTACAAAGACCCTACTAGCATGCCGCTAGATGGACGTACAGGGCATACTTATCTCGAGCAACTATCTACAAACCTACTATCGAATCCAATCAGACGAAAGCGAACAAAGGATTTTTGTCACTCAATGTGATTCTTACCGTTACCTCGGTTGTTGGCCAAAGGCTACTCACACGCTATTTGAGACTACGACCCGATAGAATTTCGGAATCAGTGGCTCGCTTTTGCTTGCTGAGGTGTACGACTCTAACCCCACCCCGACCCCTTTCGAGTTGTCCTGGGGTGACTAGCTCCCATTTGGTCGGTAACATCGTATCCCTTAGATAACATTCACGGCCGTATGAGCACCGGTGCCAATTGTTTTTGGATATTTCGCTTGCTCAGACTGGTACCAACTCCTTCGACTATGATTATGGCCAACGGGCTTCAGCCGCTTCATCAATCTGCAACCTCTTGCCGAGGCGGCTTCCGGAGATTATATAGAGAACCACTTATATCCGCGAAAGCATGCATATAATCCACCGCCCAGGAAGCGACAAACACCGATTCTATGCAGCTGGGAATCTGATACAGGATTATTAATCCTTGTTCCCCAGATAACAGCAATCCGCCCTCATCGTCATGATATAGTAAGCTCAGCAGCGATTGGAACTATGGCCAAGCTCACACAACATATTAGTCACGCGCCGCCACTAAGTACAACAGCACCGATGTTTCCCATCTAACGTGGAGAATATACTTATTTTACTTATTCTAGCAGGTATCACTCGTTTCACTCGGGCTCGGTATTTAGCCCTGTCCGATATATCTGGATTCTGGTTGCGCGATTAGATTATGCCGCTAGTAGAACTTGTAAAAACCTCAGATTGGGAATGTCTCATAAGTAAGCCCTAATGAGAGACCGTCATTTCCGTCAACCTCATAACTGGTAGATATGTGAGTTATGTAAGCTACAATATAAACCGACAGTGTGGCTCGTTAAAAGGAACCATACATAATGATGTTCGCTTTTTTCTTTTATCGCAGTTCGCCGTTTTTAATATGTAACAACCGAAGCCATATAAGCAAATCGCTTGGGAACTTTCGGTCCCGAATGAAAGTTTGCCACGAGGAACCATCGCTCAATGGCGGCCGTAGTTTAATATATCTCTTGATTCTAGGAGTCCTTTGCCGCTGCTACTACTCGACGGTATACATACTAGTAGCTAGTATTTACGGCCGACAACAGAAAGGTTCACGAGTCTAATTACTTCACGCTTCTTGGCGTCTACCTATATATCAAAGATATTTCAATCATGAAAATTTCCTAGCTATTTGTCAAAGCAAAGCTTTATTCGGTGCTCTGGTAGTATCCGTTGAGCTAGCATCATCAACAGTATCTATGTAACGTCTCATTTTGTAATGCAAGGTGTCTACACACTACATTGTTGATACTCTCAAGTTAGGTATGTTTCTATTCTATGTAATACTTTAGTGTGATACTATGGCACTCGCGGTATAACTATATTCATTTTCTTAGAGTTGTGGAAGGATCTGGTATGACAGTCATTGGTTCTATCACAATACATACCTCAACATGGCGTAACCAATGGAGTGTTTGTTGAAATTACTATCAAGAACGTTGAAATCGTTACCTTTTAATGTCTGATATGCATAATCTTTATCTAACGGTTCAGATAGTATTATGTATGTCTTGCTCAGTGATCGTTTGGATAATAAAATGCATTACCTACACTACACTACCTACCTAGTTTGAGTCAAGTTCTGGTTTGTCAACTCCCAACAGGTATAAAACATCATAGTTGTAACATCGATGATAGGCTCCAGAGACTTTCCGCAGCATGATACTGGTGAATGAAATATCATTAAAGGTATGAGTTACATAGACATTTATGCTCTAATATGTGTGTACTTTTCCCTTCCATAGCATCGGTTACTAGAGGATTTGGTGTCACGATGTTTACTACTATTTTTCAAGCCGGTCTTCTTGGTTCCAGAGCAAAGTACTCTACTGAAAAGAAAAAAGTAAATAGAAGGCTATGGTACTTATTTCTAAAGGTTAGTCACATTATTTGTATTCTACAAGAGGTCACCCCTTTCTTACATGATGATATGTCTTCTGCATCCTAGCATAAATATTTCATAATTAGTAATGTGCATATTTAATTCATAAACATAGATATGTATTATGGGGCAACTTTCGATGTTCCACCAGATCGATTGGTGCCTGCCATTTCCATCTGATGGCAGCTGGTAGGCGCGATTACAAACATATTGCGGCTCAGCCCCACTACCTGTGCCACGCCCCGTTCCCATCCGAAGTGTCACGGATTCATCGTGGTTTGTATTTATCAAACTATCACCAAGAAGTCATCTATCATATTATATGGGAGCAACTCATTTGCCTTCGCCAAAAAGTAAAAGAATAAAATTTGCGACCACAGAAATCCCTCGATTTCCGATCTATTGGTAATAGCAATTGGTTGGGTGGTTCTGACATCGGTGGATCCTCTTGGATTTCAGCCAAGATGACTGAGATCGTGATGAGCCAAACGCCTCCTATCCTGCACGGGCCGACGGAGAAAGAGAAGAAGTATGACAGACAACTTAGACTCTGGGCTGCCAGCGGCCAAGCAGCTCTCGAGTCAGCAAACATCCTTCTTGTGAACTCTGGTGCCGGTACCGTCGGAGTGGAGACATTGAAGAACCTCGTGCTGCCAGGTAGGGTTATTATCGGCTCACCTTGCCCGACTTATGCTTACACATTAAGATAGGGATAGGAAATTTCACAATAGCGGATGATGCTATCGTGAACGAAGCCGACTTAGGTGTCAACTTCTTTCTTGACGAGAGTTGCCTAGGAAAGCTAAGGTCGGAATGTTGTACCAAGCTTCTCCAAGAACTCAATCCAGAGGTTCGAGGCGAATGGTTTCCAAAGGAACAGGTCCGTAAGGTACCTTTTCAGTGATCAAATGAATATAACGTTAATAATCCATAGGGTATTCTGGATCTAGGTAGCGCTCTAGAAGCATCGCCTATTTTCACCATGATTATGTACACTCATCCTATCAAGGAGGAAATTCTTTCAGTTCTCGAATCCTATGCAAGTCAGCACAAGACTCCCCTATTGGGGATCCATTCCGCCGGATTTTATTCGTACTTTCGCATCAACCTCCCAGGGACGTTTCCCATAGTCGACACCCACCCGGAAGTGGAGAAGACAACAGACCTTCGCCTCCTAAACCCCTGGCCTGAGCTTGTCGACTTTTCGCGAGATATGACGAAGAATATTGATGCTTTAGATGACCATGAACATGGGCATTTACCATATGTCGTCATACTACTCCATTACCTCGAGGAATGGAGACGGTCGCACAACGGCCAAAATCCCATTAGCTACAGTGACAAGACGGCATTTAGTAAATTCGTATCAAGCAAGGCAAGGACCACAAACCCGGAGGGTGGGGAAGAGAATTTCCAAGAAGCTGCAATTGCCATCAACAAGAATATCAAGGCTCCCGAATTAGAACCCGGAGTACAGGAACTTTTCGATCATAAAGTCTCGGATGAGGTATGCGATGATAGGTGGCATTTATGAGGAAGTGTCCAGACTGACGTTGATAGATTGAGCTCCAGTCCACCTTCTGGGTTGTTGCGAAGGCCATCGAGACATTCTACCGCAAGCATAATTGCCTCCCTTTGCCTGGGGCCTTACCCGATATGAAGGCCCAGTCAAGTGTCTACGTCAAATTGCAGAGTATATACAAGGAAAAAGCTCGGAAAGACGCGCATGAAGTTTTAGAGACGGCCAGGGCCATATCAGGTGGCAAGGACGTTGATCCTGCCGAGGTAGACCTCTTCTGCAAGAATGCTCGATTTGTGAAGCTCATCAATGCAACACCAACGAGGGCAGATCTCGATGAGGTTTACGGTTAGTCACATCTGTGTCATGATTTGCCCTCGAGAGTGTACTGACCCCCTGTTAATAGAAACTGAAGTAGCTAACGATGAGGCGGCCGAGGCTATGAAGGTCGAGACCGACGGTGCATTTACGCTACCAATGTCGAACCTCTTCATCTATCTCGCCCTCGTGGCGACTAGTCATCGTATTACTTACAGCGCCGACGAAATAATGAGCTCCATCACCAGCACCGTACCAAAAGCAGCCGAGAATGAGCGAGCCCTCCAGGCTGCTCAGGAGGTAGCTCGAGCTGGCGGCGGCGAACTTCACAACATCTCTGCACTCACTGGCGGCATGGTGGCTCAAGAAATCATCAAAATCATCACGAAGCAGTACATCCCAATCGAAAATACCTGCATATTTGACGGCATCAGTAGCCGGTGCCAGGTACTTCGGCTATAGTAGGTGGATCCCGGAAAGGGTAACAGCCAGCACTAGAGGATATTCCCATAGGCATATCATCCGCAGATCCGGGTTATTCATGGGGAAGTTGGAGAACTAGTGGAGAAATTTGAAAAGCCTGGAAGCTTGGCGCACCTGACGATACTACACATTCACACCATTCACACCATCCCTCCATCTAGCTGGAGAGGGCGGGGGATACACGTCGGACCGCAGACCCTCTGCACCAACCTCGATGATGGTATTCGAAAGCTGCGTCTGGTAACCTCCTGAGCCGACGATGAAGCATCTCTAGTTTTGCTGACTACTGCTACTCGAGAAATCTACCCAGTCGGGTGAAATGAGAATGAGTTACTCTAAATCTGGAGTGCATGCGTACGTGCGGTGTTACCGTTCGCAAGTAGCTGAAGTGACAAGGTGGCTGCCACATGCTTGATATTGTGCATGGAGTTCTTGGGCTGTGTTAGCCCACTTTCCAATACGACTCTCCAGACAAAAATTCCACTGGGTGAGATCTAAGTGGATGTAACTTTCAGGTACGGGAAAACACTGAAACGCCTATTTTCTTCTCTACCGGACTCTCGCCTATAATGATTTTGTTGCCTTCGTCGAGTACGACTCTATTTTCGTCAGTAGAGAGCATTGTGGTTGGCGCTTGGTAGTATGCAATATGCGCTGTTCGAGACGATGGTCTCGTTACGGGCGGGTAAGTGCTTCACTGAAAACAGATCGACGCCAGTATCATAGACCAAGTGGCTCGACCCCGAACTTGTAAATCAAGGCTTTGGTAAGCGAGTGGTCAACCGGATCGAGCACGATAGTAGGAGGGGAAAAGGGTTACCAAATTTCTATACGACTTTCGATGATTGGCTCCAAGTTAACTAGAAGACTCGTGATAGGCCCCTCAGTTATCTTTTTTTGATTGGAGATGGCCGCTCTCGGTCAAACAAACAGTCCACCATGGATTGGGGGTTGGAGGCTATCACGCAACATATTAAAAGAGTCCGGTCAGGTGCTGATCCCCCCTTTATGGAAGCCCTAGTCTCAACTTTCACAATCTGATATGTAGGGTTACTCAACTCTAATGAGGTCGAGAATCTTCGGGAACGAGCTTCGAGGCCTTACGATGTTCTTCGATGGACCAAAAAAGGCTCTGATGGGCAGATTGAGGCGTAACGACTTCCCCAGACGTTTATAGTGCCACTCCATGGCCTCTAAATGGACGGCGATATTTAATTTATTGGCCAATGAGACCGAGCCTTTCTACTACGTTGATTGGCCTCTGGTTATTTATGTGCTGTCAGGGAAACACTCGGTTGGTCATCTTATTAAAGAACGCGGGCACACCAGCGTGGCCTTACGCGAACGATGCATGGCTTGATTAGGCCTAACACGCGTTATCTATCCTGCACGCCCAAGCTTGTCCGCTCGATTTGGACAGTGAGGCACGTGGATTTTTCTAAATCTCGTCTCCCTTAGTTAATATCTGCATGTGTTAATCAAGTCATACATGGACTTGCTCTTGGCCACTCACATGGCACGATTCCGACCCCAACGATGAAAACCCATCATGAGTAATAAAGCTTCGGGGAGGAGTTCACACCAAATACTGGGGGACATTGATAAACATGGCACGCCAGAGCCGAATCTAACCAGATCGCGATGCCCCTTCACTAGCCTTAAGCTGTTATTGCCCACATTTGCTAGCTATAGATACGCTACGCTTCCCCTTCGGCGTCGCCGCCTCTATAAACGTTACGAGACTTGAATCTAGACGATATGTATATAAGCCTGGAGGTGAATGTCCAAATACGGCAAGGCAACATCGCCGACGAACTCTTTCATCCTCTACTATTCATACCTCGGCTTTGGCGTACCTAGTAAGTAGACTGATCCTCTCAAAGTTACGGGGCAGTCCCAAGAAGATTCCGACTACGGCAATGTGGGGACGGGAATAAACAAGCTTAATATGTCGCGGCCTCTAAGAAAGCAGCATCTTGTCTTGACAGTCTGCGCCAAGAGCACCAACGAGGAGATGTCTATCGCTTTCACTCGGTTTTGCCTCACTACTTGCATCACTCGATGTTTAGTAGTATCTCAATATGTCGACTAGGCGCTTAAGCGAGTGGCGTTTCAATATAACCATCAATGTCAGCTGTTACTTTCCAGTTCACTGCACTCCACACTTCTGCTGTACGACGATGAAAAGAGTTGCAGCTATCCAACCGACAAGAGTGTGGGGTAAAGAAATCGACGAGAGCTTGGCAGGCAGACGCCATGCCAGGAACTGGTCCTGATTAGGGTAAAGAGAAGCTTGGAGGGGAGCATTGTCAACGGCGATCCGGAGAGAATCGTGCAGGGTCCCGGGACTTGAGCAAAGCTTGCACAAGCCTCTAAGACCATTGGCGCGACCCTGAGCAGGCACATATCGAAGATACACAGTTAAGTCGTCGTCGATCGCACCGCATCGTACCTAATAGCTGCATCTGAGTCGGGCTGACCCGGATTGGAGTAAAGATCTCGATAAATGGTGGTTCGTGGATGGGACGATATGTCTACTCTACTACCTACCTAATAGTTATTCTATGTCATGATCGTAGGATTCGATCAAGCCCTGAGTAAAATCTGCAAAAAAAAATCGCAAAAACTTGCAAGTTGAGCCCGGGGGGTCATTGAAAGCCGGCCAACTTCACGATGGGCGTTTCTTGGAAGCGGGATCATGATGTACATACTCCAAGATTCCGCCAAGATGGGAGGAATCGTAACTGCGTACCGCTCTGCCGAAGACTAACTACCTTACGTTAGCAGAGTGTGCTCGAGGGGACTGGCCAATCCCATGCCCGCTTCAACTTCTCCGCCCCGGCATCGCGGATCTTTTTTCTCATCGTCTTTTCCGCCCCTAATCTCTTCTTACCCTGGAATTTCGTCAAATAAGATGTGACGACCTCGAAACTTATCAATCTCTTGTTAAGAGAATTCATGATGTAATAATATCGAGGTGGCCGACGAGGAAGTTTTCCTCTCCCGGTTAACGAGTCGCTTACTTCGTTACCTATTCTAAGATCCGAGCGCACATAGTCGAGAGCGCTTCGCAGCTAAAAATTGTATGCGTAGCGCAGCTCTATACGCACTATTGTTATTCATGGTACGAATTATGGGGTTCATCATGGGGTGCACGAATATTATAGCATATACGTGCCTGGCGTTGAGACACTAAGTCAGCGCTTGCTACGTTCTGTATATTAAGTCGAGGTCATGAGTGGCTTCGCGAGTTCTTGTTCATCATAGTCCCGGCCCGCGTGTCTAGGTTCCAAGACTCACAGCCATCGTCCACTAACATAGAATCAAGTCAGTAACCTGCACCCCCTGCTCGTTGTACGGCTCGCTTGCCGGTAAAGCCCTTTTCTACATAGCTAAAAAGGCCGACGAACCCCTGCTTCGCATCTCCCCTGCCCTGACAGCCTGAAGGGTTACGAGGTATCGATAACTGGCAAGTGCTAAAGCAGATCTGGCAGACTGGCTTACAATCTTTCGTTGCAACCCTATCACGGATACACACAAAATTCTGGCCGCTGATCCCGTTCGGAATCTTGAGAGAAAGGCAGTGATCGCGGGGCCGCACCCCTCGATAGAACCCGTGGCTAAGTGGCAGGGGGTCAGGGGTTGTGTTCATGGGAGTCTTGCTGCAACCAGTGAAAATCGAATCTGGCTTTCCCCAAATCTGACCCAGTCGCCGTCAAAGGTGTCAGGACCGGAGATTTCATACGCCAGGAATTTCACGCGAATCAAACTGACTGCCAAAAGACATGCCAAAACATCAGATTCTGGGCGGCGCTATGAAAAAAAAAAATTAGAAGAAAAAAAAGAACCCTTGCCCAAAATCTTATTTGGACTTTTCCTGCATGAAACTTCTTACCCTAGTCCCATCCTTTAGGCGGGAGGCTATTCCACGCCTTTAGAAGCCGTCCGAAGCCTGCACGTCATCTTGTCGCCCACATGGGAAGTCTTCGGATTATATCTCAGCATGCCGAACGGCGTCAGTAACCTGGCCCTGGTATGAAGAGGCGGTCATTTACCTAGCAAGGGCTGAAACACCAAGGTATTTCTACTATGTTCATCTTCTATTGGTTCAACTTCCCGTAGCTCGAGTCATTGCCGCTGACAAAGGGCATGATGCTTCTTTTATGAGCGTTGCATACGAGTTACTTGGCTTAACTCAGATAAATCATGCTATATACTAGACTTGACATGACAAGATATCATACGTCTACCCCCTGTTTAAGCCAGATCTAGTATATACACACCAAACACACCAAGTACACCATACAATATCATCCATCTATCGAAGAGCATTGCCTCTTGTGGCGAACCTGCTAATCGTTTCTCAACAAGACGGCATTGATCTCCAGATGCGCGTTTCCCTACTTGACCAGACCGTGTCTTTTTCTGGTTCGAAAGGCACGTTCCTTGACTACCCTAACTTTAGTGTACAGGTCTGGGTCTAGCCTGATCGACTCGTCACATCTTATAGGATGTATGGAGGTGTGGAGGTATACCCGATACGCTATAGTCTCTCGGTTCCTGATCAGACTAACACCTAGAGTTACTTTACTCCACACAATTTATTTGCCAGCCCTTCATCCCCAGAATCTCCAGGTCCCCCGCCAAAATGGGTTGCAAGGCAATATCGTATATAAATCTTCTTAGAGTCCGTGTTGTCGGTCCTGGGTCCAAGACGGTCTCCCCACATCCCCCGGATTGCTTATATCTATTTTGAAACTTTTCTATATCACTTTACTCAACCTTACTCTCACATCACATCACATCACTTCACACCACATCGCCAACTGCTTGCATAGACTTCGAGTAGAGCACTCGGGAGTACCTGAGCCAACATGGCGCCAAGTATACCAATTCCCACCCAAGGTGGCATGTTTCATACCTGTAAGCTATCTTCATCTTACGGTGTCTTAGTTGGATCATTCTGACTTGAATTCAGTCCAAGGAGTTACTCCTAGGAAGCAGTCTACTGATTCTACAGAGAGCGCCAAGACGAATGGCAACGGCACAGCCAAGCGTATCACCACACCTCATGCATGCGCAGAATGCAAACGCAGGAAAATGTAGGCCTTGTGCAACACCCTAGATTTACTGCCGGGAATTGCTCACAATAACTGCAGTCGATGTGATGGCCAACAGCCATGCGGCCAATGTCTCTCCAGTAGAGCTCCTAAGCGATGTTTCTATGACAAGCACCGCCAAAGAGTGATTCCGTCGAGAAAAACTCTCGAGGCTTTATCGCAGTCTCTTGAGGAGTGTAGATCGATCCTTAAGAGGTTATTCCCTAACCACGAGGTTCAGTCTTTGCTCCCATTACCTCGCCATGAGCTTCTCAACCTCCTCGATCGACCTCAAATCGACACTACGACGGCACTACCATCACCGCCGTTACATACATCCCCCATGTCTGGCGATATGGGCTCACCTTCTCTATCTGGATCGGACCAAGGTCTTTCCAGCTTAGAGCAAATACCGTCCAGAGATATCGAATGGGACGAAGAGCGCCGAGGACGCGACCCTATTCCGGTTGAAGCAGACGACGTAAACGCGCTATCCCTCTCAGTCGACCGCCAAGCATCGTATCTGGGTGCTTCATCCATCAAAGCCGCACTTATGGTAATGCTAAAGGTCCAACCCGGCCTTAGGAATTCTCTCACTCCCCCACTTAATAGTGTAGAAATGGCCCACAATCTCCCCATCATGAGACAAAAAGTTACAAACCCCAAGGAGCCATCACGGGTACCCTGGTCGTGGAAGGGACAGACATTAATCGACGCGTACTTCAAGCGCATCCACGTATTCATCCCAATGCTAGACGAGGCCTCTTTCCGCGCAGACTACCTCGAGGGCCAGCGATACGACGCCCCCTGGCTCGCGCTGCTCAATATGGTTTTCGCCATGGGCTGCATCGCGGCGCTTAAATCCGACGACTACAACCACCTAAACTATTATAGCCGAGCTATGGAGTACCTACCCATGGACTCCTTCGGCAGTAGCCACATTGAAACCGTGCAAGCGTTAGCGTTAATCGGGGGTTACTACCTGCACTACATCAACCGCCCGAACATGGCCAACGCCGTCGTCGGCGCCGCTATCAGAATGGCCAGCGCCCTCGGCCTGCACCGCGAGAGCCTAGCCCACGGCCCCGCCGGCACCAGTAAGGAGATCGCCGCGGCAGAGACCAGGCGACGCACTTGGTGGAGCTTATTCTGCCTCGATACCTGGGCCACGACAACCATGGGCCGCCCCTCCTTCGGCCGCTGGGGTCCTGCAATTAACATCCGCCCTCCTGAGACAGGCGTCAGCACAGGTCGCGACTCCGCACAACACGCCGGCATCCTACCCCTAGTCGAAAACATCAAGTTCTGCAAGATCGCCACCGCGATCCAGGATATGCTCGCCATCTCCCCGCTTCTCCGCGCCGAGGACCGCTGTAATCTCGACGGCCAACTCGTAAACTGGTTCAGCAGTTTGCCTTGGTTACTACGCACCAGCGACCCCTGCGCCGAACCGCTGTACATCGCGCGCTGCATCATGAAATGGCGGTACCAAAACCTGCGGATGCTCCTGCACCGTCCGGTCCTGCTGAACCTCGCCTCCAGCGGCGCCAGCCACGCCGCCGAGCACGACATCGCGGCCATCGAAGCGTGTCGGGACCTCGCGAAGCAGACGATCGAGGATATCTCGCGCGAGTGGTCGCGCAACCAGATGTCCGGGTGGAACGCGGTCTGGTTCCTCTACCAAGCCGCCATGATCCCGCTCGTCTCCATCTTCTGGCAGTGGGACAGTCCCAGAGTCCAGGATTGGCAGAAGCAGATCGAGACCATCCTCGAACTGCTCGAGGCCATGGAGGATTGGAGCTTGGCGGCCAGACGCTCGAGGGAGGTCGTCTGGCGCATGTATGAGGCATCGAGACAGCTTGAGCCCGCGCTGCTACGACAGTCCCAGCAGAGCCCGATGTCCCGCCTGCAGGTCGTTACGGATCCCACGGGTGTGAGTATGGGGTCTCTTAGCGCGGACGGCGCGGATCTGCATATGAGTCCTATCGGGCTTGAGCCCGAGGGGTTCGGGGGCATGATGGGTATGCTGGACCAGCATGGCTTATGGGATCTCGACGGCATGCTTTGGGGCGCGCCGGACGAGATGGAGTGGGCGCAGCAGCATTTCGGCGCCGGAACCGGGTCCTTGCATGATGGCGCGCCGGCGGGTGGCTGCGGGCTTATGGGCCAGCTTGGCGCTTACGGCATTGATGGCTCGGCGTTTTCTTTCGTTCACTGATTTTACGTACGTGGTACATACCGACTTACTATTCGTCCATCCATTTGCTGGGCGGACGTGTACGATGGGGAAGAGATACTTGGCTACGCAGCTGCGACTACTGGTGCTGTTGTTACGATGATTGGGTGGATGTTTGTTTGTTGTATATCGGATTGGACGGGCTGGTCAATTGAAGAAAAAAAACCTTTTCCGCTCTTCGATACCTCTATTTCTTTTTGGCTTGTCCTGTTTTGGTTTTTTAGGGGTCCATGATCGTCGTTCGCGATATGCATGTACGTTTCAGCGATGATACCTCTTGACGTTGGATGCGTCCGTGGTTGGGTTACAACAGATTCAAAAGGGTAAAAGGGGGGGATATTGGACACCGGGCCGGCGGACAACGTTTGTTCTTTTTTGGCTTGTTCACTGTCTGTTCGATACGTTCGAAGGTTACATATCAACCACGTTGGGATGGTTTGATGGAGTCTGGGGAATCGCTGCTACATCATCACATTACACTACATCACTTACTGTTATTGCTGCTGCTGCTGCTGCTGCTGCTAATGCTGCTGTTACTACTACTACGTAATGGGGAATTGAGATACCGAAAAGTTTTAACGAGATGATGTGTCATAAACGTGACGAGGGAGAGGTGTATGAGACTCACATACCTGCACTTTCTATACCATCTTATCTAAGTAGATGCATCACTATACTATTATTAGGCGAGTGTCAATTTATCGTGCACTACATAATACTTAAAGCGACCGAAATAGCTCCAAATGTCTAGCTTGACGTCTTCTGGAGAAAAGGAAGACTCGATGCGGTTGGTATGACATATGTAGCTGGCTTGGCATTTTCAGTAGGTACCTAGGTAGGTAGGTAAGATGTCTAAGGGACTGAGATCCGAAGGATGAGAGTCCCGTCGGCGGTAGGCCGGCAAGTAAAACAGGAAATCTGGGGTAGATGGATAGTATGCTTAACCTGCTTGAAGCTTATTCATCTATGTTCGGATACTATATAATTACCACATACTTGGTGGGTGGTTCGTATTGGTTTACGGAGATAGTGGGCTACACATTGCGAAAGGGGTGGTGAAACAAGAATCGTCTCGATGAATCTTGATCTTGGAAGTTGGTGTTGTGAGTTTAGTTCCTGCGCTCGATCTTGTCGGGTTCACAACTGGGTCTTCATTTCGCTAAATTTATAAGGGTGTATGAATCCTAGGGCAAACCGGATGGTTTTCTGAGCCTTGCTAATACACTATGTCATGGAATTTCGAGTTTCCTAGGAAGAAGAATGCAGAAGCATGTCACAAAGTTGAAAGGGGTAACTTGATACCCACCAACGTCAGTATGGTGGAGATTTTTTTATCTTAAGATTGATAGAACAAGCATTGGACACCGTCATGATCTCTTGGTTTTCTCAAGTTACATGAATCAGTCTCGACGACATCTTTGACATAGAATATCCTTTTCCTTTCGAATTTTTTAATTATCTGTAATACTATTGGTCACATTATAATAAGACATTCTAGGGTACACAATGTCTTGCATGTGCAAGGGGGTTCAAACGACTATTAATAATCAGAAAAAAAGGTATGATTGGATGGTCGGCTTGTCGACCGTAGGATGACGAGACTGGGGAAAGGATAGGGTATTATGATTGGTCGACTTCTGGGCAAGGGTTTTTAATCCCGGCACAATATGGTATTTCGGGCCGTGACGGATGGCTTGGTGATGTCCTCCTAGTAGCTCTCAAGGCTTCTAATGAGGGAGAGTACCTGGTACCAAGCCTCTGCCGCCCGGTAACAATTCCCGACGTGCTGTGTTACAATGTCACCTAAGTACCGCTACTCCATGCAGCCACCCATGCAGCCATGTCAGACCCCAGCCATGGCGTATCTGGGGTCTGTTTGCTGAATGGACGACGGAAAGTCCCGTGCGGGGAAGAGGAGAAAAGTTCTTTAACAATATTTCCGCGATTGGAGAGATCTAATACTGACAAGTGAAAATGTTGCTGAAGAAGCGAACTACTATGAGCACTTCGCTACAGAGACTTCGTGTGGTTTCTTATGGTACTCGTGATCAGGAGGCCGCTCGCTTGTTAAGTGAGGAAACTTGGCGACAGTGCCGATGTAGGTTAGGTGAGTAGGTCTACACCGGCAACGTCTAAGAGCACACGCCCGTTACGTTGTGTGTCGTGCATCGTTGGAGAATATCACGATGTTTCAATGGAGGGTCGATAACAGAGTGAAGATCACTAGGAGATGAGATGGAGAGATGCGGGGTAAGAGAGGGTCAGAGAGAGTGTTTGAGAGATCTTCGATGATGGTAATCTATGATCTCCATGATCCTATCATTTTTCTCGATTCATATCTTCCCTCCTTCATCTCTCATTTCCTCCACCAGATTATTGATGGTGAGGAGATATCGCACCTTATGGCAGTTGCTTCCACTCCTCTCACCTTTATCTGCCTTACCACGTTTCGCAGCTGTTATCATTAGGTTGGGTATCTACCGACTGTTGTGTCGCACGAGACTGCAGCGGCAGTCAACGCAATGCCAAGTTTCTCGAGAAGCGAAGAGGTCTCAATGCCGCAGGTTCCCGTACGACGAAGGCACTCGATGATGAGGGGCTACGTACTATGAACTTCCGATAGTGCGTCACTACATCAGAGAACTACGCTTGGTAGAAGTATCTAGTTGGTCTGATCGGCTTCTCTCGTCTTTCAGGCCTGATCTAACCGCTTGCGATCGATTCGCCGCCGCCACGAGTTTGATTACATGCGTTTAATTTTTCACTCGTGACGCGTCTTATTTCTAACAACGCCTCTGGCATCGACGAGCCCTGGGATATATCTAGGGGTTTATAACGATCTTACTCATCTAAGACCCCTGTGGTGGCGTTGGAAAGATTCATCAAGAACTCATACGATCATCAACGCTCGCTGGAACTGTCCTTATTAACAAGGGAGCCTGTCACCGGTGTACGTAGAGAAGGCCACGTCTCATGCGATGCCAAGACCGGTCGATTCCTGTAGCATTGGCTAGCGGGAGGTTTTATTGCATGGTATTACGACTCCCCTCTCTTATGATGGTCAGTAATCAACTCTGAGGCTTATGAAGTGGAGCTGGTGAGGTTGGAGATTGGAAATCTATTCTTCTCCACTTGGTCTCTTTCAACAAGCGTTTAGTCTAGAAAGGGATAAGTGAACTAAATCAACTGACTAGAAGGTAGCTTAGTTTGACTACATATAGTTGACTGGAGTAGTAAGCTGCGTTCACAGATGGATAGTAGTACTGCGAGTCTGCGACCTGTCTTACACACGCAGCCGATATGCCGTGTACTAGGTATGTAGTAGCATAGGCCACATGGCAACATGCCTCGCTTAAGTACCCCATGTCAATAGTTCTTGTGCGGTTCTGTGTTGCTACCACCTACATATAACGGTCTTGACCAACCATGAGCGCAGTCGTATTATTCTTAATGGTTCTAACTGACAACTGGTGGTTTAGGTAAGTCGCGCTACCTCACCGAGATTCGAGGAGGCGGCCAAGAGGTCCGATAGCGATGGGGATGGGATGATTTTAGGACTTTGGTGTTGAGACGCCAAGAAACTAGGCCCGTAGTCGAGCGACTCGAGCCGTGTTTTATTACGACGTTGAGTCGCAGCGTAAAGGTTTTCAAGCGAAATCCTGCCTCGACTAACAACAAGCTTTCGTGACATCTGGGGTACTAAGGGTTTGATCGTACGCTACGATAACCGCACTATGAACAAGCATTTTTGACTTCTCGTTGCCCTTGTCATAGTGGTATTCCAAGCCGACTCTCTCAGCACGTTCTTACCAGCCGTTTTACCGCTGCGCGAACGCGCGTCGATGGCTGGTTGCGAAGAAAATTTTTGTAAATATCTGACTTTTGATGGGTTGGGTTTGCTGTAATGCATGTAAGAAGGCTCTTTCGTGATCTGGATGCGCATGACATCGTCGTCTAGAAGCTTAGGTAGATGTTGGGGTCAAGAATATTCTATTCGAGGTATGATCTTCAAGATCTCCCTAGATCTCCAGGATATCTTCCTTTTCACCGGGTACGACACAGATTTTGCGCCTCCTCCCCAATTCATCATATTAGTGGTTCCGGCCTATGAGATGACAAGGCGACGGTGGAAGTGGCGATCATGATCTCAGGGTATTTTCGTACTCGTACGGTATACGAACGCTGATGTCTACGACCTCAGGAAAGGATAATTTACCCCAAGACAACCCAAGATTGAGAGCGTCAGTTCGTTTCACTGATTCAATGTTAGCTTCATTTCCGGTGGGATTCTCGAGCAATCCGAAGTTGTCTCCAGGCCCCAAGCAACCAACCTGTCATCATCCCTGCAGTGTCGATACGTGTAGGGCTTGACAACCTGCGAATCCTCCCCGAATGGCGTCTTGGCAGCTTTTATATCTATTCGTATGGGTGTTGAGCTAAGTCAACGATATGCCAACCTCTCCGGCCTCACCGGCATTCTTGCCTCCACTGCCGCCGGCTGGTATGTTGGAGTACCACATCGCCTACTGCACGTCCGGCGTACCTGCGTCGCCGATCCCGGACCACCTAGTCTTAGGCGAGATCAAGTATAAGGGGAGGCCTTCAGGGAACACACCGTAGGTCCTCCCGCATCAATTATGCACGAGACTCCTCACAATCGCACAGGCAATAGGTAGGGCAGGAACATGCATGAGGTCGTACTGGTCCGCTAGCGCGGGTTGCCTCCACCACCACCAGCGCGGCGTCGTTGTCCGCTTTGGGAAATTTACCCCGGCCGGGATATCGGGATCGCGAATGAGCTCCTTGCCGCGCTGCGCTGCTCCGGCTGAGTTGATTAGGACCGCCGGCGAGCTTATCCCACGTTGCCGCCGGCTCTAAGAAAAGAAAAAGAAGCCTGCCTGCCCCCCGGCTGACGAGACCCGGGGTTCTGGTCCTAGGCTATTAATGGTTTCAGGGTGAATACCCCATGCATGGCGCTTGCCGCACGTGTATCAGATCGACGTTAGGGGCGCGGGAACATGGCTTAGCTTTTGAACTAATCTAGTAACACGTGGTTGATATGAGAGAAAAGATGGAGATGCGTGGAGTTTCTGGGCGTTGAGATGAACGGCGTTCTCTCGAGTCGGGGTATCGTGTGTTTTTGCGGATCCCTAAATGGATATGGGGTCATGGATAAAAGAGGTAAAGATGGATCCGCAGCGTTTCTAGATTTTCAGGAACCTATTCGCTGTTAATATGCCACATTAGAATTGTAGGACTCCACGGGTTTAGTTGAGGACTACATGAGTCAGATTATTCAGGGGAATAAGACCGATTCTAGGTTGAAATTTGCCTTACATGCCATAACTGTAATTAGGTTACCTAGGCATGTAATAGGTTGGAACATCCATAAGTGCCCTTACCTAGTATTTATGGGTTCAGTCTACATACAGGTAGATACCTATTCGTTGAAGCTCGTTACATACCAGGTAGATACCTATACATTGATAGTAGACCTCACCCTAACCCTAACCCTAACCTCAGCTTTAACCCGAAGTCAACCCCAACCACACGGTAGTTGTGTAACAATACTCAGATGGGAGAAAAAATTTGAGAACACTCAATGAACTAACCTAGGATGTTTAATCTAGACCATTCAGGCACACAGAAAGTAGTCCTAGGTTGTGGAATACATGGTGGAAAGGGAAATTGCATGACTGTATCACGTTATTCTAACTTCACTTCAAAATGGGGACTTGTTTTCTGACGGAATGACCACCTGCCTGACTGATAGTCACTATAGTGTCATTGATTATTCACTTTAGACAGTCACAGTCAATATTAACCTTGGAATATGAAATCTTTTCTCGAAAAGATAGATAGGAGGTACCTTCCTGATATTTATTTCAATCTACAAATTAATCTTCGAAGGGGCCCAAATTTCTTCACCTCTACATATCTCTTTCATGCTTCCGTAATACCTATCAAACAGATACAAAAACATAGACACCTACCTAAAGAAATAAAATCAACATATCTATCAAAACATATCGCCAATCCTTCGACATTACCCATATATTCCCGTCCGACGATCACCATGCACGGCTTGCAGAAGGCTAGACTGAGGAAGATAGCCTGGAATACATTTTGCGTCCAAGGATATTGGCCTGTACAAGAAGTCGTATACGAGGCAGAGTCAGACGGAACACCCTGCCTTGTTATCGTATTCAAATCTATAGTTTCTTTATCCCTCAACGAAGAACTGGGATACATGCAAAGGTCCATTCGCAGCGACACGAGGTTCGGATTGAGGGACTTTCACATCGACATCATGGCCCGTGGCCGCCCGGAAACGAGAACGTGCCTCGTTGAGCGTTCTGGCGAAGATACCGAAGGCCCCCTCAGACATCGAGGCATACTTTAATGGCGAAGATGATGAATGTAATAGGAAACACATAGGGGTTGTGACGGCAGGATAGAGGTGGCTTGCAAGGAGATAATGGATCTTATGAGATACGGGTTTTATAGGTATTCTACCATGACGATTTTTGATGAAAGTAAAGCTAATTATCCCAAGATTCCCTCATGGGCTAAGGGAGAATATCGCTTCGATTACAATATTGAGATTACGGTGTTGGTGTCTACCTAGGTATTGTTTTCCGTAGCTTATCACTGTCTAGGTACCTACACGTTAATAGACACTGTGTTCGTCTAATGCAAAGCAATCTTAATTGAGAACTTGTTTGTAAAGGGAGTTTTATTAATCGTATTTAGAAAGTTTGTCTTAATGTAATGTGATGTTGCTATCCTAGCTCTCGGATCAGCTCAATTAATCCATGTGTTGGGGTTAGGGTTAGGGTTAAGGCAAGCTAGAAGTCTTCACCCCTCGTCCTGTCTAGCAATCATAACAAAGGTCGCACTGTTGATAGATGAAGACAGCAAACTGGATAGCTGAAACAAAGTAAATATTTGCTCCTATCCCTAAACTGAAGGACTCGGACTAAAAGGAGGTCGAACCGCCACATATCCGATTACTTAGGTAATCAAACTCTTGTACCTCATGAAGGATAATTACTAATTGCTGATTAATGCCCAGTGCCTATATGGTCAACTACCTACCTAGCCTAGTTACCATACCTCAGTTTAAAATGATATAGCTGAATGGAAATTCTTGGAGTAGCCGGGGGAAACCGTATCTAAGTTGGGTTATTATAGAGAATTAAACGGAGTATTCAAAAGATGTAAATTTAACATGTCGAGGATTCGAACTCTACGGATATGTGGTTTCGGTTCAACTCGAAGTTTTTATTTTACGAAAAATTAAAAGCAAGCAACGAAAACGTACTAAAACGATAGACGGGAACATATCTACAAGGTCAATTACATAAATCGTTTGAGTTGTCCTTCGTACAGTAATTATGTGATCCAGTAATTTGGACTTAGTCATCTACATCCTAGTTACCCTAGTACCGACCAAAATTGAGAGTTTGTCGCAGTCCTGACGTAGGGACTCACAAAATTTGACTTGGTCAAAGTTGAAGACATGCAACACATTCATACTGTGACGTGGAAAACTTTTTTCTTTTTTTCTCTCCCATCTTGAATGGAAACATCGAATAAATATTCAAATTCCCCATCCACCTCCTCAGCACCCATATGAGAAGTTCCGTATTTTCATTCATCCCTTCCTACACTTAATATCACTGGTACACTTTATTCCACAACAGCAACATCACCTCCACCTCCCATAATGTCTTTTACCTGGGGCAATCTTAAATCCATCCCGCAGAAGTTTAGAATCGAAGGGCACGTCAGCAATGCCTTCCGTATGTACTCAATAAATCTCTTGCAAGAAGTGAGATACGACGAGGACAAGGATGACGGCACACCTTGCATACTTATTATCTTCTCATCTGTTCAAGCGCTTTACTGTGTGGGACAGCTGGAACTCGTCCGACGAATGATCGAAAAAGATCATGGAAATGGCCTAGATAAGTTTCGCATTGATAGTAAGTACCTACTATACGTACCCATTTATATCTTTTACTATCGATGATGGCTTATTTTGAGGTATGATAGTCATGGCAGCTTGCGATAAAGGTTCGCGAAAGTGTCTAGTAAGACGTGCGTCGAAGCATCGGGAACCTCACCAGAAGCCATGATAGAAAATCCAGAAAAATCAGAAACACGAGACGGTGTATACCTGAATAATAGGAGCGTCGATTAATAAGCGAATTTAGTACTGGAATTACATGGAATGAGAGATGGATCAACGAATGAGTTACGCCTAGGAGAAAAAGCGAAGGAATTTACTCGACATTGATTTAAGGGGTAAGGGGGAACGGATAGCGGCGGGTTTAGACCACATTTTTCATGGGCGCTGTTTCCATTTCATTAAGGTCTAGAAAGCATACGATGGAATATATACGAGCGCTTGCAGGGAAAGAGCGATTGATATTTATTTATAGCCCGTCAAAGCTTTGAGCGTGGAATTTAATGTCGCATTTAATTTTACATCTTTTCCTTTCCCTCGAGATTGATATCCTGCAGATGTACCTCGACCTACGAAGCAACCACAATCCCATCGCTAATTGCTTTCCTTTAATAATGGAGCACGTACTACGATGCAATGCTCTTAAATGTCGGAAGGAGCTTGGCGATAGGGCGCTGGTGACCACCTGTAGCCATATTTTTTGTTTGGATTGCGCTGCTCGTCTAGGATTGACAGTACAAGGGCATGATTCTCGTAACTCATGCCCGGCGTGTGGTTCCCATCTAACAAACCCTGATGACGCCGTTATTTCCAACCTTAATCCAAGTGAGGATTATAAAACGAGTGTCCTAAGTGGCCTTAGTCCCAATATTATCATCGAGTGCGCGAGCAGAGCTCTCAGCTTTTGGGCCTATCAGGCTACTCAGGAAGTGTAAGCGACATGATTTCCTCCGATAACGAGCCGTAGCTCCCTCAGAACAAATCAATAAGCCCCAGAACAGTCGCTAACACAATCGTTGTAGCGTTTACCAGGAGCACCTCAGCAAGGCTCTTACCGAGAAATACTCGAACCTCAGTGTTCATCTCGACAAGGTTATCAACGAGGCTAACATAGAAATCACCAATCTCCAAAATAAGCTCACCGGAAAGTCTCTTCCCGTTTCATATCCAGCTACACTGTTACTGACCATTTATAGGCATGAGGATGGACCAGGATAGCCTCCGTAGAAAGAATGATGAATTAACCCAGGCATATAAAGAGAAAAACCGAAAACTGCTCCAAATCCAAGAGTTGTACGATAAACTCAAGCGAAAGGCGATGCTTGGTCAAATACAAGATGCGGCAGAAGATGCAATTGATTCAACGCTTCATGGGTCACCCTCAGCTCGTGCACTGTTCGAGAGTGGGAGTCAAAATCTTACGGGTTACGAAGAGACAGAGACACCCTACGGGCAACAGCAATATCCGGCATTTCACGAACAAAGGATGCCAGTGGGATATCAACATCAAACTACGACCAAAGACTACGGTAGCACATGGCCTAGGACTACGGGATCTCAATGTAAGTCACCATGCCCCTTTACTTGACGAGAAGTGCAAGATAGGAGGCTGATAGCGAATAGCGAATGTACCGGTCACACCGTCAAGTCACCGTCAACGTGTTGTTGAACCAAGTGGTATGGGTCTATCAACGATTCCAGGCCTTGTCGCAGGTACGCCTCAAACACACCACAACCACATAAATATGCGACCACCACAAGCATCTCAGGGTGAGATATTGTCTGGTCTCCAAGGAAATCCGAGGTTTCCGGCAGTGGGATTAAGCTCTGGATTGAAAGTCAGTCATGGTGGAGGAAACCCAGACAGGCTTGCCGGTTCCTCAACAAGACCACGAGGTTATTCTCCAAAATCAAGGACATATACAAGCTAGACGGACTGGCTAACTTGGAAGTAGTAACTCAAAGACCAACACCGGTTCCTTCGAATTTTAGCAGAAGACCGGTAGGTGGACAACCAGAAAACATTCTCGGTGGAATTAGAGGGGGTTTTACCAATATTTAAGTGTCTGCTAAGGTCGCAGATGAAACAATGCATTGTTGTAGCAAGAAAGAGTAGGTATGTATCTGGCGAGACAATATTCTTTAATATTTGGGCCAGTTGTTATCTAGGTAGGTACCCGTGGTAGCTATGTCAACAATGGATTATAAAGGGAGCGGGTTATGTGGGCAGGTTACTAAGGATTCGTTCTTTGTTGTTTACTTATATCATAAGGGGATTGTTCTTTCAGGTTCGCATCTTACTGAAACAACCCACAGTTCTAAACAATAGCATTATCCTAGCATTGTACGCGATTGTTTTCGTTGCCCTATATATACAGTGGCGCCAGGCGCTTAGTGTTTTTTGGAATTTTTCTTATGCACTAGGTCTTCTCCAAGAAGCAAAGCATTCAAAATACTCCTACCCAACGAAAGAAATCGATATCATCCCAGAATTAGTTTCGACGAAATGGCATCGCGACAACCCCAATACCGACAATATGGCGGCTCAGTAGAGCGCTTACCCCTTCACAATGGGTCTACGCTGGCGTATGACTCAAATAGTAGTGTGAAGGATGTCAGACTACATGAATCAGCGTCGAATAAAGGGGTTGACCGAACGCTACGACGTGTTCCTAAGGACGCGAAGTTATCGAGCTCTTTCGGCAATTGGCTAGGACGATACAAGGCCAAGAAAGGAGAGAACCTGGATCGGATCCGTATTAGTGACCCAATGCCAATACAACAAACACCGTCACGCCCTAAACGTTCATCTTATACACCTGAGTTGGGTAACGGGTCCCACGAGCTCCTCAGATCAGCAGCACCGAAGCCTCCACCAAGAGATGTAGAGATTAAACGAGAGAATCTTGGCGGCTGCCACGAAGCATTGAGGTCTCACCCTATTGCTCCACAACCCTCGCCTAAAGAACGAAATGTTGCTACTCGACAGACGCCCCTTAAGCATACAGCTAAGAGCGGAAACTCGAAAGCCGTAGCACACGATGAACCTCGGACTAAGGGGACCACTATGGAGCCCCGGCAGAAGACAGATGTTAAAACTGAGCGGCGAAAGGGCCGGATTTTCTTAGATACAACAGACATGTACGAATTTCCCAACCCAGACACCTTTGAAAGTAGCGAGGAGAATGACGACGACGGTCATATTTGGGAAGATGCTGGTTTTGACGATCCCCAACCAGTTACCAAAAATGAATCTGCACCGAAGATTACTATTACGCAACCAAGCGATGACGGATACAGCTCGATGAAGAGCGAAGAAACCCCTCAGCGACTACTTGGTGTTGATGATTGTTATAAAGTCCTTTACGAAGGGCAAACCAAGGAGATGCGTGGACTACGTAATACTCTGCGCTACTTGGTGCCGTTGGCATGGCTTATTGCAGATGCGGAAGGCGTTGATCCGAATGATATAGATGCGTTGGAGGGCGCACTCAAGACCATCATCGCAGATCGAGAGAAACTTTTTGATCTCTTTCCCCTGGCTCAGGTATTGGCTGAAGACCAGAAGGTGGATATTGACGACTTCAAGGCACTTCCCAGAGCTCTCCAGAATGTTATGGCAGACCGCGATAATGCAAGGCGGATGGCCGACTACCACAGGATGGCTAGTCGGAGACTCGAGGGGAGGATTGCAAAATTGGAGAGAGAAAGAGATAGCGAGGACAATGAAGAATACCAGTGGTTGTAAGAGGACCATGACGAAGACGGAGTACATCTAGAGTCATTGCACCCTGCTATCTAATTCTATGAAGCGGCGGGCAACGACTAATCTCGACTGAAGGGGAGTGCAATCCGGAGCACCCCCCTCTTCACGGGTACTCCTTAACCTGAGTCTTCTTTTCCTATGCTCCTACATCTACTACTTATTCAACTACACTACATCACTACTACATCTACTACTTAACTATATCTACTGCATATACCATATCTACTACTCAACTTCTACACTACTACACTACTACATATAGGGCTATGCCTAAGGACACCTATATAACATCTACTAAGTAAGTCCAGCAACCCTCTTTAACCTACCTACTTATCTGTACATTTGGAAAGTCGGAACCTGATTACAGGAATTATATAACGGCAAAAAGCGGCACCTCTTACTAGTACCAGAGGCGCTGCGCCGAATCGATCGATTGATACTACTACCTACTTATTCGACAATACCTACCCACACCTTGGCTAAACAAGGTTATATACTATACATCTACTATTAGACGTTGAAGAACGTCAATAAGACCTAGGCACCTCTCTAGGTAGGTAAATATATCATACCTCCTTACCTACACCTATCCTTATCCTCCAATTACATACCTCTAGCGGTACATATATCGGGGGTTCCAATGGAAGCCCCCATTAACTAACTCCATATTTTCCCCTATTGTCTTGTTCAACACTAAGACAAGGGGAAACGTACTTATCTCAGTACACGATTACTTACCTATGTAGAATTGGGATAGAATACCCAAGATAGCGTACCTTAAGTACTAGGTACATGATAATAAGACGAGCGCATCCATTCATCCTGGCCAGGTGAATGGACAAGCGAACACTGCGAACACGATTTTCCTTTATCTTTCTTTTGTCTACCTATTTGGGAATCTCTTATGTCTTTATAGTGATGCGCTAAATGGTTTGTCACGTAATGAGTAATAATTAATAAATAACGCTTTGCCGGCATACTTCTTCTGCTGATCGTGACCTCGTCTATAACCTCGTAACTGTAAACATCGTACTCATAAAAATGCTAGATGTAATTATACTAACTAAAAACTTCATGTCTAACTCCAAGCGTAGTACTCATTAGGGTAAACCGTAGTTCTCCTCTTTTCATCACCTCGCCACCTCAAACACGGTATACTATCGCCCCGTTTCTCATCCTCAACCCCTATCCCAAACTCTTCCGCAAGATACTTCGTCGCATTCCTTACCTCCGGGCCAGGACTCCAAATGATGACCTTCGTTGTCTTCCACCGCGCTGCCTCTTCAACAGCGGAGAGTAGAAGCGCCGCTAAGGCCTTGGTGGCGTTCTCATCGCTCTGGCCCTGGGGTAGTTTGATGCGCTGAATCGTCATTTTATGTGCATGCAAGTCGTGGAACCAATATACCCACGATCCCGCGCTCTCGCAGATACTCCCTTTGGCCTCGGGGATCTTGCCCGCTAGCTTCGTGTTCATGAAATTCGCCCGCGTCTGTAGCCAGCTAATCATATCCGGAGTGGGGACAACGGTTAGCAGGGTTTCGTCGGCGGCGGGGTCGTGGTTGCGGAACTCGTTTTCTAGATCATGTACGTCGCGTTCGGCGAGCGCGGGGATTTCGTCGGCGGTTAGGAGCCGGGTTTTGGGGAGCTTTGCGGCCTTCTCGCTAGAGGGGAGAGAGACGGGGACGGTTAGAGTTGATTGGGATGCATCTAGGATATCCCAGCCTTTGCTAACGTAGAACTGTAGAACTTGATTAACACGGTGAATTAAGGGGTAGCTCTTGTTAATAAATGTGTCCTTACATCGCCAACATCCGAATACAGCATACTCGCCGCCGCGCCTCCTTCCCCATCCATCCACTCCGCAACTTTCTTCAATAATGCGGATGCGAGTCCGCACCCTCGGTACTCCTTGTCCGTTACCACGCTGCATATGCAGTACCCCTGCTCCCGCCGCGTCCCGTCCCCGTCCCGGATAAGCAGGTCCCGGTGCAGCGTTTTAATCAGCGCCCCTATTTTCGCCTCCTTTTCATCTTCAACATCGGCGCTCGCATCCGCGAGGGTAAAGTTCCAGAACCGCCATCTGGCCCCGGCGGCTAGGGGATGCGCGCCAAGTAAGGCCTCGCGCTCAAGAAATTCGGACTTCGAGATCGATTTGCCGAATGCGGTGTTGGATAGCTTGGAGCATTGGATGCGGGAGCTAGGAGTCACGGCTTCGGAGAATAGGACGGAGAGGGGGCCGTGGCGGGTTGGGATGTCGATAGGGATGGTGGGGTAAGGGTTAGCGGCCATGGTGATTTCTTCATACAGGGATTTTTTACTGAGACCAGGAAGAGACAAAGAAACCTTGAAATGATTATCTACCTAGTAGGGGGCGGGGGGTATAGTTATGATTCGGATACGGGAATCACGATAGCATTAATCACTCGGAAGCTGCAACGGATGCCGTACACCATCAAGCTAACCCCTCCGTTATCGTTCCGGTGAGGTGCCCCACTATCGGGAGGAGGGGGAGGTCGATCCATTAGCGGTTCTTTGGCTATCCCCAACTTCCCTTACTTCGCTCCTTATTTATAAACACGTTAATTATATATGTATTACATAGTATATATATTATTAAGTAAAATAACGAAAAACTATTTACTAAGCTTAAGTAAAGTTTATATAACTTGTACGTATATTTTTATAAAATAACGGTTAATATTAAAAATTTATTATTATTTTATATATTTTTACGATATTAAAAAACCGTTTAACGCTTAAAACCGTTTTAATTTTAAAAGTTTTATAAATTAATAATATTTAATAAGTTTTAACGACTTTATAAAACCGTTCGTAAAGTTTTCGCCGGTTAAAACGTATTTAATTATTAAATACTTTTTTTTAATTTTTTAACGTATGTAATAATAATTTTTTTAAATATAACGTTTTTATTTATTTATTATTATATTTTCGTATTATTTTTTTATTATATTATTATTCGATTATAAAATAATCGATTTTTTTAATATAATACGTAATTCGGTTAAAAAGTTATAAATTTAAACTTCGTTAATTACCGTTATAATTAAAGTAATATATTTAATTTTATTTAAATTTCGTATTATTATTTTTTATAATTTTAAAAATTATAAAATTAAGGTTTTAATTATAAAATATACGATTTTTAATATAAATTTTTCGATAATTAAATTCACCGCGTAATTAACGTTAATTATTTTATATAATTTTAAATTATTATATTTAATATAAACGTATTTTTTCGTAAATTTTTAATATTTTAATGTTTTTTAAAGTTTATTTCGTAAATATTTTATTACTTATTTAATTTCGGTTAAATATTTATTTATAAAGTTATTTATAAATTTAATTTAAATAAAAGTTAAAAAATTTATATTTAATTTAATAAAATAAATTAAAAAGTTTATTTTATTTACGAAAGAAATATATTAATATATATCGCGATTATTTATATAATTTTTTTTATTTTAAAAATAAATATATTTTTAACTTTAAAAGTCGAATAATAAATTAACGTTTTTATTAATATTAAATTTTATTTTTATTAATATTTTCTTAATATATTATTTTTAATTTAACCTTATATTTTTAATTAATAATAATTTAAATATTTTAACTTTTAAAAATTAATTAATATTTTTTAAATTAATTATAAGGACGTATTTTTTTAAATTTTTTATTACGCGTTTTAATTTTTTAAAAACCGAGCCGAAAAAAAAGAAATTATTAACATAAAAAATTATAACGTTTTTCGTTTTTTCGTTATAATAAACGGCATTATTTAATTATAAATATTTAAATCTTTATTTACGTAATAAACTTTTAACTTTTTTTTATTAAATTATATTAAATTATTTTAATTCGTATAAAAAATTTATTAACTTAATAATTTTATTAACGTTATATTTATATTAAATAAATTTATTAAAATATCGTTTAAAATATTTTTTTAATATCGAAAAAAATTTTATAAAAATTTATTTTTTTAATTTTTCGTTTAAATATATTATAATAAAATTTATTTAAATTATATATTATTTATAAATAATTATTAAAGTTATTAACATTTTTTATATTATCGTTTTTACGATTATAATAAAAATTTCGTTATAATTTATTTTTTTTCATTAAGTAAATTTTCGTATATATATTAAATTAAAGTAAAGTAACTTTACTTTATAAAAGGTCATTTAACGGGATTAGCTTTATAAAATTAACTTAATATAAACGGATAAATAAAAAAATAAAAGTATTACAAATAATTAATTAAGTAATTTAAACGTTAATCTTAAGTAATAAATATATAAATAAAAATAAGTAATATAAAGCTTAGTAAATTATATACAATTAAACTTAAATAAGGATTATAAATAATTAAAAAAGCGTATAAAACACTACGTTTCGATTTAACTCTTTAAAGTTTAAGCTAGTTATCTTTAATAAATAAACACGATATTTAAATTTATTAATTAAATATTTTAAATAACTTAAATAACCTAAATAATTTTAAATAATAAATAACTCATTAACAAGCTTAATAATTAATTAAATAACTAATCGATCAACTAATTTCTAAACAAGTAACCTAACTACGAATTTCCTTAAATATTAAATATCTTCGAATCTTAAATCTCTTCAAATATTAAATCTTTTCAAATATTAAATCCTTCGTATAAAATAACCTAATAATCATATAACCATAAATCGTCTTATCGTAAAATATACCAAATAATTAATTAATTAATTAATTAACTAATTTCCGTATTTAAAACATATACTAAATATCGAATAAATCTTAAATTTTCAATCGTTAAATATACTAAATAAATAACGGTAATTTTACCAACTCATCGTAAATCCTACAACTTTAACCTTAAAAATTATTCCTAAAACTAAAATATTTCTTAATTATTTATTATAAATTTAACCAACGAAATCACGCCATAACCCACGCTTTAAATCGATATTTTTTTCTTTAAATTTTTATATTATAATTTTATACGATATATATATATATATATATATATATAAAAAATCATATACGTATATCGATTATATTAATTAATAAAATAAGTATTAATAAATATATCAGTAAATATTTTAATAAATATATCAAGTACGTTAAGTATTAATTAAAAATTTATCGAAAAGTAAAAAGTATCGTAAGTTAAAATCTTCGAAAAAATGGTCAAAAAAATGGTTAAAAATCGATCGAAAAATAATTAAAAACATATTATTATACTAATCGTATTAAAAGGGGTTTTTAAGGGTTATAAGCATACCCCAAGGTTTTTATATTATTATTATTATTGTTATTACATTTTCGATTTTAATTATTTTTATAAATTTCCTCCTTAAGTTTAAAAATAAGTTATTTTCAACGAATTAATTAATTAAATAATTAACTAAATAACTAACTAAATAATAAATTAAATATATAATTATTTTATAAGATAATTAAAAAAAAACGGTCTTTTTAAGATTAATATCTTTTAAGATTAAAGTTATTTTAAGATCGAATAGTAATAGTCGATAATAAATTAAAATAAAATAACTCTACTTTATAAAAAATTATTTAACGAGATTAACCTTATAAAATTAACTTAATATAAACGGGTAAATAAAAGAATAAAAATATCACGAATAACTAATCAAATAATTCAAACGTTAATCTTAAGTAATAAATATATAAATAAAAATAAGTAATATAAAACTTAATAAACTATATATAATTAAACCTAAACAAAAATTATAAATAGTTAAAAAAGCGTACAAAATACTACGCTTCGATTTAATATACGTGTTTTAAATTTATATAAAACGCTTATTAATAAATACTTTTTTTTTAATATTTATTTAAAATTAATAAAATAATTTAAAATAACTTTAAATTAATTTATAAACTTAAAAGTCCCACGTTTTAAATTTTTTTTAATTTTAATAAAAATTATTTTCTTTTATTTATTTTTTTTAAAGTTATTTATAATTTTAATAAAAATAAATTCGTTCGCATTAATTTTATATAAATAACGCTTTTCGGAAAAATGCGCGATTAAGTATAAAAAATTATCTTTTTTATCGAAAATATAATCTTTTTTTATTATTATAAATTTATTTATTAATAATTATAAATCGTTATTAAAAAATTTTTTAAAGTTTACACTTTTTAACTCGTTATATACGTTTTTTTAAATATAATTTATTAAAATTATATAAATATCGTAATATTTATTTAAAGCTTTATATAAATAAAAGTTTAGTTTTTTTTTTTTTTAATTTACTTCGTTTTAAACGAACGCGGTTTTTACCGTTATTTATAATATTTTTATTTATAATATTATCGTTTTTATTTTATATATTAACGTTTTTTTTTAACTTTTAATAATAAAATTAACGTTATACGTATTAAAGTAAAAATTTAATAATATTTTTTAAGTTTAATATTTACGTTTTATTTTTAAAATATTTATAAAAAATAATATAAAACGTTTTTAAAAAATAACCGCTTTTTATTAATTATATAAAAAAGTTATATTTTTCGATATATTTTAAAAAAAAAACTTTAATTTTTTAAGCTTTAAGTTTTTTTATTTTAATATAATAATTTTCATTAATAAAAATAACGTAATATATACTTAAAATTTATAAATATAAATTATTTAATTTATAATCGGTATTTTTTTTAAAACCGTTTTAATAATTTTCGAATAAAATAACGTTATTTATTATTATTATTTTTATTTTATTCGTAATATAAATTATTATTTTTATAACGTAATTTTAAAAATAAGTAAAGATTTTTATAATTAAAATTATAACTTAATTAACATTTTATAAAGTTTAAATATCGCATTTAACTTTATTATTTTAATATTAATTATATACGATTAATATAATTAATTATATATTTATTTTTTCGCACGTTTTTTATATTTTACTTATTTCGAACTTTTTTTTACCGTTTAATTTTAATATATTTATTCGTTTATAAACGTTATTATTAACCGGAAATAAAACGAGGAATTTTTTAAATATTTAAATAAAATAAATAATAAATATTTAACTTATTTCGTTTTTTAATTTATAAACGGTAAATTATTTATATTTATTATAATTTTTAATAATTAATATAAAATATCGATTATTTTTAATAAAAATTAACTTTAATTTATCGAAATTATATTAAACGATTTCGTTAATATATTTCGTTCGTTTTTAAGGATTTTTTAATAAAGTTTTCGTGATTTTCGCTCGATTATATATAAAACATAATAAGTTTAAAATGTCGAATATTTTTAAATTTATTTTTATTATACGTTTAACGATTTATTTTAATTTTTTAATATTAAAATAATATAAATAATAATATTAAAAAATTAATTTATTTTTTATTTCGTTTAATAAATTATTAAATATAATTTTTATTAAAAACTTTTTCACGTTTTTTATTTTACCGATTATTAATTTTAATTTATAATTTTATTAATTAAAAAAAAAATTATTTCGGGTTTTTTTTTTTTATATTATTAAAAAAAAAAACCACGTTTTTTAACGTTAAATATTATTAATATTATATTATTAAAATTAATAATAAAATTTCGATTTATTTAACCGTTAACTTTATAAAAAAGCTCGTTAAAAAAAATCTTTAAAAAAAAGTTAATTATATATAATATATAATATAAATATAAAATATTATATTCATTATCGCGTTTTTTAAGCTTAAAAATACTCGTTTTTATTTTTATAATAAATATTAAACTTTTATTAATATTAATTACTTAATTTTTATTTTTTATATTAATAATTATATTATTAATAAAATCGTTTATATCGTTCGTAATATAAACGTTCGCGCCGATATTATATAAAAATTCGCTTTTTATATTAAAACGTTTATTATTTTTTATATTATTTAATATGTAAATAATAAATAAATCGTTAAATATTAAAGCTTTTTCGAAAATTTATTAAATTAATAAATTATAATTTAAATCCCGGTTAAATCGAACCGTATCGTAATATTAAATTATTATATTTAAATTAATTTAATTTATTTTTATATTATATATTACGTTATTTTTTTAAATATATTATATAAATTTTTTCGAAAATTAAAAAATGTATATTAATTTTTAAGTTATATTTATTAAATTATTAACGTTATTTTTACTTTTTTAATTATAATTATTTTATTTCGAATAATTCTTTTAAAAATAATTATATTTTTCGTATTTATAATAAAACGGTTTTTTTTTTATATTTTAAAATAGTTTATCGGCAAGTTTTTTTAGTTTTTTATTAAATTTATTTTTACTTTAAATAAAATTAACGTTTTTTTTTTTATTATAATTATTATAATTATTATTTTTATTAATTTTATTTTTAAATTTATTAATAAAATTATTTATAATTTCGAAAATTGTTATATATTTTTTATTTCGAAATAACTTTTAAATTATTTATATTTAATTTTTAACTTTTTTATCGTAATTAATAAAAAATATAATAATTTTTTATTTATTTTTTAATTTTATTCCCGCATTTTTAACCGTTCGTGTAATTAATCGTTATTTCGATAAATATTTAATAAAATTTTTATTATTATATTTATATTTAAAAAATATATTTTATAAGTTTTATTAATAAACTTTTCCGATAAAAGCATAAATTCGTTTAAAAATTTTTAACATTTTTATATTTTTTTTTATTTTAATAACGAAGTTTAACGAAACTTATCGATAAATACGTATTAAAACTTTAATAATTTTTAATTTATTAAATATTATAAAGTTTATATAATTTTAAAAATTAATTTCTTTTAGCGTTAATATTAATATTTTATAATATATTTATTAATTATTTTAATTTTTTAAATAATTTTCTTTATTAATAAAAAAGTTAAAATGTTTTTAATCGAGTTTATATTTTATTTAATTTTTTTTTTATAATTTTTTCGTAAATTTATATTTACGACGTTTTTTAATATTATTATTAAAATTTAATAAATTATCATTAAGTAAATTTAAATTTAAATCGAATAAAAAATTAAATAATAAATCGAAATTTTTATTATTAATTTTTAATTTATTATTCGTTATTAATAATAATTAATTTAACTCGTTTTTTTTAATAAACTTTAATTAATTAATTTCGATTTTTTACTTATATTTTAAATTTATAATATATAAATTTAATAAATAATTATTTTTTTTATATATAATTATTATTTCCGTTCGTTATAAATTAAAAACGAAACTTTATAATATAAATTTTTAATTTATAAATCGTTTAAATTATATTAAATTTTCATTTTATACTTCGTAAATTTCTTTAATTTTAATTATAAAAATTTCTTTTATTAAATTAATTTAATTTTTTATTACTTAAAAATAATTATTATATAACACGTGGTTATTAAATTCGGTATTTATATTATAAATTATTTTATAAATCGTTATATAAAAATTTAATTTAAATAAATAAAAAATTTTAAATACGTAATAAAACTTAATATTTTCGGTAATTAATTAATTTATTAACTTTTTTTAATTTATAATAACTTTTTATAAATTATTTATTATTATTTTTTATAATTTTTTAAAAAATATTCTTTAATTATTTTTTTTTAAATTTTTAAAATTTAAAAATCTTATTTAATTTAAAAAATTTAATTTTAAATAATAAAATAATTTAAAAAAGAATAATATTACGTTTTAATCGATATAATAAAGCTATTATATAAACACGTTAATTATATATGTGTTACATAATATATATATTACTAAATAAAGTAACGAAAAACTATCTACCAAGCTTAAGTAAGGCCCATGTGGCCCGTGCGTACACTTTTGTGGAACAACGGTCAGTATTAAGGACCCGTTATTATCCCACACTACTTAATAATCTTCCAACAACAAAACATTCATTTTACTTTGATTAACGTCGTCCAAGATTCCGTTGTACCTCCTACGCTCGTGCTTATTGTTTCCAATTTTCGCCAAGTCAATTTCCGCTATCGAATCCTTACAATGTTAGAAGCGAAGCGGTCCCACATCGGAAGCGAAATGCCGCGGTTTTTGCTTCGTATTCGTATCGTCACCGCATCGTCGCATCCTTCAAACGCTGAGACCAGCTCTAGGTAATAGCACCGAAGCGAAGCTATGGATACACTTTATTTCCATTCTTTGTATTAAAATAGGCTGAGGTTTCACTACGTTGATCAATTCCGCACTCTTTAACTCTAAAAACAAAGGGCCAAAATTTTGGGATGGAAGCTACGTCAAACCAAATACTCCTCACCACGCTCGCGACAGCTGTTGCGCTAGGCGTAGCATGGGTGTGGAAGCTGAACACGGCGCTCAAGCAGACGCCGCCGGAAGTGCTGGCAGAATCACCGCACCGATGGACTGAAAAGGAGATCAAGGAAACTTACAAGCGCATCGAAGCTAACCCCATAAACTGGGCAAAGCACCTACCACCAAAACTAGACCGGCGTTACATCGTCACCGGCGGAAGTGGTGGCGTAGGCGGGACAATCGTACTGCATTTACTCGCGCGAGGGCAATCCCCTGAAAGCATCCGAATCGTAGACTTTCGCAAACCGGAGCGTCCGGACATGACCTTCGGCCCAGCATCACTAGTTGATTTTGCGCAAACGGACATCTCATCAGCAGAAGCGACATTCGCCGCATTTTCCAAACCATGGCCCGCTAGCGTCAAGGACTTGCCTCTTACCGTCTTCCACACTGCAGCCATAATTGTACCTTCTGAACGGTCAATGATCAGCTACGAGCGCGTAAAGCGCGTGAACATCGACGGCGTGCGCCACGTTCTGTCCGCATCGGAAAAAGCAGGCGCTTCGGTCTTCGTCTCCACGTCCTCGGCCTCCGTAGCATACAAGCCCGTGCAGTACTGGGGCAACCCCTTCCGGCAATACCCCAAGCACTTCTGGCAATACATCGACGACTCTGACTTCGACCTGCCCTTACGCCCACACGCAGAGTTCTTCGGCAACTACGCACACGCAAAAGGTGTCTCCGAACGCCTCATCTCCGAAGCCAACAAAGACAGCTTCCGCACCGGCATCATCCGCCCCGCGAACGGGATCTACGGCAGCAGTTATGGCGACCAGGTCGTCGGCATGTGTCTGCGCGCCGGGACCGTACCCAGCTGGATGTGCAACGTCGTGCAGAACTTCGTCACGGCGGGCCATGTTTCGCTCGGACACCTGCTTTTCGAAGTCGCGCTTATCCAAGGCAAAGATGGCAAGGGGAAAATGCCTGGGTGTGCGGGTCGCCCGTTTACGGTTACGGATGGTGGCGCGCCGCCGCTTTTTGAGGATTTTTATAGGCTGCTGAAGACGACGGCGGTGACGCCGAAGATTGAGATCGTGTACCTCCAGCCGGCGGTTATGTTGTGCCTTGCGCATGTGGTTGAGTTGATTGATCTGGCGAGCCGGTTGCCGGTGCTGGGGTGGGTGGTGCCCCGGCCGAAGGGGGATTTGGCGTTCTTGCAGCCGGCGGTGTTTAGTGCGAGTACGCATTTTCTGGCGACGGATGCGGGGGCGCGGAGGAGTGTGCGGGAGGGCGGGATTAGGTATGCGCCGGTGCATGATACGATGGAGGGGTTATGTCAGCAGGTTTTGGATTGGAATGTTGAGCATAAAGGTTCGGGATAGATTTGGGAAGAGTAGGTCTTTGTGAGATGTGTATATAGGTACATACTTTGGATGTACCCGAGGCTAGAAATATATATACTTATAGGTATAAGAGCAGCATGATTTCTGCCTATAGAGTTCAAAAAAACCTCCTTACAATCGCCTACACGTTAGCCGACACTAGTACTAAACCCACTGTGAATTATAGGAGTTTTAGGGGCAATTGGGTGCTAAAGTTATAGGGATTTTAGAGAATACCTAGGTGGATGTAAGCCGGAATACCAAGCGTTCAACCTATTCAACTCTGCTAACAGTACGTATCAGTAACCATTAAATTACATTATATCAATTAACCAATTAGGAGTTTTATTAAACTTCTACTATACCTCGTTTCTAAGGTTTTTCCAATTATATACCTAGGTATTCATTGGTACGTAACTTTAGGTATATATAGAGCACCTATTAGTGCAAAATTCATCGCTATAATAATGCGCTAAAGTCCTATAACGATCAGCACTCGGTATCCCCTAGGTGCCCTGTACCTAAACCCTAATATTAAATCGGTACAAGTGTTAAGGATTTAACACAGTAAGGAATCGTCGTTAATCTACAATCCGATTGACTTTTAACCTTAGAACAAAGAGTAGGTTTTCGTACAATAAAAAACAACCCGATTGTTACTACGATTATCGTGTTATAAATAAGTTATCAATAAGCCAAAGGAAATCTACAAAGCATGCCAGCTCACCTAGGTAGGTTAGGCTAGACAACTCGTACGTACATCTCATTACCAGCGGATATCATACAGTAATAAAGGCCGATCTATTATTATTACAAAGAACTTGATACACCATGGCAGCCAACACAGCTCACTTGGATGCACCGCCGGACCGTCTGACGTTCGGTGTAGAATTAGAGTTCCTAGTCCCATGGCTTTATGATGACCAAAACGACCCCCTAGGTCAAGCCAACGGTTTATCTCCTCTCTTCAGGGTAAGTAGAAATACCACTGACGCCGACATTGAAATTAGGGACACATTACGGAATCTCTTTTGGACGCACGGCCTCGAAACCAGTGTTCAAACGTATAAATATAAAAGCGAATACGCCAAGGGTACTCTCGATCGATACTCCGCTTGGAACATCACGGGTGATCCATCGGTAATAGAAGAAGACCCTTCGTTCCTGAAATACCAATGGACAGATGTTGAAATCACGAGTCCCGTCGAACCCGACATCCCAATCGCTTATGAGATTCTTAACTATGCTCGGCAGTTGCTAACAAAATCATATAGGTGCCGTGTCAACTCGTCTTGTGGACTTCACGTGCACGTCGGTAAGGGCGCCGAGAGATTTGATCTTACCAATATGAGACGCATAGCCGCGTTGATTTGGAGTTCTGAGCATCTAGTTGCGAACCTCAATCACCCTTCGCGACAGTCAAATTTCATGCTCCCAACACTCCGTACGAGGTCTGTGATTGCGCTTGGAAGAAGCGACGGCACCCATGACAAGATAGTACCGGGAGCTCAACTTAGTCGATGCATGGATTATCTCGCTAAAGAAGTTAGGCACGGGGAAGATCCATTCTCATTTAGAGACAGGAATAGGGGTGAGGATATTCGGGCAGCCTTCGCAAAAACGCGAGAGAATGGTCATTATGAACCCTTCCAATGGTCGCCTAACGGACAATCTAACGATGCGTTCATACCAATAGAGAAAAACCAGAAGAGCGTCGACGAAGAAATTTTGGAGAGTGCTGAAAAGATGGCTTCTCAGCCGAACTTTCAGCGTTCGGTCAAGCCGAAAGAGCCTTCCCGCATACGAACATTGGCGAAGATGGTAAATAAGAAGCATACCTATATAGATCCGCTCAATCCCGATGTCAAAGAAGACCCGGGTGTGTTTGAAGGAGTGAAGCAGCTGTACGAATCACCCAGCAGCTGCGATCTCGCATGGCTTATGTATCCCAAGGGTCGTGGATCTGTAAACTTCAGTCTATACAACTGTGGCGAATTCTGTTGGGCGGATCGAGGTAAAAGGACGATAGAATTCCGAGTGGCAGAAGGTACCCTCGATAGTTGGGTGGTTACCTGGACAAAGATCTGCGTCGGTATGATTCGGTTCGCCCTCTATTCTCCCGTCGACGAGTTTCTGAGTGTATTGATGAAGTGTGATGCATCTGATAGGGAAGGCGGGAATTTCGATTGTATCGACTTTCTCGACGAGATCGGGCTTCCGGCCGAGGCGGTGCTAGCTGAAAGGCATCTTAAGGAGAACGAGAAGGAATTCGGTATCAAGTATGTGAATGGATCTTCGTAACAGTAGGGAATCGATTAGGGGTGTCCTGGTTTTAGGTAAGTACCTGTCTACTATATTTTCTCTTCTCATTTCCTTTTTCTGACTTAGAGGGCGCCTCATCGTAAGTAATATTTCCCGCTTCACGTACGAGAGGTAGGCATTTAGGTAATCGAGTAGGTAAGTGTACGCTTCATTAGGAATAATATGATACAATGTACTGACATATCGAATGGTCTCTTTCTTGAATTGTTCTGGGGTTTTTAATGACTACCCCTATCCCGATTGCATCGTACCGTGCTTCAATAGGAACCATCCCCTATGGATGTTACACAACTGGCATCCACCAGAGGCAGAAGTAACCTGTTTACTTATTTGGTCACAATAGGGGAATATGTCCTAACGCCGTTTTTATAGGGGTAATGTGGCTACCATGGGTGTGTGTCAGGTCTTCACTCAGTAAAACCATGTCATACCGAACCGAGGCCTAGATAGTTGTCAACAATGTTATAATAGGCACCTGCCTAGTAGTTAAGGCAGAATATCCACTGAATTCCAGCATCTGCCTGTAATGACTCGAAAATGGGTGAATTACATGCACAGTACCAGATAGAAAGGAGTATCAACGCACATACCTACGAGGTAGTATTCTAAGGCATATGACCCGTACCTACCTATTTCGAGGTTGTGTCGTTGGTTGTGGTCCGAAAAGCGGTCGAAAGCCGGCCGAATTCTGGGGTTGTGAAATTGGTAGGTAATGACAGAGGTGGTTTACAGGGCAGAACAATGCGATCGAAGTGACCAAAATCAGATCTTGTAACTAAACACAGCCACAATCACCTACCTAGCACTCAATCATTAGAAAATAGAAAAAGAGAGCGGTCAAAGGCTTATATAATTATGCTAAGACTTCTTGGCGATATGAAGATATGGATGTGATTTTGTAGATCAGGTTATAAAAATAAAATATTTGAAGCGCTGAAGAATAGCGTCCCGCGTCCCACCCGATTGACTTTTTTAGGGTTCTTAGTAGCTCCGGTACCCCGGTCCAAGTAAAGAATCCTTCGGAGATGATTGGGTAAGGCCGCTGCAGTCAAGGCTACAGGGCTGACTTGTCAGATTTAAAATGACCAACTGCCTTTATCGGTGGGGGCGGGTGCCTGGAAGACTTGCTAAACCTTGACCTAACACTTTAATTCAGCGGCACAGCTGGATCACAGCCAGTCACAAGACCGTAAATTTCCAGCTTACAGAGCTCGGTATCCATAAGGCAAGGTTATAGCTGAAGGAAGTGGCTGTCCCGTCCTGTCCTATTCCTTAATTCTACTCCATAGGCACGATGCGCCAACATTCAAGGTTGCATTTGCAATGGATCTGTGTATTAGGTATCATGTCTCTTCTAGTATTTATAAGTCAGATTCACCCATCGACTTTTCACCATAAGCTTCCTTCAGCCCTACCACACACACTTACCTTGAGCCGCTCCCGTGTCACTTAAAACTTCATCTTCAACAAGATACATCCACGCACCAATATCAAAATGGTCTCTCAAAACGTCGTCGCTCTCCTAGGCCTCGCCTCTACCGCAGCGGCAACCTACAGGCCCCAAGCCCTCGGCAGCCTAAACAACCTGCGTGCGGAGCGCATCGTCATCGAGGTGCGCGAGGCGCAAACCAGCAGCCCCAGCAACGCCCTCAGCAGCGCGTGCGCGTCGTCGGCCGATGCCCTAATCACAGACGTGCCGATCCCGCCCTCCAGCCTGGAGTCATACTTCGCGTCGTTCGCGCGGACGGCCAACTTCTCCGACGACGTCAGCTACCTGTGCTCCATCACCGCCTCCGTCCCTGCTTCCTTGACCGCTGCGTACAGCTCCTACGACCAGCAGGCTAGCAGCTGGTTCGTCAAACACAGCAGCGATCTCACGGCCATCGTGTCCCAGTGCGGCACCCAGGAAGACGTCAATTCCATCGCCCAGGTCGTCACCGCGCTCGATATATACCTTGCTAGCGGCTGCGGCACTAGGTCCACGGGTCTGGCTGCGCGGCCGACTGGGGCGATTGCTGGTGCTGTTGCTGCGGCGGGTGTTTTGGGCGCTGCGGTGGTGTTGTAGGTGGTGGAAGGTGGGACGGGAATGGGAACGGGAAGGAGATGTTAAGCGGGATATGGATGGGGGAGCGGGAGGTTTAATTGGCATTGAGTTAGGGTTGGAAAACTTAAAATATTTATCATATATAGCACCTACCTATTCTCGATTTTTTAGTAAAAATACCCAATTGATTTATTTCTCCCAGTTTACTTACCACCTTTCAAAGTAAGTATTTCATTTCTGATCTCATCTAACTGATTGGTTGCGCTCAGTTGATTGTTTGAAGTGTTATAGGCGCTTGCTCAATTTAAATGGTGATTTTCAGGCATAGTTATTACAGGGGTTTTTAGGGACCTTACCTGACCTGACCATTGCTGAAGCGACCATCGAAGCTATGTATGGTCAGTTGAGCTATTCCGAGCACCGTGCTTCCTTCTAATAAAGATAAAGTGTCTGCGGTCCCCGCTCCACAATTCCATCAATTCTCTCTTCACGTACTAAAATGGCAACTTTCAACTCACTACCTAACGAGGTTCTGATGACAATCGCCGAATTTACTTCCTACCAATCAACTCGTACAGAGTATCACCAACATTTGGCAGCGCTAGCTCTCACAAATCGACGCCTACACCAAGTTTGCAATCCAATTTTATATCGTACCGAGAGAGATCTGGACCAGCCAAGCGTGGTGGTATGGGCGGCTGCAAACGATCGGATCGAGACGCTCGAGAAGGCCGTTTTCTTTCGGTTGGATCTTAATGCTCGGAAGCCTGGCTTATATTCAAGCCTCTATATTGCGGTTAAATATCGGAATGAATTGATTGTAGCTTGGCTCCTAGACCATGGGGCTGCTGTCGATATTGAGCCAGTGATAGAATCTCCCTGCGCTGTTGACTCGAACTTCTCTCCATTATTTCTAGCCCTTAATCAAGGTCAATCTTCTGTGGCTAATCTGTTAATCGAGAGAGGTGCATGCCTTACGTTCTCTGTACCTGAGTTTAGAACCAATAACACGAGTTACGAATGGGGTGATGTCCGGTATTCTCCCTCGGACAGGTATCGCGAATTGAACTCAGCCATCTCTACTGCCTCTTCTTTCGGTCTAATCTCTGTCATAAGATATTTGATACAGTACAAGGCTATGGATATAAACACGCCCGAGAGCAACGGACGCATATGCTTGCATCATGCAATCATGGCCAAACAAGACTGGGCGATGATCAAGGAATTAATCCAGCTTGGTGCTGATATAAATTGGAACACCGCGGACGGATTATGTAGTCCCCTAAGTTGCGCCATCCAGATGGGAAATTTCACAATTGCGCATGGATTGATCGATGCCGGATCTCGCATCAACACCTCATTTGTTCCTCGTCTAGGACTGTTACATATATGCACCTGGGATACATGCAGATTTTTTGACCAGGAACTCGCCCAGCAGCAGGAGTCAGACAAGGACACATTATTAAAGAAGCTCATCGACCTTGGAGCGGATGTGAATGGGTTAGATGTGGAAAACCAAGCCAACACACCATTAAAAGAGGCATTTGTTAACGGCACTTTGGACGCAATGCTCATACTTATCCAAGCAGGCGCAGAAGTGGACATGGAAATAGTCCTGGAGTGGATAGATGGAGATAGAGTGTGGGTGACGGATGAGTATGTGAAAAAGGCAATTATGCTGATGGACCATTGCCCTCGACTTGACTTGCGTTGCCAGCAGAATATAACTATTCTTGAGAATACACTCACGCGATGTATAGCTGTTAACCAGTTTATCATACTAGACATCATGTTGGGCTACGCGACGAAACAGAATTTATCAACCGAATATCTCGATAATTTGCTAGAAGCTGCGATTGAGAGCAGATTTTTTAAATGCTGCATGTTACTCCTGGAGCATGGTGCAAGAGGGAAGAATGGCGACTCAATGGTTTCTTGGCTTGAATATGAAATTGACTTGCGAAGGGAGATCAAAGATTACGACTCTTCCTCGGACGACTCAGATTTTCAATCGCTTATGGTCATGTTCATGGACTTGAACTTGGGGTTCGAGATTGAAAGCAGGGTGCTTATGAAGGCCTTAGAGTATCGGGATAGGGATGCGGTTTACGTTCCCCTAAGCCGCGGCATGACCGGACGGTGTCAAGGTCGCTGCGATCCAAACAAATGGCTCCAAGAAGCCGCCTCTTGGGGTCATGTAGGCGTTATGCGTAGGCTGTTACGAGGCTCACCAGATGTTAATGGATTTGACGATGAAAATGAGCTACCTCTATCGCGGGCCATTAGAGGTGGGCATCGGGAATCGGCCCTGTTGCTAATGGGATACGGGGCGGATGCGTACCTTTGTAAAACGATCCACATTGGTGAAAAGACGGACCAAACCCTGAAACCTATACAGCATGCAGTCCGGTATGGGGATGTTAGGATGCTCAATGCTATAATAGACGAACAGGCAGGGTCACTTTCGGAAGAAGAGGCTTGGGTTCCTGCCGTGTTGGCATCTGCTCCAGAGATTGCTCAAGTTGTTAGCGCAAGGCTTCTTTGACTACCTAGGTCCTAGGTACTACCTTGGCATATCGGATGCAAGATGCTTGGAGTTATTTTCGATGCTTTTATCTTGGGTAGTTAAATCTTCTCTTTTGTAGAGTGGTTCATTTATCCTCTTTATAATTATCGTTCACAAGAGTCAAGACCAAGACCAATTTGACATCTCAACTTTTCAATACATTCGTTTGGTAGTCCTGCACAAGATTTGATGATGTGGTAGAAGCTGCTTGAAGTATAATAAATATAGATGTAGCCCTGATGATATTGATTAAATAGAGGAGTTCATCGAAACAAACTATGACGAAATATTAATATTAGTGAGTGTTTCATTGAAAGTTCGGAAGTGGCTAATATGTGGCTTGTGTATCTGCAAGCTGTATAAGCTGCCAAGGCATGCACAGCCACATATTAATCTGACGCGTCAGGAGGTTACGCCACATCTCAGGAACAAGAGGCGATCAACACTTTCGATGCTACCTATTTCCTAAAAATATACTTTTCATTTACCGCCTTTAATCAGTAGAGCGACAGCGCCGAGAGTAATTTGGTTATACGCATTACGAATGGCCTCTTTCTCGGATCGGGAATAAATACGCGACAATGGGTATGCGAATTGGTAATTCGGATGGAAGAAGCTCGACTTAGCTAACTTGCTTACCTGCCAGGTACTGCGTCCCCGAGATCATCGCACGACTCGCTATCCTCCGTCTCCACCACGAGTCTGGTATTCGAACGGCTGAGCGAAAGAGAGAAGCTCAATGGCGAACTTGCCGGCTTGGAAGATGAAGACCCGCTACGCCACGACTCCGATGATGAAGAGGATTCCTTCCTACCGCTGCCTCCGAAGAGGGTCATCGGGGTCGATAAGGGCTTCAAGAGATTTATGCTAGTTTTGGTGGGAATATTTCTTTCTGCTTGGGTGGTTGGCCTGTTTACATACCTATCTACGAAATCATATCAGCATTCGTCACAGAAGGAGCATGATCCGACGGCCACGGCAACTCGCGGATCTGGAAAGAAAGTTACGTTGGATCAGGTGATGGAGGGGTACTGGCGACCCCAGAGCCATAGTATAAGCTGGATTGCGGGCGCAAATGGGGAAGATGGATTGCTTTTAGAAAAAGGCGCTGCTGGCAAGGACTATCTCGTGGTCGAGGACGTTCGAAGTCAGAATGAAGAACATACTGCAAATGGTGGAAAGATTACGTCTGCGCAAACGCTTATGAAGGAACGAATTGTCGACGCTAGCGGCCGTAAACTGTACCCAGATCGGGTCTGGCCAAGTCCCGATCTGAAGAAGGTGCTCATCGCTACCGACACGAGAGATGTTTGGAGACATTCCTTCACCGGAGTATACTGGATCTTCGACGTGGATACCCAAAAGGCAGAGCCCCTGAACCCCAAAGACCCTGGGCTACGGGTACAGCTTGCCCAGTGGAGTCCAAAGAGCAATGCAGTCACCTATACGAGTGCCAACAACCTTTACGTACGTAAATTGGGAGGCGACAATGTTACACAAATTACCAAAGATGGCGGACCGGAGTATTTCTATGGTATCCCGGATTGGGTGTATGAAGAAGAGGTCTTTGGAGAGAACAGCGCAACTTGGTGGTCTGAGAATGGAGATTTCGTGGCATTCTTAAGGACAAACGAGACCCTTGTGCCCGAGTACCCGGTTCAATTCTTCATCGACAGGCCGAGCGGCAAAACCCCTCCTGCCGGAAAGGAGAGCTACCCAGAGGTGCAACAGCTTAAATACCCCAAGGCAGGCGCGCCGAATCCTTTTGTCGACCTTCTGTTTTACGACATGGCTCGAGGCGATATGTTTTCAGTCGAGATTAAGGGAGGATTTGCGGCTGATGATCTTTTGATAACTGATATTACGTGGGCTGGTAATAAGGTGCTCGTTAAGGAGACGAACCGCGTTAGCGACATCATGCGTGTTATCTTGATAGATGTTACTGCTCGAACAGGCAAGACAGTTAGAACAGTCGATGTGGGAAAGATTGATGGTGGCTGGTTCGAGATTTCTCATGATACCACCTATATCCCCGCCGACCCCGCGAACGGCAGACCTGAAGATGGTTATATCGATACCGTCATTCATGACAATGGGGACCACATGGCCTACTTCAGTCCTTTGGACACTGACACGCCCGTTATGCTGACTTCAGGCAAATGGGAAGTTGTTGCAGCTCCTTCTGCTGTTGACTTGAAGAATAACGTCGCATACTTTGTCGCTACGAAAGAGTCTTCCATTCAGCGACATATATACAGCGTGAAGTTTGACGGGTCGCATTTGAAAGAATTAACCGATATTAGTAAGGAGGCTTATTATGAAGTTTCGTTTTCTGCCAAAGCTGGATATGCCCTCCTAACCAACAGGGGACCAAACGTGCCGACGCAAAAGGTCATCAGCACACCGAGCAACCCGGAGGTTTATGAACACGTTATCGAGGAGAATAAGGACCTGGCAGATAAAGCGAAGAAACACGAACTGCCGCTCTTGGACTATGGCACGATAACCGTCGATGACGTCGAGTTGAACTACGTCGAGCGCCGGCCGCCCCACTTCGATCCTAAGAAGCAGTACCCCGTGCTCTTCCATCAGTACTCCGGTCCGGGCTCACAGACAGTAGACAAGCAGTTCAGCGTCAACTTCCAGACCTACGTGGCCTCCAACTTAGGATACATCGTAGTCACAGTCGATGGGCGCGGTACCGGATTCATCGGTCGCAAGGCGCGCGTCGTCGTACGCAAGAACCTAGGCCATTACGAAGCCCACGACCAAATCGCCGCGGCCAAGATCTGGGCCGCAAAACCATATGTGGATGAGGCGCGTGTCGCAATCTGGGGTTGGTCGTACGGTGGATTCCAGACACTGAAGACGCTAGAGCAAGATGGGGGACAGACTTTCAAGTACGGGATGGCAGTCGCACCCGTTACGGATTGGCGGTTCTACGACAGCATCTACACGGAGCGATATATGCTTACACCACAACTCAACGCTGACGGGTACGATGGCACGGCCGTGAGCAATGTCACTGCGCTAGGCCAGAACGTGCGGTTTTTAGTCATGCATGGCGTGGCGGATGATAATGTGCACATGCAGAATACGCTCACGCTGTTGGATAAGCTGGACGTGGCCGGCGTGGAGAATTACGATTTGCATATGTTCCCGGATTCGAATCATGGGATTTACTTCCATAATGCGAATCGCATCGTTTATGATAGTAAGTTTTTTATTTCCTGCCTCCTTCCCCCACTCTACCTTTTCTTTCCTGCGTGGGGGCGCAGATTTGAATATTCTTACTAATACGATTATTCAGAATTGACTAATTGGCTTGTCAACGCCTTCAATGGCGAGTGGCTGAAGGTCGCGAGCGCGAAACCCGCGCCGAATAAGGCGAAGAGAGATATGGAGATGGTGAGGAGAGCGGGACCTGAAACCGATGTTTCTGTGTTAGAACGCGAGGTTCGGGGTAGTTCATGATAGAATGTAGAAAGACTGCATGCATGGCACATGGCGTATAGGTGTTGATCTTTGTAATCTGTACATTTGTCTCTCCTGCTATCTGACTTATTCAAGTAACGTATATAGTAGAACTTGATGTATGGTATCCATAGATTTGAAGCTTGTCGAGCTTATTACATTGTCCTTGCTATATTCATGTGAGCTCATATCTCTTGTTATATATGCCTTGCTTTCGTATTCACTATAGAGGACGAAGTAGGTATATTTCATATGGCCCCTAACTTCCTGCGTTGATGAGGGTGTCAGGCCATTCTATGCTTAAGTAAGTCATTATGTAAGTATTTACATAATCTCTTAGGTAATCCATTAGGTAAGCAATGCCTTGATGTTCGTCCATGCGATGTATGCGCGTTGTGTAAGAGAGAACATTGAAAAAGAGTTCCTGAATTAGATAATAGGTGTTTTATAAATGAAACCGTATCTCATTCAATATACTACGTAATCATTGGCAAATTGGAAATGGTAGATGTTTTGAGAATGTCCAAGTCCATCATATCCTAGATTATGTAAGCCGATCCACATTGCATTCTAACATAGTTGGCTCAGCATTTTTGCCTCTGACAAATAAGAAGAATGGGAGTCGATGTGATTATATCTTAATCAGTTGGAAAGCTGAGGGGCCGCCTGTGTGGTAGGATCGATTTTCTCGACGATAGCAGCGGTACCGTAGGCAGAGCATTGAGCAAATCCACCCATATCTCCGGATTCAAAGCGGAGGGTTATGATGGCATTTCCGCCCCGCGCCTTTGTCTCAGCTACCACGCGACTAATAGCATCGTTCCTTGCCGAATAGAGCTGTTTTATCATTAATACATAACCTTGAAAGCAGATACCTAGATTTGAGAAATGTATGTACCATGTTTGTGAACCATTGAAGCTCTCCACCTGCGATGCTCTTAATCACCATTCCCATACTGGCGGCCCAGTTGCGAGAGCGGACTGTTAGGCCGTATACGGCACCGAGGACTTTGACTACTCGGTACCCGGGGATGTCGAACATGGTGGTTGTGATAACTCCGTCGGTCTCTGTGAAACAGTGTAGATCTGATAGTTGCGGCGGGATGTTGGCCGGTTGGTTAGTGTGTGATGCCATTTTTCCGATTTTTGTTAAATGTATTTGAAGGATAACTATAATATTATTTCCACTAAACTCTTCAATTAGCATTCCCAAATCCGACGACCAAAGGATTTCTCAGCTCTTTTATGTCTTGACTCTTAAAACAAGTCGGGTCATCATTCTCTTCATGTGAAGAATGCCTAACAAAACTTTGGCATTTGATTGGCTAGTTTGACTCTTAAGTTGCCTAAAACGGACGGTGAATATGTACGCCGTATTTCGCGTTGAGTTTAAAGTGCCCAGGTGCTAGTACGCCCTACCTGAGCCATGAATCGGGGCGCAGCAGCGCTATAATTCAGAGGAGGGTATGATCTTTACGGGGCAGTGAGGGGTACTGCCATAGGCGCCCCTAAGAGATTGTTAGTGATGTACTTTGTAACCACATCGTATTCATCGTATACGCTCGTTGAAATCATTTTTACGACTCTGATCAATAATATTTAGATTCGTCAGTAAATTTCGTTATTTCCCCAATCATTTAAGCATGATCCAATTCTTACGTCTCCGTGTTGTTTATTTGTTCCGTGGCACTTTTCGACAAATGCTCGATTGCTTAGGTAAGTTGACACTTAGATGCATTTCAGTGGTTAGGTAATGATTACATAACATTAATATTTATGTAAACATGGTAAGATTGGTTGCTTAGTCATTGAATGATTACCTAATGTCACGTAGACGCATATATCATATTAAACACTTCGCTATCGCTTTACTTCAGAGTTATTTATGAGTGTCATTTCTCGATATTCTTTGAGATGATGAATATCAATTGCAATTAATCCAATCGCTCACCTAACGCACGCTATAACGGGTTATAACGTCGAATTTAATCTCAATGATATTATATAATCATTCATTAGTAATCACAAGCTAATCTTTTTGTGTAGTAATTCCTTATGTATGAGTCAGGGGGTTGTGCTGATTGAAGTTACAGTGCATCCTCATAGAAATATTTTGAGTAAGATTTCTCTTATCAACTATTCCCCTACATACTAGGACAACACATCATACCTCTTGGCAGAATTGAGAATGGAGAAGAGCAAGTATTTGATTGAGGAAGGCAGTCCTCCACAGGTACAACGGCGCCGTCCAGCCGCATGGAAATGGGTCGTCACGGCGACGTTGTTAGTTTCAATTCCGCTTTTCAAGGCTAAATTGCCCCTCCCGTCGCGGTGTTCTCATCACGACAACCACCCGACGCGCCTCACCTATCCCGGCGAGCGCATCACATGGGAACGATGCGGTGACTTAGGAAACCGGCCGCTTGAATGCAGCAGCATCGATGTGCCGATGGATCAATTCAGCCCGTCTAACTCTGGTAACAAGACCTTCAGCATCCCGCTGATTCGCTTACGCGGCGCCAATGCGACTCAGAATTTATTCCTCAATCCCGGCGGCCCGGGCGGCAGCGGAATTGAGTTTTTGTATCGCAAAGGTGCGCAGTTGCACGACATCGTCGGCGAAGGCTTCCATTTGTTGAGTTTCGACCCTAGGGGTATTAATAGCTCACAGCCGTTGGCTCGGTGCTACCCCGATGCTGAAACACAGCGAGAGCGGTCAAGTGTGCGCGACACCAAGATTATTGAAGATAGCATCGAGGCGTATACTTGGTCCCACAACTTTGTGAGAGCGTGTGCTGATACTATGGGGGAGCATGGGCTGTATCTCAATACGCCGCAGACGGCTGCCGACATGAACAGCATTCTCGATGCTTTGGGGCAGGATAATATGGTGTACTGGGGTTTCAGTTATGGTTCACTTTTAGGTCAGACATACGCTACAATGTTTCCCGATCGTTCCGAACGCGTCATAATTGACGGCGTCGCAAACCAATTCGATTGGTACGAGGGACTACTAGATACTGAGACCTTCGTCGACACTGAAAATGTCTGGGAGGGCTTCTTGGAGGAGTGCATCAAGGCCGGCAAGGACTGCGCACTTTCGTCATTGGCAGAGTCCAAGGATTCGCTGAAAGCGAAGTTCTACTCGTTGGCCCAGCAACTAAAAGACAGCCCGCTTAGTGTTTACGTCAACAACACCATCTACGGCACCATTGACTACGAGACAATTTGGTACAACGCCATTTTCCCTGCGCTTTATAAACCGGCTAATTGGTATCCGCTGGCTGAGCGGTTAGCTCAATTACTCGAGGGCAATGCGACAGAGGCATTGATCTCGTATGGATTAGGTGATCCCTGGGGTATTGCAGGCCAAGCCAACGAATTCATCACGTACAACGACGGTGCTTCTGGTGCATCGTTCTGGCCACAAGACAGAGAGTCGACACTTGATGTTCTTATCCCGTACATGAATTCAAGTATTTTCGCTCCTACGGAGTACGGGGGTTACTACATCAAGCAGCAGTGGCAAGTCCCGAAGACCCATGAGTACGTCCCGCGCGTGGGTGTCGAAACCGCGCATCCCGTGCTCATCCTCTCGACAACTTACGACCCTGTATGCCCGCTGCAATCCGCCCGTTCCGCAAATGCCGCGTTTAAGGACTCCCAAATTGTTGAAGTGCTCGGTTATGGGCATTGCTCTGTTGCTATTCCTTCCACCTGTCTCGCTAAGCATGTGAGAGCATTCTTGTATGATGGGACAGTGCCGGATAGCTACACGCAATGTGAGGTTGATGGGAAGTACTTCATCAACCCAGATGAGGGAGGTAAGGTTACGGCTCAGAAGCACTTTGACGATTTGGAGGAGCAAAAGATTCATCTAGCGCAGATTGAACTTGCTAGAAATTGGGATTGGTAACCGTTGCGAAATCGATTTTCGCTTGACGTTAGAATCTCACTACCTGCTGTATAATCCACATATTATTATCATACTAACATATTGACCAAAATTTTACTATATATACTCAACTCATCTATGTTTTACTGCAATTACCCTTTGACTTTCCGCCTGAGCAGATATCGATTCCCAACCAAATCTACGAATTTTCATGTCATTTCTATCCCAACCCATTCCAAATAACCTTTCACCAAATCTATACGCCCAACACCCAATCCAATCCTCATCAATTAATACCATCCCTCCGTAAACTCACGAGGCCGCCTCGGAAGCGCCGGCCGCGGAATCTTCTTAATCTCCGCCAACAACCCAATACTCTCCCGAAAATAATGCGTCCCAATCCCATACTCATCAATCCTCCCCCCCGTCTCCAACAGATCATTCAACGCATTCCCCACCCAATCCACCGCCTCCTCCCTCCTAACCCTCCTCTTCTCAAACAGCGCCTTCAGATCCTCCCGCCGCGCTTTGTCAATCCATCCCCATTCCTGCTTATTCGGCCGTCTCTTCCGCGCCGACATCCCCTTCTTCAACGCCGCGCTTAACGCCCGTTGCCCTTCCCCTACCTCCCTGTGCGGCGGCTCCACTTTATACACCTCTCCCGGAATCAACCCTTTGTTCTCGTCGAGCTCCACGCGCGCGTTTATCAGCGTCACGAGAACTGCGTCGAGTTTGCCGTATGGCTCGTCCGTCTCCCCGAACCCGCTGGCTTTCACGGTGGCGTCGAGGTCGCCGTACGCGTGCTCCCCGAGGTCCAGGACGAGGTTGAAGGCGAGGATCGGGGAGGTTAGGGCTAGTTTTTGGGCTTGTGGGATGAAGCTGCTCATTACGGCCGCGAAGTCGTCGGATGTCTGTTTAGGGGTGAGTTGTCATGCTTATTACCTAGATATATATGGCGGGGGTGGCTTACTATGCCCGAGAATGGGGTTGGGTTGGGCTTGTACCGCTTCAGCATACCGGCGAATTTCTTGTCGATTTGCTTCAAGGTGTCTTTGTATAGCTTGTTTGGCGTGGGATCTTTCTTCGACATGGGTTTTTGGGATTTGGCCTTCTTGGCGGGTCGAGGGATTGCGACATCATCTTCAGAGGCGGAGGGTGGGTTGGCTTGCTGCGGGGTGGTTGCCCGCGTTTCTTCAGGCTTTGAGGCGTTTGTCTGGCTGCGGGTTCGTTTGACGCCCATTTTGAGGATAGTTTATGGTGTTGAAAGTGTAGATTGAACGATCAGAAACAGGATATGAAAGAAAGCTTTGGAGTTACCCGATTTCTTGTCCTTCCATCGTTTTAATATGGGTGAACCGAACGCGTCCTCGCGTCCAGATAGTAGACGCGTTCGTTTTCGTCAGTGCTTTAACTACCGGGATGGCAATGACATTAATTTTAAGGAGGTTGAAAACTTTTTGTATTAATTATTCTCAAATATGATATATCTAAATTCTTTCCAAGGATTACCTGACTTTAAACTGAACTTACATAGATACTAATATTATTCTAGGTCTGATCTCGTTTATTTGCGACTGCATATTCTGCAGGATACTTCGTAGGGGAATCCATCGAATGGCAAACATAAAGACCTAAAGCTTCTAGTACCTACGCTTCTTCACAACTGACTACTAGGTGCTTAGGTAGGCAAAGGAAGAAGTCGCTCATGTGTCATAAGTAAAGATCAAAAGTCGTGGAAATTTGAAGATTCAAATCGTAGACTCTATATTCAGATACGACACCAACTACATATATCATTAAAACGCGACTTTTAGAAAGGGATGCATTTTTAAAATACAGTACCTATTTTATATCAAATACGTATTTTTCGGGATCTAGATTAACTTTTTAGTACTTAGAGAAGATGCTAAACTTAGGTGTAGTCTCCATATTTATAAAGTGCCCCCCTCTAACTTAAAACGTACAGTTCCATGTATTTCAACCAATTGAAATCTGGCCCGAACCTGGTATGTTCTAATCGTTATTGTATTGCTGCTGGTCTTTTTCTTCTTTTATTATTCTTTAGCAGGTTTATTCTATTGCGCGATGAAAATATCGAAGCTATTCAGAATACTACTAGTACTGGAGTGACTGCTTGTGTACATTTTATACGTATTTTACAGGGGTATCATATCGTTCGTGTATTTTATTTTCAAATACGTATTTTATGCATCCCTATTTGGAATCCCTTAGAAGTTTTGGATAAGCAGGTCTCCCAGGACCATCCATGTCTTGAATAAGCAAAGCAACGGCCGGATGCAGACCCGCGGCCGTGGCTTCACTAATCCATTCATGCAGAGGTAACACAGCATACGATCCCCTCTCCTTAGCGTCAATATCCTGCAAGCCATCTAGTGAGATGACGGCGTCACCGACTTGATTGACATATTCGATTCCCCCGCCTGCTCTGCTTGCTGAGACACGGCTGAGTATGCCGTCGCAGCAGCTATCGATACGCACCAAATCTAACACCCCGTGGTTATTTTCAACCTGAGGCGCGATCTTCAACTTGCGTATATAGCGGAGCAGCGAATTCACCCAGTCTAACTCTGCCTGCGCTGTGACGTCATCGACGCCCTCGCGGATGATGGTTGAGGGCCGGTATATGTAAACGGGGAAGTCCGGGTACTGCTCATGTACGCGCTCGAGGAGGCGCTCATTAACCCATTTCGAGCAAGCATACCCGAAAGAGCCGTCCGTCGGGGGATGCTTAGATCCCGGTCCTGATATGGAGATCGGGGGAAAGGTTTCAAGATTGGTGTAGATAGAGATGCCAGCGGTGGAGATATAGTGGAATGGTATTCGGCGTGGGAGACAGAAGCGAGCTAAGGCGATTGTGGATCCGACGTTGGCGGCTCGTAGGTCTGTGAAATATTTGATGTGCGAGGTGTCTGCTCCGTTGTGAATTATCGCGTCGGTTTCGGCGAAGATGGAATCGGCTTGCTGTTTAGAAAGTCCGAAGAGTGGCTCCGAAAGGTTGCCTTGGTAGTACTTGACTCGGGGATCCGTCAGGAGTTCGTTGTTCTGGAGACGGGTTTCAAGTTTCCGCACCGCTAGGCAGTGTATCATCTCGACACTTGGACTCTTCAGAATATGGTTGATGAGATGTGTGCCTAAATACCCTGTGGCACCGGTAATAACGACAACTCTAGGTGGTAGAGCGGGTGGTGCATCGGATATAAGGGGTATATTGACTAGGTCAGACGGTAGGGATGACTCGGCTTCCCAATCAATAGGTACGAAACTTATATCAGATGCCGACTCTTGTCCATCTACGGAGAAGGCAGACCCGCTATCGGTGCTCGAGATTAAGTGCTCCTCAATCTTCTCGGTCGCGGGTTTATCCATCTGGGGTGTTAATTCGGCCGGGATGGACTCGAGAGAACTCCGGACAAGATCTGACATGGTCTCATTGCTCATTATCTTGAGAACGGGGACGCTAACCTGGAAGTTCTTCGAAAACCAGGATCGTATGTCAACTGAGACGAGGGAGTCAAGCCCAAGTTCTTTACCGCTCTTAGAAAGGATCTCGTCGTTAAGTATGCCGGCAGGTGTCTGTAAAATCTTACGCAGTTGGTCCCCGAATCTTTCCCTTACGAGTAGACTCAAGTCACTCTCTGTCTTACAGGCATAAAGCTGATCTTGAATCGATGCTGTGGCGATTTCCTCCTTTTTATCCTCCGCGCTAGCAGTCTGGTGGACGAGAAAGCGGGAGAACCTGGGATTCGAGTACCACTTTGGGATATTAGGAGAATCAGGAGAGATATCAAGTAGCCCAGTCGTAATCTCTGGTCCACTTGGCGAGTCGGGATAGCCCGCCTCTATTGCTTCAGCGATGATCTGATGAAAATCATCCTCCGAAAGATGCATTAAGGCATTTTTCTCTACCGTATTATCGAGCCCCCGATCGGTTTCTCTCGTGATATAGCCAGCTCCTATCACTGCCCCAATATTTACGGCGGCAGCATTAAGGCCTCGCTTTCTCCGTTTCGCTGCTAGGCTACATACGTACATGTTAGCCGCTGCGTAGTTGGCTTGGCCAACATTTCCAACGATACAATTGATGGACGAGACTAGAATGAAGAAGTCAAGATTGACATCATAGAATAGTTGGTCCAAGTTGGAACTTCCTAGGACCTTCGGTCTGACCACATCCATAACCTGATCATATTGCATGTTCGGGATAGACGAATCACTTAAGACCATCGCACCATTCAGAGCTCCTGCGATCGGCGGCATTGTCCGGACGATTTCGTCGTGGACCGCTTTCAGAGCGATTTCATCAGTTACATCACTAACGAAATATGTTAGTCACACGAAAGGATTTGAGTTAAAGGGCACTCTCAATACGAACCATGGCATGATGTTCACATTGACTCCTTTCCGCCTATGATCCTCTACCCATGAAACGTCTATCTTCGGGTTCCTACTCGTTATGACGAGATACGTAACACCCCGGTCGATCATCCAGTCGCATAGCGAGATACCCAAGGAGCCAGACATACCACAGAGCCAATATGTTCTGTTATTTTTAAACATTGGTATGCTATCAAGCCTCGCAACTTGAGTTCGGAGCGGGCTCGGAGATGTCCAGTTAACAATCGCGATAGGATTTCTGGGACGCGGTTTCGTTATTACACTTTCAAGACTAACTGTCTCTTCGCTGGCGTCTAGAGCTCGGGTCGCATTATTCTGTGCGAATTGAATTGCCGTTTTCAAGTTTCCAGTAAGAATGCTTCCAGATGTCGTGTTGGTATCGATATCGTCCGGAGAATACATAAAAAGGTTGTTCGCCGTCTGCTTGATACAGTGGCTTGGGAGAAGGGCAATAATAGAGCGCTCGTTATCGGAATTTTCTAGTGAAAGGCCAACAAAAGAGGCTAGACTCTTAGGAAGAAGGCAAAAGAGCTCCGAGCTAGAAATATACGGAGGTAGTCGAATCCAGGTTTCTGGTATTGATTCGTCATTTTCTGCGTCGGTTGTACAGAGCATTGATATGTTCTTGAGGGAAGCCTGGATCTCGACAGCATCTGCAATCACCAACGGAGCATTATGCAGCATGACCGTTCGTCCGGGCAAAACCGGTGCTATGATAACCATAGCAATCAAGTGTGCGGCTACAGCTGTCAAGAAACTAGCCTCCGTAAGGCCTAGGATATCAATGTCAAAAGCAACAGCACACTCTCTGGGGATTTCAAGTATAGACGTTGGCCTTGAAAGAAGAGACATGTAGCGACATCCAAGAGAATCAATGCCCGAAGAAAGAAAGTGATGACCAGCATCAGTCTTGAGAGTGGATAGGACAGTATACGACGTTCTCAACTTCATGCTCGCCGCCCTCTTATCTCCAATGGTATCGTACCTAGATATCTCTGTTATGCTGCAATCATAAGTTGAGTGCAATTCTACGGGTGACTTGCTCACATCAACATCGTGGAATAAGGGACGTTGAATAGAATTATACCGTTCGTTGGCAGCAGTAATAGGGTTTATTCGCGGTACCAAATAGCGTCCTTTCTCGTCAATCACAAGCTCCGGCTCAACTGTCCAAAGGAGATCGTCGCCGTGTAGATCCTTGGCATGGAGACGAAGAAGACTTTCAGCAATTACGGAAGCTTTGACATCACCAAGTGCGGGAAAGTCAAGAAATTGAGCGTGTAAGTCCGGTGTCTCGTTTAATGCTGAACGGCCGAAGCCGACAGGCATGTTGGCTAAGGGCTCGTCGGCAAGACGACCAGTGCTAATCCATAGCAACGTCTTGCCAGTCTCGAATAGCTTTTTGAAGCCAAGCCACCTCTCAGGTGTCATCGCATTGAATGTAGGCGCATCCAAGTCAACCAGGCTAATGACAGTTGAGTTCTCATCGACGATGTCATGGTCAATCTCCTCTAAAGTCAGGTAGAAAAATAGCTGATCCATGAGACTTTCGAGAATCGTCCCTATTTGGCGAGCCAGCGTGGACACTGGTTCAGTAATGCCTCCTATGATAACCAACTTGGAAATCTTTCGGTTTGGTAGAGAAGGTGGACCATTAATTGCGAGCGGCTCGCGTAGAAATGAGATCTGCTCATCGACGGCCTGCGATACAAACAGCACAAGACCAAAGGTCTCCAAGAACTCAGGTGGTGCCAACCCATCAATACCCGAGAAACCCGTGCGCTTGAGCAAGGCATCCCACTTCTCGGTATTTATGAACGGTGAAAGCACTCGTCCTTCTTTCACCCCAAGCCACCATCCCGGTAGGCCACCGAAGATAAACCCATCGCCGGATTGTAGGGGTCCGTCACTGCTACCCTCGGCAACGACTAAGTACCCCCCAGGCTTCAGAAGCTTACGCAAGTTTCTCATAGTCTTGTCAAGTTCTGCGGTGGCGTGGATGACAAGCGATGCGACTATCACATCATATTTAGTCTTTTCATCGAATCCCTGGACGGCAGGGTCACTTTCGACATCATAGACCTTGAAAACCATGCGATCTCCCCAGGAAGAGAACAAGTCGGCGGCGTTCTCAAAGAAGCTGGAGGATATATCGGTGAAGGTATAGCTGTCAAAACTACGTCCGATGGATTTTAGGATACTCTTCGTCGCCCCGCCTGTCCCTGCGCCGATCTCGAGGATGTTGAGATGAGGATGGCGGTCTGTTATCTGCTTTACCGTATTACCGAGCCACGACACGGATTGCTTGGTTCCAAAGCCATCGGCATAGTACTCGTCGAGTAGGCCAGATGCTCTCATATGCTCTATCATGGTAGTTTCTTGCGCAAACACTCGTGGCATAGTCTCCCCAACGAGGAGCATGATCTTTACGTCGGCATTATCGGAAAACCTGCACGAAGGTTAGCTTAGTTAACAAAAGTCGTGAGAAGTAACATACCCATGCTGATTCACATCCTCCATAACATCGTCAAGAGTATCCGCAATCCACTCGGTCTTGGCATACTTATGGTTGCTGCTCCTCAATAGCTTAGTCATATGGCGAGCATAATTCAAGAAATGACAAAGAGGCTCGGCAGTCCTCGAGGGCGAATCAACCGGGACTTCCTCATCAAATTTCCGGAGATAAAAGCAAGCGATCCGGCTTAACACCCGAAAACGTTCCTGATCAACTGACATATCCGGGGCACCACCCGCCGGGAAATCCCCATTAGGTGCGGCGAGCACCCAATCTATTTTGTGGAATACATTCCGGTCCTTATTCGTTACCCCGGCAAAACTCATGAATCGCACTTCATCAACTTGCAGCGCTGCGCTGGGGTGGTCGGAGATATACAAGTCGAAGTGTCCGGTAAAGCCTAATACAGGCTTCCCACGGTCCGCGCGATGGCATTTCGAATCGACGATAAGCTTTTGCTCTGGTTTGACAGCACGTAAAGCGCACAGCGCAGGATTGACCCTGATCTTGCTGATATTCGTTGGCAGGTGTAAAGACCGAAGTTTATCATCTCCGGGATAGCTGTAGGCTAGGATTATGGACTGAAACGCGGCGTCGAATTCGGTTGGGTGGATGAGCAGTGGTGTCTCCCCGTCGTCGCCGGTACCGAAAATTTGCACGGGAAATTCACAAGAGGATCTACCTAGTTTTCGCTTTAGTGATTTTAGCGCACGAAACGAACCGCTGAAATTGTATCCCAGACTTTCCATGAATCCGTATAGGCGTTGTGGTTCGACATTGATGAGGTGGGGAGTTGGCGGTCCTCGTTTGGGGAGGCTTGTGAGTGATTCTGAACCTAAAATGAGACGTACGTCTGCACTCGCTACTAATGTAAGTTCGGTGGCCTGGGTGCCGAGGGCAGCTGAGTAAGTGAATTTGGCGCGAAGGTTATCAATTTCCGATTCATCGACATCCGAAAGCTGGATAAGAACCTCAATGGCAGAATTATTCTCCTCGAAAGTGATGGCTTGCTGGATGAAGAAATTACTAAGTTCGATAAGTCGAACCTCTTGTCCGGAGGCTAAGAACTTCCCAGCCTCGGTCGCCGTACTCACATAGCCAGCGGCAGGAAACACGATCTGTCCCTCTACCTGATGCCCCTCAAGCCAAGGGATTTCACTCGGTTTCAGGACGTTTTTCCAAATAAAGTGATGAGGGCTGCTGTCAGGGGATTCGTCTCCTAGCAATTGGTGGAACGTCTGCTTAGATAATCGCATTTTCCGCGATTTTCGAGACTCTTGCCAGTGTATCGTCCCGTGATCCCATTGGTATGAGGGCAATCCCTTGACAAGAGTGCGTCGAACCTCTCCTGTCCCAGAAACTGCAGTCTCGTAGGCAAGTAGATCTAGCGAGCTATTGCCTAGATTCGACCATAGGAATCCTAGACACTTTGACATTGCTTGAATAGAATCCATATTCCGGTCAAGACAGCCGTGATACGGAACATCGTGTTTCAAAAGTTCGGAAATGGATTGAGAAGCCGGTCCTTTAAGAGCCGGGTGGGGGCCAACTTCAAGAACAGCGTCGATATCTACATGGTCTGTGAGAGCAGCTGTGAGTGCTTGATTGAATAAAACTGGCTTTATCATATTTTCAGCCCAGTATTCAAGACCTGGACCAACATCAGGCTTCATGAGGTTTCCATTATACACGCTTGAGTACCATAGGCATTTATTCGATTCTGGAGGGATCTGAGATTTTACCCCGGCGCGAAGTAGGGACTCGATATAAGGCGGGGCACATGGCAGCATGTGTAAAGAGTGGTAGGCTTGATCAACTCTAAGACGGCGATGGAATTTCCCTTCATCTTGCAGTACGGCTTCCAATTCATCAATTGCATCCTCATCTCCTGAGATTGTGATGCTACTTGATGAGTTACAAGCCGCGACGCTGATGCGACCTGCGAATAGATCGTCTTCGCACAATTCAGTTGCATCTTCTAGAGATGTCCCAACGGCAAGCATCGCACCTTTCGCATCTTTATTGGGGCTTGAAGCATGCTTACAGTGTAGCCCACGATAATATGCGATAAGTATGGCATCGCGCGCAGTGAGATAGCCAGCAGAATATGCTGCGGCGATTTCTCCAGAAGAATGGCCAACAACAATATCAAATTTTACGCCGGCCGTTCGTAAGAGATCGACTAATAAAATCTGAATGGCTGTGCATAGCGGCTGAGAAATCGCGGCTTCGTGAACACGAGATGTTGGGGTAAGTAGTTCAGATCGAAGAGACCATGAAGGTCGGTCTGGTTCTGGGAGCGCCAAGAGATGCGACTCTAGGTCTTTGATTATTCGGGATGCGGTTGGAGACTTTTCGATGAGGCTCTTTCCCATTTGAGGATACTGAGCGCCCTGGCCGGTAAAAACGCCCAGAATCTTTGGAGGACTTCCATCTGTGGACTTTGATGCCTTTACTCCAATCGGGGTATCCTTATCCTCAAGGCTCGACAATATTTGACTTCTGAGATCATCCAGGGATAATGACGGGTATGCTACCCGACGCGAAAACGCTGAACGACGCTGGCTTAACGTGTAGGAGATATCTTGGGCGTTGTATGAAGTATGTTCCCCGAGATGAGTCGCAAAGGCCTGTAAATTGGCTCTCAGTGATCTCTCGGACGTCGCAGAAAACAAAAAGGGGCTGAAAAGTGGGCCTGCATGCGCTGAAGATTCCATTTCAGCACGATGGGAATCCGCCTCATAACTTTCAAGGATAGCATGGGCATTGGTACCACCGAAGCCAAATGAGTTTACACTTGCGCGTCTAGGCGCCTTGGGAGATTTGGGCCAAGGTCGAGCTAATTTGGGAATTTGGAGGTTATCGTAGAATGGAGCTACCGTAGGGCTGATGGTTTCAAAATGGAGGTTTGGGGTGATTTGACCATGCTGGATTTCCAACGAGGCTTTGAGAATTGCTGCAATCCCCGCTGTACCTTCTGTGTGTCCAAGGATGGTCTTAAAAGACCCGACGAACAGAGGATCATCCGGGGACCGCGCTGGTTTACCATGTCCAAGAAACGCTCTGCTGATCGCCTCTGCTTCTATAGGATCACCCGCTGGCGTTCCTGTCCCGTGAGCTTCAAACAACTGGGGTTGATCATTTACAGTATGTAGGTTAAGACCAGCGTTGGCGTATGTGCGTTCGATCAAAGCTTGTTGGGCAGTGACACTGGGCATGGTAATTCCTGTAGTGGTACCATCTTGATTAACCCCAGTCTCCCTAATGACACACTCAATATGGTCACCATCGGCAATAGCCGAGCTCAAAGTTTTCAATACGATAGATGCCACGCCATCGCCCCTCGCGTACCCGTTAGCATCTTTATCCCTGCAGTAATTCGTACTGTTAGCGATCTCTATTATAAATGATGTGGATTTACTGAAGTCTCAGGCGAAAACACAGATTATAAGACTTACCACATTCTTCCAATACCGTCGGGAGACAGCATCTTCAATTTGCTCTCCATTATATAACTTTCTGGACCTAGAATCAGATTTGAACCCCCAACAACAGCCATTTTCGATTCGCCAGTCCGTAATGCCTTGACTGCAAGATGAACAGCTACAAGACTCGACGAGCATGCTGTATCGATTGTCATGCTTGGTCCATGCCAATCAAAGAAATAGGAGATCCTATTTGAGAGAATACTTCTCGCTGATCCAGTGGCCAGGTAAGTTGGTATGGCATCAAGATCACGAAACTGCATGGCCTCGAAGTCGGCGCACATCGCCCCAACGAAGACACCTGTATCGCTATGTTTGAGGTTCTCCAAAGTCATCCCTGCCGCTTCTATCGATTCATAGACCGTCTCCATCAGCACTCGTTGCTGTGGGTCCATGACCGCAGCTTCAACGGGCTTGATGCCAAAGAATTCGGCGTCAAAAGCACGCACATCACCCTCAATCTATTGTTCATTAAAATTTAGTAAGTTATTATGAGCTGGGAACTAAAAATACTTACAAGGTAAGAATGCATGACATTACTATGGCCATGGTGTGCGTGGTTAGGGTGGTAGAACCGTTTCGCATTGAACCTATCATCAGGAATCTCACTGCGGACATCTCGTGGATTTCGAAGAAGATCCCAGAGTTCTGATTGATTGTTGACCCCACCGGCAAAGTGGCAAGCACTGCCAATGATAGCGATGGGCTCATGAAGCGGCAACTTAGGTATCGAAGACATTGTATATGCCTAAGTAGGCAAAGACCACCGGAAAGTAAGGGCTATAGCAATAAAGCTTGAAATTGATTAGTATAACCGATGTTCTTCAAGATAATCTGAACTCGGTAAGGTAACGAGGCGCCCCAGGAAGAGTGTAAGCATCTAGGAAGAATATTATATTCCACCAAGTGTTGCTCGAGGGGGGGTATATGGATTGAAACTATTAAATATACTTACACTTTCAGTTTCTTCAATCCATCATAGCGTGGAATATACTGTTACTAAACTATCATGTCCCAACAATGGTACAGAATATCAATCTTCAGCCAACTTACAACATCATCGATGTGGGTGGTATTGTCGGGCATGATAGTTCCAACAGATTTCCCTACCCGGTTAGTGGACAAATAGGGGGGGACCTTGACCGGGGGTTTGTTAGTGGGTGTAAGCACTTAGATACTTACCGAAAACCCTCATAGTAAATTATGTAGATAACATGGTCTTTTTCTGCTGATCCCTAGGTAGAAATGATCAATTCTGGTAATAGTAGGCGAGTTTTTGAGAAGGCTGAAGAGTTCATGCGGTATCGGCTCGGCCCGTTGTTGATTTTCTAAGACGTGCTAACCTTGGAGATATGAAGCTAACATCGTATGAGCCCTCGTCGAGTCTGATCATGGGACCCTTATCAAGCATAAATGCTAACCTGACTTATTAAATGAGTATTCAAAACATGGTGTTCAGCTCAGTTTGGATTCTGGGCTAATTGAATAAGACATTTCCGCGGCCGCAAAATCATGACTATATCTGTCGATCTCTTCGATTATATAGAGACTAATAGTCAGGTCTATGCGACATAGGCTACCTCCGGTGTTTTCAGTCTAGGGGAATGTGCTAGCAGACATAGCCAAAGATTGAATACAGGAGGTAGTATACCAAAGTCTGGCAAAATCTGTCATGGTCAATCAGAATATAAGTCACGATATAGAGAGAGGAGATGTACTGTATATACTGCTAGGCTGAGTTTCAACCTAAGACTTAGCCAGTTACCGATTTCGGGGTCTTCTAACGTTATAGTCGGTCGTTGTCGTGTATAGGATAAGCGTAGGACCAAATGTGGTACCAACAACAGTTTTGAGAAGAGCTGAATCTAACGAAGCGGGGTCTATCATGAGCCCTACTCTTCTCACCCACGCTCTGAACCCTTGTTGCAGCGTACGCACATCTCTTCATGCCTACTCGTTTTCTATTGGACCATCCTTCGGACGTGTAGGCGCAATTTGGAAATTCTGTTGGTGTCTAGATATATTCACTTGTTGTGGCTAGGTGCTTGCTAAGATCGACTCAACTACATAAGAAAGTTAGTGAAATGAGTCGATCCGGCGATGAGTGCAACATCTTTTCTTATACTATTCTTACCTACTAAGTATTTAGTTTGAACTATCATGTCATCCGCGGTCCAAACAGCCGTCATCCAGTCTGTCTCGGCGACAAAAGCGGTCCTTCCACTTGCTGTTTCCCATACAGTTCCCATCCCGTGTATCACATCTCCTTATCATGTACTGGTTCGCATTAGAACTGTAGGTCTTAATCCTACAGACCATAAGATGGTAACCTATTTCTACAATGAAGGTAGCGGGATGGGCTGCGACTTTTGCGGCATAGTGGAGCAAACAGGACCATCCGCTTTAATTCCTAAGGGGACGAGAGTATGTGGTGCTGTGTTTCCATATGGCACTATCGATGCGCATAATGGCGCGTTTTCGCAATGGGTGGTGGCAGATTCGCGTCATTTACTGCAGGTACCGGAGGACTGGACGGATGCGCAAGGTGCGGCACTCGGATCGGTCGGTTGGGCAACGTCATGTTTATCCATGTCGGACCCGGAGGCACTCGGTTTGTCGGGTCTTCCTTCCAAGCCTGTAGAGAAGCGGGAACCTATTCTTGTGTACGGAGGTGCAACTGCGACCGGGTTAATTACGATCCAGATACTGAAGAGGTAAGCCCTTATAAATATAGTGGAGATAGGTACCTATCGGAACCTTCGAAGGAACTAACTAAAATAACGGCGTAGATCAGGTTATGCTCCTATCGCTGTCTGCTCATCAACATCTGCGCCATTAGTGATGAAGTACGGAGCAGTAGGCACGGCGGAATACGGATCAAAAGATTGTGTTGAAAAGATCAAGTTAATTGCGGGCGGGGTCCCTATAAGACACGCAATTGATTGCATAACGACTGCCGAATCTGCTGCTGTATGTTTCGGGGCTCTGGGGCGGACCGGCGGGCGATACGTTTGCCTCGAGCAATTTCAAAATACGTGGCAGACAAGACGAGCTGTACGGACTAAAGTCGTGATGGGATATGAAATGCAAGGGATGGATGTTAATCTTGGGCACGATGTCTACGATCGAAAAGCCAAACCGGAACTATATGAAATGGGTACGACTTGGGTGAAAGAGATGCAGGTGCTGCTTGACGCCAAAGCTATTATGACGCCACCACTGAGAGAATTACAGGGTGGCTTTGAGGGGATCATCGACGGTCTCCACATCCTCAAATCTGGCGAGGCTCGCGGACGGAAATTGGTAGTGAGAGTTTTAGATTCTTGATATGTTTATTCCGAATATCGCATTTGGATGCTCCCACGATTGATATTTCTTGAAAAGACTGCAAAGACCTGATCTTGATGCAAATAGCTACAGGCATGTAATCGTAGATCCTAAATCTCTAATCGAGACATTCGAATATGGAAAGGATCTACACAATGCCCTGGATTATGCCATGCCGCAGCTCCAAACACGCTGTAAGAGTCTCACTGGCTGCGGTTTAGCATGTGTTATCCAATTGATAGGTACAAATTTTCACCTATCACGTCTACGCCATGCTAGGCATGTTTAACATCCATGGATGCATCATATGCGGTTGGTAATACCTCGCATTCCACTTAGGGAATTTAATCCCATTGCCCAAAAGAACCGCTTTCTCTTCGGAGACCATTGCCTTTGTCAGACCTAATGGTAGCTTTGAAGAAACCGACAGTACGGTTCGCCCCACTAGGTTCAATGCGAGGCACTTTTAGTGAGAGCACAGCCAACAGTTCGGAGTAACCATAAGGCAACTCCCTGCAATAGAACCCTCCAGTTGCGGGGCAATGCAACGCAGTACAGCCCTACGGCGCCTGGAGCCAACGCCCAGACTACCTCTGTATTAGCACCTGTAGTAGTAACTAACGGAATCCATTAGTGACCTGTTGGCTGCATGTAGTGATGGAAGTGACTGATGCGAGTAAGACACTAGCGTTCGGAGCGGAGTCATGGGGGTATTCCCATTCTACCTGGCCGGAAGCAAAGAGCGGAATCCATAGGCATCTTACTAGGTACTAGGTATTAATAACCAGATAGATCTAATAGGAGACATGAGTGCATTCCTATAGGCGACTTTGGACCTAGTAAGTAGAATTATTCCCTTATATTATCCACTAAATACGCCGCTTCACGCCCGCGCCAGTACTCAGGCACTGACCAAGTTTCGTTACAATAACCACCTGGGCAGTCTTAGAATTCTGCTTTCCTGGAATACAACTACCAACAGCTCTATAAAAGGTATTGTATACAAAATTCAGGTGTAATTCATCAAACTGATGAGATTAGCTATTATAACTATTACATTGTACTCAAAGGTTATGGTGAAGGTTATCAGTTACAGTACAAAAAACTGAGTTGTAAGAGAGATCCCTGAAACTAAACCTTGGAAGTTATAATGAATAAAAGTCACTATAACATAGTGCTATCCAGGGATCACGGTGAGTGCAGTCTATGAAGGTAACTCAATCAATTAAAATAACTAAAATAACGAGCATTCAACAAGCTATGTATACCTATGATCAACTGTCAATAGTAGACGATACCACTCGACTAATAGGTTTTTGAAAACAGATGGTTATCGAAGCAAAAGCTTTTAGTACCTACACGAAAATGGACAATAGTGTCTAGGTGGTTTTCATTGTTCTAGGTTGCATGGTAGTGAACTAAATACAAGGCTTAAGCTCTGCAATTCAAAATTCCCTCTCACCATCACCATCTTGAAGAGATTCGGTCCATAAGATGAACCCTATCATCACCTAGAAGCTTAGTTGTTTACCTACCCACTAGGATTCTCGAATCCATCTATTTACGATTAGCAATTACCCATAATCTCATCCCAAGACGATTAGATTCGTAAGTACTTACGAGAATCTGGGTTAAATATTTTACCGAAGAGAGGACATCTCCCCCGGGTGTCTGGGTATGATAATGGCCCGGGATGCTGTTGGACTGTTGGTGGGGTGGAAAAGGCGCTGTAATACTAATCCCTACAGGTTCCAGATTGCTGGGCAGCTGGGATCCCGACAGCATGGGGTATCGCCTAAGTTCATTCAGCGTCTCCACTAAACGCGGCGTACTACAGCACCAAACGGCGTAGCACCAGACAACACCAAAGAACAACCCTAGAGCATAGAAAGGGCAACATATTCGATTTGAAATCTCATTCTTGCTTCCATATTAATAACAATCACCACGAGGAAATATTGCTCCCTCATACACCGCCGCCTACTTTTTCAGAGCGCCATAATGTAGGCTATTTTCTTGGCATGGGTCTTAGTAACATGATATTCCGCTAAATCATCGCAAATCCCCAATTATCGGGCTCAAAGTAAACTCCTCGTTCCCGACGTCTATGAGCCCGATATCCCGATTAAGCATCTAGATTAGAGCAATGACTCCAAGAATCAGGACAGCGTCATAAGCGTCGTGACAGAAAGGACTACTGTGATGATACCGAGACTGCTCCGAGAAGAATGACGACGAGCGCGGATCCTAGAAATGAGGGTATTGCGGATCCGGATACACCATTGATACATCTCTTACTATCCAGCATATTAATTAATGATGCCGAATATTGTTGTATAAGAGGCCATCGGGGATTCGGGACCAAGGCTTGGCTAGCTTCCTCAAAATCAGCAACTTTCACATATTAAGTCCCCTCGGTTGCGTCAAGATCTTTCGGTATACGGAGCGTAGATACGTAGGTAAGTAATGATAAGCAAGCCAGTCAATGATCCAGCTAAAATATCGAGGAAATTCTCAAGTTGGCATGAGACTCTTCAATGTATGAATTCTAAGCTGACCGTCCTCAGATTTTTTAGGTATGCCCTAAGTCATAAAACGTATAGCAATCAACCTCAGATTATCCCATCATAAATATTCAAATTAAATTATATATTTGGATAAATATTTTAACGTTGTTTATCTCATGTGTAACCTAGAAGGGTACCTAGCAGGCTTTGTAAGCACCGTAGTTAATCTGATTAGTCATTCGCGTTGTTGATAGCATCTTTACCCCTTTCCATGATATTTTGGGAATAAGAGTCAATAAAGTTTTACGGCTCGGTATCATGGAATAATTGCTTCTTAACCATTATCAGTCAATACTAGGATCATTTCTTAAGATCTCTATATCCACCATCATACCGACACGAATGCTTAGGACCCGTAGGATCTACGGTCCCTTGCTTAATTCACTAGTCTATAACTGATCCATGGGAGCCGATTGGTATATAGAATGAAGAAATCCGCAAGGGAGCTTCGTAAATTGCGAGAACGTAATAGTACAGGAACCATTCATGTAGTGGCTGAGGCGTGCCAAGCGGTGAGTACTGAATAGAAATGGTTGTAATTGTCGATATGGCTCAGGCGAAGGGAATTATAAATCACTGAGTATGTCTACATCTTTAAGAAATATCTGTAGTCGTGAAGGGTAAGAAACCTCATCGGCGCCATGGGCATATCTTGGAGTAGCACGAGACGAACCGCACCGCCAACCGTGCCCTCGGATACCATCATTCCAGTTCATTACTGGGACATCTCGTCCCCGGGCCGTTCAGCAGCTATATTCTATCTATTACAATTTGACGATGTCCTTGATGCGGAAAAGCTTAAGGGATCTCTGAGAAAACTTCTTGGTCTAAAAGGGTGGCGTAAGCTAGGAGCTCGCATAAGGATAAATGTTGTACTTTCATCAACCCCCCTATTTATTTTTGCCTACTAATACATGGATGCCAGGACAACGGAAAACTCGACTACCATATTCCCGCCTATTTCGACGAAAAACGTGTACCATTCTCATTCCATCACGAAAACTTCGACATTAGTGTAAATGAACACCCTCGAGCATCGCGTTTTCGACTAGATCCCAATGCTAGGACACCGCATATACAGTGCCGGGAAGCAGATTGGATAGACTTCATGTGGCAGTCAGGAGACCCGAAAAGAATAGAAGATTACCTCTACTCCGATAAACCTATATTAGGGTTCCGCATGACTACGTTCCTTGATGCAACATTATTAGCCTTCTCGTGGCCTCATTTGTCATTTGACGCAAGTAAGCAGCTGTTTCTTCGTAATAAACCTCTTGTCTATCGGGGATATAGTCCACTGTGCTAATACTTGAGGCTCATCATGGAAGTGGGTCATGCATTATTCCTACAAGCTTGGTCACTGATTCTCAATGGCCGTGACGATGAAGTACCGCAATTTCTTGGTTTCGAGAAGGACCCTTTGGCCACACTTGGCACGCAGCCCGTAGAAAAATACAAGCACGCCGACAACCAATTCGGTATTCCGCAAGCGGTCATCTTAGGCCTGCGCTATGTTTATGATAGATTCCGAAATCGAAGACTAGAGGAAGATGGACGAACGATTTGTCTGCCGGCAGCGTACGTTCGGCATCTGTGTGAGACAGCCAGATCAGAATTGAAAGCTACGCAACCCGATGGCCCGGTGTCTTTTCTCAGCGAAGGAGATATCATATGTGCGTGGTGGGCAAGACAACTTGCCCAGATTCAGATTTCCGAGCCATCGAGTCGGGAAGTCGCTATATACAACATATTTGGACTCAGGGGGCGTTTGGAGCAAGAACTTCTCCCGCCAGGCCATGCTTACGTCGGCAACAATTTTTGCACTCTCCCCGCATTCATGACGGCTAGTGATATCCTAACAAAGCCCCTGGGTTTTGTCGCAGCAGCTATCCGTAAGGCATACATGGATTTGGGTACAAGGGGCCAAATAGAAGCACTAATGAGCCTCAACCGAGCTGCTAAAGCTAAGGGTGGTGTCGCTTTCTTCGGCGACCCGTGGATGAAATTGACCATGTGTACCAACTGGACTAAAGCGGACCTTTTCAACGTCGACTTTTCAGGGGCTCTACCTCAACGCCTACCCAAGGGTGAACGTACGTCCGGCAAGCCATCGTTTGTCCAAGCCCATGTTTTCCTAAAAGGTCTCACAGCGATGAATTGCTTCATAATTCTCGGGAAAGACATAGAAGGAAACATTTGTTTGTACGGTTACATGAAGGAAAAAGACTGGGTCGCTGTAAATAAAAGGCTAGAAGATACTATCAAGAGGTAACGCATAGTCCACCTCGTAGATACTAAATAGTCAATGCATCGCGATTGCGGTTTGATATAACTTGCCATTCTTACAGCGACTAAATAAGAGTCGTCGGCAGACGAGCCAACACTCTACAATCTGTGCCGAATGAAAAAATAACAGTTGCCAAAGCGAAGCAAGATTATGAACCCTGTGATCCACAAAACACCGAGGGTGTCTTTTCTCCACCTTCGGTATACCGAAAAATGACCCCCGAAGAACGGGTGAAGGCATTGGAATGGCAGCCGGCGCCACGGCCAGGGACATCGGAGCCGGGCGCGAAGAATACCAAACAGTCGCCGAAGACTTATAAGACTCGAATGGGAAATTGGTTGGCCGGTCTTTTTAGTAACCGGGGTACCTGGGCGGGACTAATGGGAAGATCCGACACGCTCGGATTGTTCGGGAGATCAAGAATGAGGTCTAGGCCTGGCCATTGAGCATTGGTGGTTTGGCCATAGAAAAATAAAACACCTAAAAAGCTGGCTAGGATCTGCCTTGTAATGAGCATATTTCACTCATCACCTTCGTCTTGGGATCTTTAGACCACGATGACTAAGATTAGAATAGCGGGTGAATTAGTTCGCCCCTTGATATAGCCTCAAACAACAAGCCTCATGCGCACGCAAACTATTTCGCAGAGAGCATCACTGCTGTCGTGATGATACATCTTCGAGGTAATTAATAGCTTCGCAGCGCCAAGCCAGGGGTCTCGTTTTAGCCAGGGGCACCATTACCGGATTTGGACGGTTCTTAGTCCCCGGCGAGATCTCTGGGTCGTTTCCGAATGGCGTCACTGGTTCTCTCCATATATTCCCTATGGAATTCTCCGGCTCTTAATAGATTTCTCGGAACATGCTTCTCCATTCTGGGGAAGATCTTCATGCGACTTCATCCCAAGTTTCCAACCCACCGCGAACCCTTCGTATTTGCACCTTGAGCGCTAACTTTAGCAATTGATGCCCGGGCCATCTGGTTACATCGTCCCATGTGGTCTCAGATCAACCAAGCGGTCATGTATATAAAGGCTTTGATTCCCATCGTTCGATATGTTGGATATTAGAACTTCTGTGTAATTGTAAACAGTAATTTAATACGAAAATGGTGTCTTCAACCCTCATCGTCTCCCTCCTCGCCTCCGCGGCATCCGCGCGTTCAGTGAAGCGTGGTACAGGTGAAATCAAATGCCCTGTGGTACTTAGTGGGTTCGTTCTGGCAGACAAGACGCCGACAGACTTTGATGCGTACGCGACGAGCCCGTTCAACCCCGACTACATCCGGGGCAGCGAGAAGTTCTCGCAAATCTTACAATTCCCGGATGTCGGCAGCTCGCGTTTCGATAACGCATCTACCAAGTCCGTCGAGGTTACCATCAACGATAAATCCATCTTCCAGACTCAAAATGGGTTCCGCCGCGCCGGTTTACAGATACAGGGCGACACGAATGAGGGTGGTCCAGGAAGTAAGGGAGTTAGAACGCTGCATTTTAGCGTTAAGCAAGATCCCGAGCGGACCCTGAACTTAACGCATGAGTATCTGGTATGAATATAATTTCATGGAGTGGATATGGCTACGTGGAAGTGGACAAGGATATATGACCAGAGGACTAACCACGAGACTAAAATTCTAGAACGTCTGGCACGAAGCCTCCGATTTCAGCGCCAACCAGTTCAACTTCCAAACTGGTACCCTCATTGGCAAGACTGGCGGTAACGCAAACACCTTCAAGGTTCTAAACCGACAGAACACCCAAGTGTGGGAGACCCCTACCGATCCTACTGCTTGGCAGAACTTTGCCATTACTCTTGACTTTGTGAAGAAGTGAGCCTACTCCTGTTCCCCTTGTAGTCTAGAAAAGGCATCATACTAAACTAGACCTTCATAGCACCCTCCAAGTATACTACTCCAAAGACGACGAGCCCCTAGAGGCTGTCACCGCTGCGCTTTCCAACGACAACAGCGGCGAAGGACAATACCAAATCGGCATCTTGAAGAAACCGACGGGCACCTCCGATGTCGTAAACTCAGGCTTCCAAGAGACCGGTATTGATGAGGGTCAGATCTACGGTGGACTTTTCATCGAGGACAGTGCTAACGGCTGCATATCGTTGTAAACTGAGGCAATGAACACCATTCTCAAAAAGAATACCGAAGTTGAACCTCTAAAAATTGTATATATTTCGACTTTATCTAAATTAGACGCATGTTATTGAGACTACTCCATGAGACACTTTTACTGACTCCTATTCACACAATGCGCATTATACAAGGGGCAATAACAAAGGCGTAGGGCATTTGATTCTTAGGTAGGTATTAAACAATTTTGAAATTACTATTTGATGGAAATTTATGTAGGTATGGCAATAACCTAGTTGCCATTAACGATGGTCACATCCAATGATACAGCCTAATCAATAGACCATCGGCATCATCGAACCCCTCTACTCCTACAATCACGACAACGCGTGACGCCTCGATATCGTCGGTCTAACAAGTCTAGGAATCCTCGAATCTCTATGATCTTGACTCGGCAACCGTCCACGATCATCCGCCGAGGTCCCTAACCCTCGACCTAACGATCTAGCCCGCCTAGAATCAACACCAACCTTCCGATATCTCCACGCAACATCACCAATCCTCTCCCCAAACGGGCCTTTATGAAAAGACGACGAAGCAGGCAACTGAGCCACCATCTCCCTCGCCTGATCAATAACCCTCTGCTGCGACCACTCCGACGCAAAGAAAGTCTCTGAGTCTGGTCTCGCCGCAGCCCCAAGAAACAAAGAATCAGCGCGCGTGGGACCCGTAGCATGGGCATCAAACGAAAGCCCTCGAGCCCTCTGCTTACCCGACTTACCTCTCCGCACCTCCTCCTCCCCTTCTTCGCGCTGACTCTCCCTCAACTGAAATCTCCGAACCCTTCCCTCCAACCCCTCAAACTCACCTCTCCTACCTCTCCCATCCTCACTCCTCCCTCTTCTCCTTTCCACCCCAAAACCCACATCCACATTCACATCCACCCCCACCTCCAAATCTAACTCCACCCTCCCCCCCTCCAAACCCGGACTTTCCAATCCCCCCATCCACTCACTCGCCACATCCTTCACAACCCCCTTCCTCACCAACCCCACCTCAAACGTACTCAGCGGTCGTACCCCCGCCTTCTGCATATTCAGATGCCAGCTAGCTTTCATCCGATCCCGAGCGCGGTCTACGAACGAAGACCGCTTTTGCCGTGGACGGTCGCAGGTCCAGGAGCCGCGGGCTGGGCTTGGTGAGCGGGGGATCGGGGTTGAGGGACGAGGGGAGGGGAGAGGGGATGGGGACTGCGAGCGGGTGAGAAGGGGGGTTGTGGAGTAGGACGGGGAGACGGGGGTACGGGAGGAGGGTGAGCGCGGTGGAGTGACCATGCGGCGGACTTGGGAGGGGAATGTGGTGGTTGATGGGGATGGCGTAGGCGTGTAAGCCTTGTAGATGGACTTTCTGACGCTTGTGGGGATTGTAGTCTGGCTGTTACGAGGGTGGTTCACTTCGTATGGCTTGATCTTATCCCAAGGCATGACATCGCTTCGTGGGCTTGGATTCGGGGTTTTAGGTTGAGCCGAGGACGTACTATTGTGACTAGCCTCTCCGCTATTGCCACTCTGTGTTGCAGCTTCTTGGAGATTTAACGGTAGAGGTCGACGCTTTACGCCATTTATACCGCTGGGCTTAGGCTTAAGTTGTAGCGGTTTGTCCTTTGGTGGTACCGGCGGCGCGGGTCTATATGGCGTATATTTCGAATGCCGTATTGTCGACTTCTCGTTATCAACCTTTTCCGCCTCCTTTCCAGGAATGACCTGCGTATAAACTGGCTTTCGAGGTACCCAGGAGGTACCGTTCGCCGTCGCACTAGGAGCCACCGTTTCGTTATCCTCGTGCGCCGCTCCCGATGAAGTAGAACCCTGTGCGGTCCATCCTGGATACATAGAGGCCGGGTGCAATCGTGGCGAGTTGGAATCCTCATCTTTACTGGGTGGTGTTGGCGGCTCCTCCGAGACATTCTCCGCTTTGCATAGAGCTTCGTATGCACGAGCACGATTGATGATACGATCTCGTGCCTCGTTCTCAGACTCAATACGCTTGCGTGTAGAGTTCGAGATTGTAGGGGCTTTCGTGCCAGTAGAATGAGAATTGGCCCTGTCACTAGAAGCTGACCTAGTATCACTCTTTTGCCGTGATGGGTTAGTAGAAACAGCTGTTCTAGGGCGGTTGCAGTTCGACTTACCGCTCTTATTGCGGTGACTATCGCCAACAGAGCTTGATCGGGTGCTGCTAGCGTTGCTGCGATAGTCTTCGAGCCCTCCGAGGGCATCGAACCAGGATTGGCTTTCACCTCTTTGACTCATGATTTTTGAAAAAAACAAACGCAACGGATAACAAAAACAAGTGGAGATTTATGTTAGAGACCAAGTAGGAAAAACTCGGCCGCTTTTATAGATAGGGGGGTGGGAACGAGAGTTTTTCTTGTTAGAATCCCACCAAAGAGTATGTTTGAGAACAGGAGGGTAATCTGCTCACAACTCATAAAACATAAAACCTATGTCTACCCAGGTACAGATGCGAGGCGACATGGCCTCTATTAAGATATATCTCTTGCTATGTGCTTTCTCAGCCGCAAGAGTCTTTACCTAGGAATAGGTGCTTAGTTAGTAACAATGGGAATTGTGTCAATGTCTTTGTGGAGAGCGTAGTCTCTATGTTCTGTTTGATGAAAATGTCCATGGCCTTGCGCGTGTTGAGACAAAGGCAAAAAGTTGAACTAGACAAGGACATTGTCGGAATGAACACAAGGAACGATGTATCTGTTCATAGGGTTCATAGTCGTTTAAAACAGTCCTCTGCGAAGGTCTGAGCTGCAAGTTTCGCACATTTCGCACATTCGCCCAGGGACTAAACCCGTGTAATTTGAGACATCCCTCGACCTATGTGGCGTCGTTCTTCAGTGGATGAGCTCCCTGGGATATAGCGATCGTACCCTAAAATTTAGCGGATAGATCACCAAGTCTTAGCCTATCCATATCTCGCGGGATGCACGCGCCGAATAAGAAGCCTGACCAATATGCGAAACCTTCACCTAAACTTAGAAGTCAAATTATCAAGTCTGCAGAATGTTAGCTAGCTTATAAACACGAATGAATTTTAGAAAAGGAAAAGAAGCCAATTGTAAGGCGCATTGGTTACGGTTTAACAGTATCCATGGATGTCGTAGTGGGCAGTCAATCATAAATATCTAGTCGTCAAGGTCCCCGAAAAGGTAGCCAGGCAAAAGAAAAGAGAAAAGATTTCAGTTGTACATTCATTTGTGTGATAATTTCTTAGGTAGACACTATGCATTTGCAACCCATTCTCCCAGCTATTGAAAATGGACTGCCATTTCAACCCACCGTTTCGCCGTTGCTATGCGTTGAGATGGAATATAATTCCTAGTAGCACGATGCATTATCCCCGAACTAGAAAAAGGGTTTGCCCTAATTTAAATCATGGGATAACTAAACCAACTGTCCGTAGAGGCTATACGAATGTTGCCTTAAATTATACGGAACAAATGTCCCGTACCCTGAATAGTGTACGACATATGCCGTCGCATCAACTTATGGCACCCAGAAAAGACGACTGGCTTCCGAGTTCCGTAGGGCTGAACTCCACAAGACGATGAAATAGAGAAGTTAGGCGACATATTGATAGGCCGGAGAGCCATCGGCTAGTTCGGATCGTTCGAGGTAATCACGACCTATCAGTGCTTCAATCCGACGTTTAATAAGCGACACATCGGGCTTAAATCGATTAGCCAAGACTTGAATAACTTCCGTAATGAGCGAAGAATGACCGAGTTCCTTGCGTTGCCTAGTGTACCTGTTAGCAATTTTCGAAATGAGATAATGCGATCGAATCACAACGTACTTCATGATTCGGACGATAGCAGCGTCGGTAATGTACATTCTCGTCTCTTCATTCTTCTTGTCGGTCTCTTGGCGTTCCTCCTCATTTTCGACTCTGTTACTGGCGTTGATTGAAGGAACTTTAATCTTGATAGCCTTGCTCACAAATTCGCGATTGAATGTGAATCTGTCGCCTGGTTTGGCGGCTGCTTTCGTCTGCGACTCTTTCAAAAGAACACGATATAGTTTAATCACGGAGAGTGATGTTAGCGCATTGATCAAGTCAATCTGTGGAATGTTGGTTTTCTCCTCGATCTCCTCAAATGACAGCCATTCGCCCTCTGCAATTTCATTAAATAGCATCAGGACGATCATGCCATAGGTAGACACGTTGATCTCGTAGCGGCGATCCTTACTAAGAGGACCAGAGGTCTTGCCGGGCACCTTGGGGAATATGCATTTTATATCCGCAGTTCCGGCACCTCCGAGCCAAGTGAGTATGCGACCATTGCGGTTGATACCATAGAACTTGAAGAAACTATCTTGAAGTCCTTGAATCTGACGCGGATAGATGACCGTTGCTCTTGGTCCATCGGCAAGACCAGTACGACCCATGACTTCCTTAGGCCAATTGTTGCCGGCAAGAACAGAAATGCTGAGCTCAATTCGTTTCTCGTCTGCATCACCAAGTCCACGGATATGATCTCGATATTGTTCTGTCGTCTCCTTGGATATTCGCATATCTCTGAACATGCCCTCGAACTTGTGCGTAAAAGAATTGCCTAGTTCGCGTTTCATGCGTGATATCATCTCTTGCTCCACCTCTTGGCTCTCTGTCTTAGAATGCAATAGACGGCGAGCAAGATGCTTCTGATAGTACTGCTCGAACTTGTCTTTCTCGCCAAGGTAGCGGAGGAGAGTTATCGCTTTGTCGAGAACGATGTCAACCTCTGCCTCTGTCTTGCCCTTGATACCTCGCTTCAGGCTATCGTCAATAAAGAGCGAAACGTACTCCGAGCTGCGATCATAGGAATTGATGAAATCCGAGAAACTCTTAGTTAATGCCGTCTGTAAAATAAGATCCTCGCCAAAGCAGGTTGACCATAGCCTGTCGAATTTGTCCTTGAGGCCCAGCACATCGTCAACCCATTTGACGGCTGCAGCTGTCTGTTGGGCTGCAGCGTTCAACGTCTTCGGCTTAGATTTCTCTGCCCCGCCCGTGGGCTCTTCCCCGTCCGCCTGCTGTGCTATGCTAAAATCAGTACTTCTGAGTACTTGCTCAATTTCCATACCAAGCTCAACAACTCGACTCGCCAGAGCTTTACGTAGGACTGCCTTCTTAGGGTCAACCCTAGCAATAAGCTGGTAGAGGATGGTGAGATCCTCAATTCGATCGTTGTCAATCATAGCCTTGATACCGCTACCTTCGAGGGAGAGAAAGTCCTCTATATGCTTCACAATAAGCTCTTGCTCAACCACATTGTTGATCTTCGGAAGCGTTAACTGAGAAAGAGTTGTTTGGCATCGCTCTGCCTCTTCGGCAAGTCGTCGTTGCGTGTATCGGAGCCATGCGCTGGCGTCAGCCTCGCGAATCAATTTATCGCACTCGGACTTGTAGAAGGCACCGCTATTTTGGAGATAGATAGGTTCAAAGGTAGTCAAATAGAGCTGCTCCAGCGAATTCTCTTCATCTGTCTCAAAAAGATCCTCTAACATGGAGGTACAACTGCGTAATAAAGCCTTGTCGATGACGTCGCCTTCCCTTTCCATATTGATCTGATCAATGATAGTGGCGTTTAGAATGTCGAATACTTGACAGGTAGATCCATTCTCTTTCAGGTCAGATCTTAGGATATGGTCTCGGAATAGACCAATTGTTGTAGCGTAGATGAGAGGATGGTGATGACCGCGGTCGAATCCTCGCTCGAGGTACATCAATATATCGGCAATCATGTTCATCGACATGTTATGGTTTTCCCATGATGTCCGAACCCCCTTCAGAAATTTCTCACCCGTGGCACGTCGCTCGACTACGCTAGTACCACGGGCTTCATCGAGTGTGATACTAACGAGATTCGTAGTTATGAGAGCTCGGATAGGTGGTATGATTTCGTCGGCAAACCACTGTTCCTCGAACTTCTTGACTCTCTCATATAGCTTCGCGCCAGACTTCTTCAATACGATCTTATACGAATATCGGTATAGCTGCTCGAACGAAAGTTTTCCAGCGTTGCGTGTGTGTATGTCATGAAATGCTTCCTGGAGCTTCTCCCAGCATTGTTCGAATTCGTCGAGAGGGCCAGAGGAGGTCGTAGCCTGATCCATGATCGTTAGTAGGTCATTTAGATAAATATGGACGACGGGATAGCGCGGGAGCCGTAAAGAAAAGTGGTGATAATGGGAAGTTAAAGACGAATGATGCGATCGACTATAAAACAAACGCTTTGCGAGACTCAAGAGACATCACAGACCAATGGTGCGATTGCGTGGACCGAAGAGACCGCGAGACCTCATACAAGTAGCTAGAAACTTATATCATGCTCTCAGAACGGCATCACGAGAAGAGTAGTAAGGTTATGGTACAGGATAGGATAGAATAAAGTAGGATATTTTACTTACCCGTCGAGGAGGCCGAATGCGACCACCTCGCATTATGGAACCTCCTCCTCTACTAATCATTTTGGCATGCTCTCGATTCTCTCGGATGGTGTTGTTGGTGTTTGATGTTTGGTACAATCATATGTTGTGTTTGTGAGATTAAAATTGCATCAAATGGCCGAATCCCAAGGCTGAACCGATAACCCGACAGCCTGGAGTTACGAAATGATCATAAATTAAGTCCATACATGCTTAAGACGAAGCAGAATGAATATCCTAACTGGTTAAATGGAAACAACGACGCTAATAAAGCATATCTGTTAAGATTTAGATAGAAAAATCATAAGGAAGGAAGAGATACCGTCTTTGTCGCGAATCTGGAATCGTAGTTGCTGTTCTTGCATAAGTTAAGCTTTTGTCGAGAAGGTGTGAAGCTCGCGCAATACCTAACCGGAACGTGACGGTGGGATAAGAATTGCCCCTCCAAAGATTATATAATCCACGTTAACCCACTTTGGTAAGGCGCCGATTCATGTCTCCATTTTTCTACCAATGCTATGAAAAAAATCGATTACGTAGCCAGAGATTAACGGATAATCTTCAAATCTTCAAATCTTCATGATCAAATGTTGTTCGACACGTAATTGATTGAGTGTACAGAATATGGCCTCCAAACCAGTCGCCAACTTCTTACTACGTCCAATAATCCGTTCTTCGAAAATAATATCACCTTCTATTCTCCGCCCCGATCCTCTTCTCCCTCGAACTTTACAACCAGCAGCCCGTCGCTTCGCCCACACCATCCCCAAACCTCCGGGCCATCCAACAACACCAGAGGAGCAGCAGCAGGCGCGAAGACGAGCCCAGCCTCATTACAAAATAACCTTTACCTGCAAACCCTGCGGACATCGCTCCGAGCATGAGGTGTCTAAGACAGGCTATTATCATGGCTCCGTGCTCATCACCTGCCCGTCCTGCCGAAATCGCCACATCATCAGCGACCACCTAGGCATATTCGGCGACCGCAAGATCACCGTCGAAGATCTCATGCGGGAGAAGGGACAGCTAGTAAAACGAGGCACCCTTGGCGAGTATGGCGATATTGAGTTCTGGCAGGATAAGGAACACTTCGAAAGCGACGACGACTATTATAAGATTAAAGACAAGCCAGAAAATCCATTAGAGGAGGCAGACCCGGACGTCGTATCAGAGGAACAAGAAGCAGCAAAGTCGCAGGAAACACGAAATCCATCTTCACAATCGACAGACCGAAAACCCGCATCCTCGGCATTATTAGGGGACTCCGGTACTCGCCCATCGATAGGCGATTCACAACATAAAGACCCTGTGCCATCAACACGGCGTCAATTATCAACAGTAATACAGCCAACTCCTTGCAAACCCGGTGTTAGTGGCCGCGACTTTCTCAGAGCGTCAATGACGGACGGAAAATCCTACTCCGAGCTCCATCAATTACTACAAGAATACCTCACCGGACCCAGGTCCCGTCGAGTGGAGAGAGGACTGCGCCGAGCCCTAGCCGAGCGTCGCAGCATGCTGAATCGAGTCCCGAAGGAGGAGATGCTATCAAAGGTGAATCAAGTCTACGCCGAACAGCAGGGCGGCGATGCTAACGCGGGTTCCCCGGCCCAAGGCACCCCGGGGGAAGCAGTAGACCAGACCCCGGAGAAAACTACCTCCTCCTCCATCCCCAGATACCTCTCATCGCGGAAACGGATGACATCAAGGGAATTCCTCCGCGTTCGCTATCACAGGGTATATCCGCCAAGGTACATTACCCGGATAAAACAATACCCCAAATCCACAATTATGGAGCCACCTACCGTCCGTCGGCCGCTGTTCCAGAGCAAATACGACGGCGTCCGCTTATACGATTTCCCCACCGTAGACAGCCGGCCGCAATACATCCGAACGGGACCCGGCCCATTATACAAGAGGAGACGACCAACACCCTGGACAGGGCGGCTCCTAGAAGAAGAAAAAGCATCAATAGCAGACCAGGACGACGACATGCTCGATCCAGAAATACCGTTCCAATGGGAAATGCCGGCAGATGTATCCGACGGACCCAAACCAACGGTATACCCCACAACAGCGCGACGCTGGCCCAAGCCACGTGCGCCATCATATACATCAGTGTATCAAAAGAGCGAGGAGAGATACCACTTCTACAAAGCGGTAGCGGTGCGGCGCGCGGAGAAGCAGTCGAGGGTGGAGAAAACGCCTGTACCGATCGCGGTGGTGCCGAGGCCGTCGTCGCAGGACGAGGGGGAGACGAAACAAGTAATACGGGCGAGCTATTATAAATTTAAATATTTACGTGATGATATGATATTTTAGGCTATAATACCCCAATCCAAAACAGTTAAATTTTATTTCGCTTTGGAGTTGTGATGTACATGTTGTGAAATGTATTGTTGAAACACGATTACTTTGAGAGGGCATTGGAATGACTTAGATGTAAGTCGACATATTTCCATCCGATCAAAAACAAGTGAGTTTCAATCACATAACGGACGGATATAACTAGGTAATTACTACTTTATATCTTAAAATCAACGAGATAGGTATCATTAAATCATCTTATATTTCCATTCTATTTTCCATTACGCCAACCCACCTAGGTAGGCACTTATGCGTCTCATAACTCGCCCTAGTACTCCCTCCTCCTATTCCGATTCTGCTGTCCCTTCTCCTTCCTACGCTTAACCTTCTTCTCCAGCTTCCCTTGCTTCCACTTGCCCCACCTCTCCGGCTGCGTGACGGCCTCGATCTTCCTCTTCCTCGACCTGCTCTCACGGCGGTTTCTGGCGCGCTCCCGCACCGCGAGGAGTTCTTGCGTGTACACCGTGGTACCGAACTTCTTTTGGAGGATGTCCATGGCTTCGCCGGCCTTTGTCTTGAGCCCCTCGTATCGCGTATTGAACACCTCGTCTATTGAGTACGGAGTTGGGACTAGAGGGTCCAGACGATGGTGAAGTGGCGTGAGGAGAATATTGAGCGAAGGTTTTAGAGACGCTTCGGGTAGAGTAGAGATAAGGATAGATAAGATATCCAGTGCCGCCACTTTCGGTACGAGCGCACGGGCGTTGGGTCGCGTTTCCTCAACGAGGATTTCGGAGAGCCAGACAAATAAAGTGTGGAGGGTGGTCTTATGGGTAGTTTCTGCTTCCGTATCAAGGCCACCCCATTCCTCTTCATCATCACCAGACTCTTCTGCGTCGCTACCATTGGATTCAGTATCTGGTGAACCAATATCCATAAATTTGCTTAGCATCAGAATAACTCTGCCAACTTCGGCTGCGAGGGTCTCATCAAGTTCCGTTGTATTATCAATGGGAAATGCACCATCATCGTCCGTACTAAAGGAGGCAGCACTGTTTTTCTTTTGCATTCTTCTCTTCCATCTCCTTACAGTTGCAGGGCTGAGAACACCAACTGCATAAAGGGTCAAATGCCCAACCATTTGTGGTTGCAATTGGATGCCGTGTGACCCCGTAAGAGTCTGTGCATTACTGGCATCTTGATTATTCTCGTAGAAGTCAGTTAGATAAATCCGCAACAAGCGTATGCTTGAAAGCTTGACGGCAGGATCTGGGTGCGAAAGAGGAATTGATATGGATTGCCACACTCTGTCGTGTGACAATGCCGTTGATGGGTGCTTCTCTATAAGGATTGGCGTCATGCGCATAACCGTATCAATCAATTCCGAATCCTTCGAAAAAGTGGAGTAATTGTTTAAGACATTAGCGGCCGCCTCAAGTAAAAGATTCGCATCTTTGCGGTCTCTCGATGCAGGTTCCCTAGCTTCGAAGTAGAGTGAGAATGCTTGGAATGCCAATTGCAGCACTGAAGAGTTGTCATCCTGCTCTATCCAAGAACGCATGAGCGTCAAGAATTTTGAAGTTTGCTCTTTGTCAGCTTTGCGAAAGATTTCCTTGATTAATTCGCCAGCTGCCAATCGACACTTCTCACTATCATCGTTGACCAAAACGAAGACCAGAGGGATGAAACAAGTTGCAGCGACTTCTTGAACAAAGTCATCGGCTGATTTCATGAGTAGAAGATGCACAACCTCCATAACCGAAAGCCGACCGCCCTCCCTTTCGTATTTCAAGTTCGCCACGATGAAGCTCAGTTGTTTAGCCCATCTACTCTTCTTTTGCGGATAGTCGCGAAGGAATTGGAAGAAAGCACCTCGAGCCAGGTCTCGCGTATCTTTATCGTCATTGGTGATCATGACAGTTCCTACATAGTCTAGAATGTCGTAGACTGTAGCAGTCTCAGTTTTGCGGTCAAGGATCGATCGTAGGAAGCTGAAGGTGACGTGACGATAGAGTGGCTCCGTTAGGTCATCTTTGACCTTGTTGAGTAACATATCAACTGCTGCATCTTTTACCACGACGTCGCGGCGGTCTCTGATGATGACAGACATAAGCTTGAGAGCACTCTGTGCGAGATCTGTTTCAGTTGACGTAGACATCGAGATGCATTTTGATGCTTCTTTAGATGCCACTTTATAAAGCTTCGTAGCATCATCAGTTTTAAAGGGAACCTTGACAAGAACAGTTAGAAGTTTGAAGGTCGCAATCTTGACTTCCTCTTCGCCTCCGACCAGAGCGTCACCAAGTATCGGAATGAACCCAATAATATTAGTAGCATTTCGAATATTGTCATGTTTCTTCAGTACAGATCGAAGAACGTCGACGGCAAATCGTACAAGCTTGAAAGTGTACTTGCTAGTTGTGCTGCGATCGCCGCTTTTATTAGCGCCCTTCTGAATTAGGTACCGACGAAGCTTTGGGTCTAATCTCGACTCTGATCGGGGCTTCTGGCTCTCGTATACTTCTTGGATTACCTCGTAACAAAACACCAAGGTATCCCGGGTGCCGGCCGCGGAATTGCTGAAAAGGCCAGAGGCTATCCTAGACAGCAGATCGTCTATTTTTCGCACCATACGGATATCAAGTTTCTCGAGCAGTAGTGCCTTCAGAGGTCGCACAAGATCAACAAGATGGCTGACAGAAGCAGTTCGAGCGACGAGTTCCATTGAGTCCTGACTCTTCCTGCTCTTTACCTCTTTGGTCTGACTGGTATACTCCTCTGCATCCTTTTCTTGACCTACGACTCCAAAGATATCGTCCATGATGACGCTCACAATTTTATCAAGACAATAGTCAAGATCTCCGGGTTGAAATTGAGGCGTGACGTTGACCAAAATGGTATGCATCGTGTAAGACAATATGTGAAGTTGGTATCCCTTTGTGAGAGCACCTCTCAATTCATTGAGGACGAATCCGAAATAAGATGATCCAAGAAGAGATGTCATAGTTGAGAGGGTACTACGTGCCATTTCTCGGGATTCCCACGCCTTACTTCGCAAGATATGACAGATATCTGTAAGGACACCAGGAAGTTTCTGGTCCAGTGTTTCTTTTGGGAGTACCTGGAGAATCTTGACGACAATGATACCGACAGGAACACGAGAGCTGACCGTGGTTTCATCTTTCTCATGGAGATACTCTACGAGTGATGGCAAGATATTGGTCAGAACGTCTTCATTCAACTTCTCGTGAGCTGGCATCGTCGTCGCCAGCCTACATTTCTCTGACGGTCCCACAGTAGCTGCCGAGTCTATATCCATCGCATCCGAATTATTCTTTGAGGCTACCGCCGCGAGGGTATCAACAAACTTTCCGAGAAGTCTAATCAGCTGCTTTTGAAGTTCCGGTTTCGACTCGATGTAGCTGATATACCTGCGAAGTATAGCACGGTATTGAGGCCATTCCAAAGAGGAGGCTATATCGGCAATTGTCGATGCGGCTTGAGCGCCTACGCCATGATCATCATTTCCTTCCTCTCGGTTGAAAATGAATTGTTCGAGAAGTGGTATAAAGAAGTGAGTTAGGTTTTTGCTACCCAAAGGCGTATGGTAATTGACCTTTGATAATAATTGAAGCGCTCGCATTTGTCTTGCTGTGGCAGGGCTTAGGATATTGTTGAAGAAGCTGGGGTCGGGGTCGTCTTCGCTTGGCTGAGGATTGATTGCCACAAGATCGGCAACCGGAGGCCAAGATGGCATTCGGGACACCAAGGACCCAAATACCTTCACAGCCTCCCTTCTCACCGTCTCCGATGGTTCTCGCGCATTAGAGTACAGGGCTGGTATTAGAATTTCCGAGAGCATGTCATAAAATTTACTTTGCTCTTCGCCCTCTGAACACGCGGCGGCTTCAATAAATTTGCATAAGCCATCAGCCGAGTTCGCAGACAAAATCCCGTACTCTTCGTCATGTTTGATGTAAAATGTCATATTATATACCAACGGCCTCCAGTCTCGTGGCGTGAATGGGACGTCTCTTGGTCGTAAGATAACATTGAAGGCTTGTAGTCGTTTCTCGTAGTTTGGCTCATCGACACGGCTGCTGTCATGGGAATTGAGATCTGCGCAGAGCGTAGACAATTCAAGGGATACTGGGTCATTTTCGTACAATACGGCCAGGACATTTGATAATGCCTGTCGATTGACACGGTCCTTGAAAAATCCGAATAGCGACGATATCGTCGAATAGATCCGATCTCTCAACTCGGCCGAGAGATCAGCTCCCGCAAGCTTGATGAAATTTTCAAGCATTGAAAGAAGAAGCCCCTTAGCTTTAGGATTAACACGTCGTGAAGGTTGATTAAGAAGGGTCACCGAAATATCAACAAGATCTGTGAGATAAACCGACTTTTGAATGATCGGAGACAATTCTACCACAGACTCAACACATGCCATGAGTAGATCTCTTCCCACTTCTCCTTTCGATTTGAGCACAGCACCAATGCTCTCCAAGATGAAATTGATATTTGGGTCCAAGATCTCTTCCTGTATCAATTCGTTGAATTCGGATTGCTCGGCCGGTTGTTGAGATAGATTTGCTAGACTGCGCACGATACTGAGAGCAAAGATTTTGACCTCGTCTTTGGTCTTCTCGAGTTTCAGACATTCCATCAACTGTTGAATAATCCGATTATCGACAGAGAGAAAATATGCAGTCTTCGGAATTTGCGATAGTGTAGAAATGAACTGAAGAGTGCCAGATATGCCCTGGGTTGTCTCGGCCGGAAGTTTGTCCAGGCGCGGGCTCACAATCTCCTTGATGAATACATCTTTGTAAGGAGTCCAGTCAAAGCTGGTGGCGTTCCGTAGAAGCGAAATCACGCATTTCAATGATGTAGTTCTGACGACTCGGTGTAGAGAACTTTGGGCGGGTTGATCTTCTTCCGTGTCCTCGTTGCTTTGGTTTATCTTCCTTGAGGAGAGCACGAGACAGTAGAGGACTGCATTGAGGATCTTGTCGGCAAAAGAGAGAACGTCAGTGCCCATCTCGTTAATCATGGCTTCCATCATGTTCAGAAATCCAACTTGCTTTCGGACAGTCAGCACTTCCCGATCGAAAATATTTTCGCGCAATTGGGTATTTTCAATGATCGTAACCCCCCGAAGATCACCTAGAGCGATATCGAGAAATTCCCCCATGTCATCAACTGTAAGCTGCCGTAGAACAGCAAGCCTAGTAGCATGAAGACCATGGCGCCCGCTTGCGGCGCCCTTTTTGGAAATCGACCTTCCATAAAGCAGCCTGAGCAGTACAGGCATTATTTCAGGCCGCTGCTCCGGTTTAATCTGCTGGTCTCCTTGGAATAACACAGTAAGCTCGTTCTTGAATCTAGCTTCGTCAAGAAGATATTCCAGATTTTCTTGAAAAGGCTTAACACCCTCCTGCTTCCAGGCGAGAATTGCCTTCAGAGCAGATTTTTGGACTTCCACGTCGCCATTGGCAAGCATTCCGAGAAGAGCGTCGTAAACTTGCTGGCTCTGGTACAAGACCTTGGGATTTGTGAATTGCGCAAACACCCCAAGTAGGGTTTTCTTGTCGAAAAGTGACCATGATCCATCAGGAAGCTGTTCAGACCCCATTTCATTGTCATCTTGCTCATCCGAATCTCTTGTCCATGACAGCAGATGAGGAACTAACTTTCGGGATCTTCTTTCCGCTATACCCGGTGCAGCCAAGAAGACTTTCAATGCTTGAGATCTCGCATTAGAGGTTATTAGAGGAACTAAATCCTGGTTTCCCTGGAAGATATCTAGCATAACCTCCGAGGAGCATTTAAGCACATGCTCTGCCTCGTCTGCTCGTCTGTGCAAATTCGACAAATTCGAACATTCGAAATCTGTGAGACCAGCATTCGACGAAGCTGTGATTTCCTTCGGTGGACCGTCCCAACGCTTGGATGGAGCATCGATCCAGTCGAAAGCAAGCTCACATATAACATCTTCTCCAGACTTATCTTGGCTAATTTGCTGTAACGCATCAACCGCAGAATCCCAAATTGGAGCTAGGCGAACCGTCATCTGCCCAAAGAGAAACGCGGGAATAGCTCGACGAAGCCACGAATCCTTGCTGAGTTGAGGATAGTTCGCAGCCAGCTTTCGAATATGAAGAGAAATAAATCGAGTGTTTTGTAACTCGAGTGGCATCTGCTCGGCTTGAATCATGGTAGCTAATGAATCCAATTCATCAGGGGCCGCACTAAGTCGGCTTAGTAGTTTTAAAGAGGCAGATCGGTGTTGATGTGACGAGCTAGATAAGTTATCAACAAGGCTCTTCATGAATGGATCTTCGTCGCATTCACTATTAGAACTGCTCTCGCTCTGGGGACTCCTCCTAGGATTAAGTTGGTCCTCATAGGCAATCATAGCTTCCAGGAAGCCGGTGAGTCGTCGATATCGAGGGGTGGCTGCTTTGAGCAAAGGTTCAAGAGAGCTATCGATCTGCCCTGTAATCTTGCATATGCGCAAGTATGAGGAAAAACCCTGGCTAACTATGAAGTGTGCTTCCTCGCTAGCTAAGGACTGAGAAGGCTTCAACGCAAGCTTAAGTTTTCTCAGCAACAACTCGGCGATGGGTCCGTTAGTTGAAGGCCGAACAGCGGCCGCCTCCAAGACTCGGAGAAGAGCGGAATATTTTGGTAAGCATTTTCCGCGCCACGTTTTAGGATCTTTATCATATCCTCCAGAAGTGACTTGCTCTGGAAAGGGGGAAACCTCCAGACGTTCGAACTTAGTGACAATTTGGTCTTGCCAAGATTGTGGTAACGAAAAATTGTCACTGTCCGTAGGAGAGGGTAATGCGTAGGATTTTGCCATTCGGGGCAAAAATACACATAACATATCTTCGTTAGAACCCTCGGACCAATGCGTCACGATAAATCTAGAGTCAAGATTAATAATTAAATCTATTAGGTAATTCGGAATAGCTTACTTTTGAAATGGTTTTAATAAGAGACTGCGAAATCTCGTAGAATCCAAGTCTGAAAAATAAGAACAGAATGGAATGAACCATCTCATTAAAGGGTCCCGTGTCGTGACGGCCGTGAATTCGGTAATGTATGGAATAATTGAGTCCATCGGAGCTTGCTCCCACACAATAGCTATATTTACCATCAGCTGTTGCCAGACAGTGGATAAGTCGACATTATCGAGGCCGTCCGGCTTTTTGGAGAGAGCCTTTAGAGATTCCAATAGGCAATTAAGAATCGGCGGCCAGTTCACAATACGGTCGCCTCTTCGGACCCCAGATATTGTTCCTAAGAGTCTGACGTAAAGGCAGTTACGCAATGCATATACTGCACACTCTTCATCTTTGGTGGCCGTTTCGATAATTAATTCTGGGATAGGCTCGAACGTTTCCGCTGTTGTATGGTGCACGGTACTGACTAGTACACCACATACTAAATCGGCCCATGTTACAGGATCCGAGGAAAGGCATTCGTCATTAGGAACAGATGCGATTAGCGATTTGATAACTCCGGTTCCGCTTGTGTGTATATTATGCCCTTGACCTTTGATTGCCTCCGCGAACATAGTCATCAGTCCATGGTGGTACAGGCCAAATTGCCGACTGTCTCTATTGGCCTCAAGATCTTGTCTGACATGCTCTATTAGCATGGGTAGGGCCTTTTCTCGATTCGCTGGCGCTGCAGCTTTCTTGACCAGAAAGCTCAATGCCTCGGCAGCAAATCGAGCGATATGTGGAGGATTCCGAGCCTTCCCTAGCAGCGGAGCTAGGGCATCGAATGTCGGCCGAATGTCTGAAACCAGGAGTTTCGATAAATACTTGAATAGAAAAGCCAAGCAACCAAAAGTCCATTCGACGACCGCTGCATCTTGAGGCCGACTCGCAATTCCAGTAATCAAGGATAAAGCAGTAGGGTAATGCTTCTCAAAACGTAAGCCCAAGTCATGGGCCAATGCAGTGAGAAGATCTAGTAGAGGTTCGAGAGACTCCTTCTCGTGTACGGAGATATATTTGGCCAGTAGTTCCATAATCTTGTCCTGGGAGTGTAGGATTTGAGGTAGACTATCGTAGTAGGGTCGCACATCTCTCCGAAATAAAGTAAATTGTTTGGATATATTCATATCCGCCCATTTCTCCATGCCATTTCGGAAATATGAGGTCGTCGTTTCGAGGTTTTCGACTTCGAGATCATGTCGCCGTACTCTTCGTAGAGGGTCGAGGGAATGAAGCTTGGAGATCTTAGTCGTGAAAGACTCCCATCTATGATTTTTCTGGTGAGGCGTCCCATTTCCCTTACGGGACTTGACTATTCGACCCGATTGCGTAGAGCGCATCTTGATTGTTGTATCCCCCGTTAGGTTGTGATTGGGGAAGGTTGATTGCTGCTCTTGCAGTTGAATGAGATTTTACATGTTTCCTCTTGCCCCACTGAAGAACAAGAAATCGCATCGCAAAAAGAGCATCGCAACCTCTAACTTTTTTTTCCCTAAAATGAGGCGCTAAGGTGCTAGATAAGATTATCGATAAACTTATCGGGCAGCCTATCAGGCTTATCTAAACACTAAGCTCCTACACCTATCCCTGCTCATCCAAACTTTAGTATCTTCAGCTTACAGCCAATTAGGAGCCCTAAGCTTTAAACTTCCAACCTTCATCTTCAAGCTTCCGCGTTCCGAGCGCGTTCTAACAACTTCACGATGGCGGCAAAAATGTAAGTGAATTCATTCAATCGATCCTATTGAGAGTAATAATTAACCAACATTTATAAGTTTCGTCCTCGGTAGCGTTAACGGCAAATTCGAGTCCGCTTTCCAGAAGCTCACAGCTTTGCACCAGAAGCAGAACTTTGCCTTCGCCATAGTTACTGGAGATCTCTTTACGTTCGACCAAGACGAAGGTTCCTTGTCGCGGCTCCTTAATGGGGATATCCAAATACCAATCTCAACCTATTTCACTACAGGCACCATTCCCTTGCCTGATCAAGTAGTCAAGCGCGTTGAGAAAGGCGAAGATGTACGTCTAAGTGCTTTCCCAACTATGCATCTCTGCTAGTTCTAATCTCACCACGTATGCAGGTCTGCGAAAACCTCCATTTCCTTGGTAAACGAAGCATTACGAAAACTTCAGATGGGGTCCGAATCGTGGTACTAGGCGGCGCTCTTGACAAGTCTATTGTGGGTGGTCAATCGAATGAACAACACCTTCCGCTGCATACAGCCGATGATGCGAAGATACTGCGCGGCGCTAACACCGCCGACATCTTATTAACAACGTGCTGGCCCTCCGGAATCTGGGCAAATTCGAGCAAGCCGCCCACCTTAGAGCAACAAACCTCTATCGCAAGCAGCGACGAGATAGCCGAATTATGTACTACCCTTAAGCCTCGCTACCATTTCGCAGCCTCATCTGGAGATTTTTTCTACGAACGGGAGCCCTTTTTCCACCCGCCTAGTAACCCCGAATCCGACCAGATACCTATTACTCGGTTCATCTCACTTGCTCCTTATGGCAACGAAGTTAAAGCGAAGGCCATGTATGCCTTCAATCTTGTCCCTGGAGAAGCGCCTTCTTCTACCATACCTCCTGGCAGCACATCTTCTCCGTTCCTTCCTAAACCCAACCCACGGAAACGACCAGCTCCCAGTGGGGATGCTACTGGTCATCGCGGAGGGGGCCGTCATGTACGCCGTCGGAAGGAACGATCGCCTCCTCCCGGCCCTGATCGGTGTTTCTTCTGCCTGAGCAACACGCAAATAGACACCCATATGATCTGCTGCATAGGAGACGATTCTTATGTCACTACTTCCAAGGGTCCACTACCTGATTCAGACACATTCGCCTCATCCGGCCTCTCTTTTCCAGGACATCAAATCATCATACCCCTTCCTCATGAGCCCACTATTCGCGCTATGGGACAAGATGCGGACAAAACGTACAAGGAGATGGCGCGCTTCAAGGAGTCTATGCAAGCTATGATTGCGACGGAGTCAAAGTTCAAGTTGGGCGCAGTGACTTTCGAGATCAGTCGGCAACATGGAATTCACGTTCATTGGCAATTCATCCCGGTCCCTACGGATCTCATTCGCAAGGGCCTAGTTGAAGCTGGTTTCAAAGTAGAAGCCGAGAACCGCCAGTTCCCGGCTTTTGAAGAAGTGACCATAGAGTCCGGTATCGATGAGACGTCCGACTATTTCCGTGTCTGGATCTGGGCCGATGATAGCGACACCGGCATCCAAAGCAAGGAGTTGGTGATGCGTTTTGACAGTAAAATTCGCTTCGATCTTCAATTTGGTCGTCGGGTGATCGCTAAGCTTCTCGGACTTGAGAGCCGAATCAACTGGAGAGACGTCACTCAGCCTATCGCTGAGGAGACTGAAGACGTCGAGAAATTCAAGGAAGCTTTCAAGCCTTGGGATTTCACTGCTTAATTGAGCAGAAACAATAGCATTTTCGGGACCGGCGTTAGTAGTTCGCAAAAGTTATGATACCCGCGTTTGAGTTTGCGGTATTTGCCATGGCGTTCGGGTGGCATCTTACTTGATCAAAGAGTTTAGCAGTCAAAATAACAGTTAGCAAGAATCTGCATGATAGTGTACAGCATCTGGGCCAGCAGCTGATTTGATTTCGCATCACAAGAATGATGGAAGAGGCGGATGCATATGAGATTACATTGAGAGCATATCATCGGCGCAACATTACAGAGCATTTAAATCGGATAGTTGAGGTCATATTCGGCCTTGCGAATGGAACGGTGGATTATGATTTATTGAAATTTGAAGAAAATTGTGTTGACTTCTCAGGATAGCGGACTAAATGTGACTACAAAAAGCCATTAGTAAAACGCAGGGAATTCACCACCTTGGACGTTGCATCATAGGCTCATTCATCACTTCATCGCCATCCAATTTTTCCGCTACATCTCGAAACACCTTTCGGAGCCGCCGCTGATGCCACCATGCAAGCGCGCAAACGAACCCGATAATGCCCACAGCCGTACTCCCCGTAACCGTCCACCAGCGTCGAGCAGCCTCGATATCTTCTGCAGTGTTGTCGCTGAGCACGATATACGCATTCGGGTCGTTCAGTCGTGGCCAATACCTCACAGGTACCTTACAAGCGCAGCTGCGATACACGCCTAAAAGCTGCATAGATGTGCCTCCCACCGCCGCGAATATCGAGAAGAACCCCACGAACACTTGTCCCCACCAACATACTCTTTTCACCGTGGGATTCGTCTCGGACCACCTCGTACCGTACCGTATCCTTAACCTCGCAGCGCACGTCCACAACGCCATCTCGCATACTTGGCTTATGGCGTAGACGAGATACGTCATACTGCGACACGAGAGTCCAGCTTGTGGCGTATTATACGACGTCAGGAACGCGAGGACGCAGGGAACCAGCACCGCGAAAAGGGCACTGATGAAGACGTAGAGACAGTCTTGCGGGTTCAGCGTAAGGGACTTGCGTAAATCGTCGGGCTGGATACGGTTGTCTCTGCGGTATGCCGAGGAAGCGATGTATTCGCCAATGGCCTCCTGAACCCATTCACGCTTGTTCAAACCGCGCTTCCAGAGCTTAACGGTTCGAAACCGGCCCTCGAATGCCGTTTCGACTGGGTTGTAGCCTTCGATCTGCCGTATCATGAAACCGATCCCGCTGTAGTTCTTGGCCTTTTTGAGATATTGCTTCCAGATGCCTTCGGCGTATTCGTCTTTTGGGGCGGTGATACCGCCGTCGTATACGATACCGTCGAGTGTACTGGGACTGTTGGATGCTAACATCGCGCAGGACTGGAACATATTATGTTAGTATTTCCTGATTGTCCAGGGTCTATGCTGGAAATGTTTCAAACTTAGCGTTCGCATGTCGCTTGGCGGAGTTATGCCTAGGAAATGGATAGGGGTAGTTGACGATTTTGAGAGATACACACAATTATAGCGAGGTAAGGAATCACCATCCACCCTATAATCAGCTGTTAGCAATTAAACGTCGCCAATGAATGTGAGATATTTTCAAGGCAATAACTCACACAATCCAAAAGCTAGAGCATGCGCAGTGTCATTATCCCCCAGATTATTATCCGAGTCTAAGACGGTATAGACGAAACTTCCGAGGAAAAATAAGACCGGCGCTCCAACTGTCGATCCGAAGCTCGCCTGCGCGTTGAGGAGGGCCTTCAGTTTAGTCGGCAGAGTCACAACCGCCTCGTTAGCTCGGCACGCCAACTTCAACGCCTCGTGCTCGTCAACCATCACCATGACCCTCTTCCAGACGCTATTATGCACCAACCTACTCATCGTCCGACTCGGAGCTATCGGGATTTTCCCCTCCAAATCAGTCGAAACAGCGCTGTGATGACGACTCTCACCCCCAAACTCCTCATTCTCAAGCGTAGCCATGCGAATATTCCCCACAACAACAGCCAGGAGCAACTGAGCTCTCATGCGCGGCGGAATATTCGGTACTTCCCCATTCGGCGCCAAAAACTCCAACACCTTCCGATCCAGCGCATACTCATACATCGCACTAAGCAACATAGGTCCCGCAAACGCGAAGCAAATCGCAAGCCAAACGACCGTGTCTAGCGTCATAAGCACGACAGCGCCCAGCAACCTAATCCAATACGTCATGAGCCCGACGATTGTCCTTGGGTGGGCCTTGAACACGATCTCAGGGATCGCCAACTTATGGGTCCGCGGGACGTTCGTGCAGAAAGCGAGACTCGGGACGATGAACTGGACCAGTGGGCCGACCCACTGCTGCATGACGGACGAGTGCGAGATCTCCCACCCGGGACACCGGTTCTCGCACCAGTGGTACGGCACCTGTACGACGGGAGCCCCCGCCGTGTCACCGTTCCAGGCTGCGCCGCACGGGAACTCGTCGCCGTGGATCGCGGTTTCGAGGGAGCTGAGCGAGACTCCGGGCGCGACGAACGACGTCGTTGAGTATGAGAGGTTTCCGTCGGGGCGGACGGTTAGCGAGTCTTTGAGCGCGAGGAGGCAGCAGTGCGTGAAGTTCTGCCCCCCAAGACCCGGCGCACGAGAGTTCGGCGGGTTGTAGGAGAGGCCCGCTAGTTGCGGGATTAGGGATCCTATACTCATTTTGCTAATCTTTTCGCGAAATCAAGTCTGTGCGATAGAATGTCTAGATCAACTGGCCAGCAGGATATCGAGAGAAGATGATTTCCGAGAACCATTCGAAGATCTATTAGGAGTGCGAAAACGAGGAGGGTTTGGGACATTTCTCCCCGCCCCGAGGAGGCAGGTATATACCAACGGAGTTTCACCACGGATTACCTATATGTGCCAGGTAAGACAATTATCACAAGCGGTGTATACCTGATATCTTGAGAATTCCATAACGAGACGGACACATGCGTCGGTGGCGTTACGCATGTTTCACAATACACCAACCTTGATAGGACGGCGGGAATGAAAAAGCAGATAGGGCAGGAAGCAAGGCCATATATCACCATATCACCTTCCAATGAAATTTACTCAGAGACGCCTGCTGTACTATTCGGGTTCCCAAGTGGGAAAATCAATTATGATTTCTCAGCCACAAATCTGAGGCTGCTGCCGGTGAGCTTGACCCCAGCCTCCTAAAAACGATTCAAGGTGCGTATTGGCGGCGAATATGTAAAGTCTTGTATATTAAGCATTGGTCATTCATTGGTTTGCACCAGAGTTATAGCATAGTTATAGTAAGAAAGAATCAATGAAATTTTTATCATATTTTGTTATCGTGTGTATTGCTGTTAGCTGTTGGCGACGCAGTTGAATACCTAGGTACAGAGGTGCCTTTCAAAAGATTTTACCATACATCAATACCTATCAGTTAGTCAACCAGCTGCAAGCCCTATTCTACCAGCTGGCGGAACAGATCGCCGATTTGTCTCAAGGCACCTCTGTAATCATCGAAAGATATGTGTTTAGGTACCTACTAGGTAGGCTAGGTATGTATTGTACATAGCTACTTAGTTTCGCAATTTAATGAAACACTGCCTACCTACATAGTAGGTAGGTACATAAATGGGGTAGGTGGGGAGGTGGGGGAATTAATTTAGGTACTAGGTAATCAGCAAGCTGGCAGGCGACAAAGAAACTTCCAAGCTGTGTGCGCTAAAAAATTAGTAGGGTACTATGCCTTAAAACTCGCATGACGATATAGGAGGTAGTTACATAGTACCTAAGACCCCTAAGTTACGTCAATGGAATACCCACCGACGTAGGTAAGCAGTAGGCAGTAGCTTTCAATTCAAGTTCTCTGGAACTACCTTCGCATTTAAATAAGTAGGTACATGGCAATATATAAGATAAGAATATCCATTACGTAAAAAAAATGCATTCATCTTTTCATGACATTCATTTCACCGAAAATGGAACTCAAACGTTACCACGGACTTGCAAAGAAGCGGTACTATCATTGCCTCGAGACGAGGATAGCTCTTTTCCGCCTTTAGTCCCAAGATTTACATGTACAGTGATATTTGCAGGGGTTATGCCGAATGTACCTACCAATCATAATTGAATCCTTCTAAGTGCTCTTCCCTTTTAGGAGCTATCGTCATTACAGTTTGTACCAAATAGTCACATTATTGCAGTAGTTTAACAAGATGCTTTTGTATGATATACATACAACAGTGATTTATCAGCGAAATTTCTGTCCCCTAACCCCTGCCTGCTAACTTGTGCCAGCTAAGACGATAAAGCTGACACCAGTACTTGAATATAATTAGAAGAACCGAGAAATAGCACAATAATACTAGGTAGTCGTCGCTAGAAATGTAGGTAGGTATGCTCCTCAAGTTGATCTGAAGCTTCCAAGGTTATATGTGGAAGCTTATCCCCTAAGACACAACGAACAGCGCAGTTTTCAACTCGTCATCTAACCCAATCAAAAGACAGAGGTAGTAAGCTGTTCTCTTTAATTGGCCAATCTACCCAAGCCTTGGTTACGATTGTACATACCTATTCAATTACCTATGTGCATCGAAGTGGATATCGAGCGGCACTCGAGATGTACCTAGGTAGGTTACCTGCTGTGTAACGGGAGGGATCCATCATAGCTGTTATTGCAGTGCGATATCGTATCTTATTCATGCTTAAGCACTAAGAGTACTAGGTACTCGTGCGCTTTTCTATGGCAGATACAGCCGGATACCCACTCAGCATTCCAAGTTCACACGAGTTTAGGCATTGGAAGAACTTTGGACATCAGAAAAATTTCTATCCCCTGTCTCCTCATCCCCTCTCGAACTCCTATTTAGTTAGCCTGCTTCCCCTGACTGGAGATGGGAGTCCAGCAAAGAGCTACCGTTAGATCCATATTTACGTAGGTAAATAATCGCCAAATCTCCCTCAACATTACCAGCTCTCTATTGCTTCACCCAACCCTCACCCAACGTTCAACATCGTTACTTCCTTTATCGCCAAGCCAATACATACCCAACTTCGTTATGGAGCAAAATCGCTTGTCTGAGAACCACTCACCAGATGAACATCAGCAGGGTCCCAACGGCACACAGATGCCCTCGGTGGCTCAGGAACAGGTTCATTCGCCAACCTTTGGCTCTCGCAACCTTGACGTGTCTCAACAGCGTGAGCAGAGAGTAGCTCCCAGTTCTGCCGGTGCCGGCAACAACGGGCCTGCTGATGCGTCTACTGCTGCATCCACTGCTACATCCAACCCGACTCCAGGTGAGGTTGTCCTAAATGGACCGAACATGCTTCAGGAGGAAGGATACGTAGCCCCTTCTCAGCATGGATCACCATCGGCCGAGTCAGCTTCTACTGCGACCATAACGGACCAAACCCCTCACCTCATCGCCAGAGGTTTATTCTTTGCCTATAGCGATAGCACCCTGTTTTTCTTTCGTGACAACGGCTCCAGAGCTTATATTGCCCCCGATGGCCGCTATTACGAAGCTGTCGACGGGGAGAACTACCAGCATATAAACACTGTCAACGAGCCTGGAGTACCATCAGCAGGCCGTTTCTTTACGGGATGATCGGGGTAGTTACCTGTGATTGCGCCCACGGTACCTTTCAGGTAAGAATAATATCTCCTAGCCCAGCCCTCACCGGCTATCAAATGCTAACGGTTTCTAGTTCGCGTTCAACTTGTGGGATGAGCGGTCGTTGGCAACAGACTCGGTGCGTCGGATTGTCGAGCGGAAGCAGCGAAAAAAAAAAAATAAATAAATAGAGGTTGTCATATTGTGGCTTACGAATGAGTGGTTGGGGGGTAAGCCGCCTACCTAGATAGATTACTACCTGGATAGATAAAAAAAGCAACATTGAATGCTTATTGGACACCGTACATTTCGTCCACACCTAATAGTAGTAGTTAGAATTAAACTCATGAACTCCCCAACCTATTCTTGCTCCTATAGAGATTAGCATCATTCAGAAGCTTTGGTGAGCATCTCGAGATAATCTCCGAGATCATTCCAGTTCGTATTAGCCAAGACAAGATGAGTCGGCGAGCGTCTTTGTGCCGCGTGTCGGGACCTCCGAGAGAGGCTGAAGTGCGGGGAAAGCACAAGAGCAGTGATTCCTACCTAAAAGAAGGTCACGTACAAATCAACTTTCTCCCTATTCTCCGACGGGTCCTACCTCCTAGATAGAGACCAAGAACTCATGCGACCGGTAGAATCTAGTAAAGACAGCACTCGAATTACGTTCCACTACATACCTCGAACCTCCGACCGCCGAATCACCCGTCCTTGCGACACCTCCACGACCCCTATACCTGTCCTCCGGCTTCTCCGGTACCTCCGACACCACCAGAACCCGCACCCGCGTTCGCGTTCGCCGCCCGTCCCATCCCCCAATTAATCCAATCCGTGAAAAAGAGTCCGGGGATCTTCGCCTCGCCTCTTTGACACCTCGCAAACGTCGTCGCATATCCTTGATTAACATAGTCCACAAGATCCTCATCGTCATCAGCGACCAAGCTCGAAGCGACGAGCAGAGAAGCCGCAGACGCGGCCCTGACGAACGCGTGGGACGGATCTTTCGCGGCCTCCGCGTGGATGTCGTCCATAAGGGCGAGCATAGCGGTAGGGTCGTAATCGTCCGAGTCGTCTTTGCTAATAGTGGAGGTAGAGCGCGCTTTCTTAGCCGCCTTAGCAAAACTATCGATGACTGCAGCGGCCTTGTTGACGAGGGGTTTGGCGGTGGTAGTGCGTGCGAGTTCGAGTAGGGGGGGGAGGAGGAGGAAGGACTGGAGGCCCGTGACCTCGTGCTTAAGGTACAGGGCGATGAGGTCGAGGACGCGGTGCTTAAACATGATAACAGATTCCTTAGCGTCTTTTTTCTCCTTTTTCTTCCCAGTTTTCTTAACGCGCTGCTTGAAGACCTCGACGAGCTTCTCGTCTAGCGCTATCATCTCCGAGTCTGTCATGTCGGAGTCATTGTCTGACGATTCGGCTTCTTTGTCTTTGTCTAGACGATGGCTCCCTAGAACTTTAGCGAGGGCGTCGTCAAGGTCTGCGAGCTCCTTGGCATTAGCATCGTCTTGCTCGTTATCCTCGTCCTCGTCACTATCTTCGTCTTCGTTTTCGTCCTCATCATCCGCAGCCTCTTCGCCGTTCAAAGTAACGAATTCAACATCAGAGCCAATTTCCGACATTTCGTCTTCTTCCACATCATCAACTTCCTCATCCGAACCCGAATCCTCGGCATCATCCATTTCCACGTCCTCATCGTCAAGATTCTCAAATAGAGCTTGGTACCCCTTTTCGTTTTCCTCTGCAACAAGTGGCTCTATTAGAAGATTAAGAGCCTCGGCCGATATTTGCGAAGTAAATATCTCGAAGACCCGCTCGCCGATCCGTCTCATCATAGGTGACTGCCGAGAGACTAACGATAGCAATATTTCCACCAAGAGCTCCGAGCTCCCGCTCTCCTTGCTTTTCATCTTTTCCGAGCATCGCTCTAGATCTTGGAGGATGCTGATTGCATCCGGTGCCCCATCATATAGTTGTAGGATAGCGATGGCGTATAGTAGAGCAAGGCCAGTAGATGCCCCTGACTTATCATCTGATTTTTTCCCAGCTTTAAGCCATTTCCGCATAGCTTTTAATGCGCTCGCTTGCTCAGCGTTTATTTCTTCGCTCATGCTCACTGCCGTAGGTTCGACTGAGATTACGACGTTGCATAAGTACTCGGCGTCGTCTCGCCGCTGCATAACCTTTCCAATCGTATGTGCAAGTAATCTGCGGAAAGCCTCCCTTGACTTATCTGAAAGATCAGGTTTGAATTGTGGCTGTGTCGAATACGCGCATGCTGCCAGTTCTTTTACACTAAGCTCCGCAATGTTGATAGCATCGTCGTCATTATCAGAGGCTTCAGGAACCTGTTTAGCCTGTGTTGCTAATTTTGACACATAACCGGCGTAGACTTGTCTGAATTTCTCGATGTCGGAGGATTCATTGCTAGTAGTATGTTAGTAAATCAATTGGATTATAGGGGATTATAGGGGAGTTGAAGATCTTACTCCTTTGCGATGATGACAGAATCTCGAAGAAGCTTGAGAACCGTCTTCGCATCGTCCGGTGTAACCCATTGTAGCAGATTCTCGATTGTCTTGGTATTGGTTCGCTGGTCAAAGTCATAAACTCCGTGTTTTCCAAGAACCTCCTTGAGGACTGGCAATAGGAGTTCGGGAGAAGCCTGCACAGCTTTCTCCATCGATTGAAGGCTTTTCAGCGCAGCTCGATGAAGATACCGGTCTTCTTTCGCAGCTTGGTTCATCAAACACTTCATCAAATTTCGAGTGAACAATTCTCTGGCCAACTTAGGGTTGTCTGTTGCGAATCCCTGAAGGAATTTCTGGAATATGACGAATCCGCGGAATTTCTGTGCGTCAGAAGCATTTTTAGAGAAGAGCCCATCTAAACAACTAATTAGAATGTTCAACAACTCCATCCCAAATAAACTTACCATCAATAACAGTCGTCCAGAAAAGCTTCAACTGATCTTTTCTCCCCTTTTCACCAGCATCTTGTCCGACGAAGGTCGCAAGTATGAGATCCCAGACAAAGTGCAACTGTGCAGTCCACCCCCCTTGCTTGGCTTTTGTGATCGCAGCATCATCTCCGTTATCTTGGGCCACATTATCCTTCAGCACTCGGGCAACTTCGGGTAGAACGCCGGGACTCATAGGATCGTTCCAAGGCTTTGCGGGTGTCTTCAAGCCGGGATAGCAACTTCGCGCCTTCATCCAGATACCGATACCCTCTGCAGTCTTGCCAAGACCAATATCGGACAGTTGCTGGAGCGTTTCCTCCGCTCTATCCTGTCCCATCTGGGGTAGCGACTCGACAATAACCCATGCAGAATGCGATCGTATCCAGACCTTCTTATCTGCCATCTCTAAAAGCAATTCTAGGACCTTCGGCCATCTTGTCTCATCATCAAAGAGAACTTTAGATTCCACGAAGCATTGAAGACCAAACAGGCGACCAAAATAGCAGTCCCTTTCCTCCTGGCCGGGAACATGGCCACTGGATGTAGTCTTCTCCACTAAAATGTTCAAGACTTTGTCGAATGTCAAGCCAGGATATTTTGACTTGGCCAGGTCCTTGGATCCGAATAATTGATTCAGTAACTCGGTTATAACAAGACTGAAACCTACTCGCGACGCATTCCGCGAGCTAGCCAACCCACGGAACAGGCGGTGGTCGAGATGTCTCTCAAGGGCTGTCTCCGACGAGGCCAGTAGTCCGGTGATAAGAGCATCGGCGGAAGCAATTCGTTCATCGCTGTCAGCACTGCCAAGTAGTTCATATACTTTCGCTTCCCGTCTTCGAGCCTCTCCATCTAAAGTCTCGGTAAACGGCGACTTTTCAAGATCAAGAGATGTTGCTTCGGTACCATTCTGAAGAGGTTGATCAATCTTCGCCCGTTTTTGAGTAGGATGACTGCCATTTGTGCCAGCCTTATTAGTGCCACGCTTTCGTTTACCCATCGTAAAGGAGCTTTTAGAATTGCTCTAGGAATTACCTTAGAACTTGAAAATGATAGAGGCTGAATTATTACTGAATTTTTTTCTACCAATAGCAGTTGAAAAAAGGTTTTGCCGCTGCAGTGTAACCCCACGTCTAAATATGGTAGGCGGTCGAATTTTAGCGTGCCCCACTACCCCAAGTCGCGTCGCGTTGAACACAATAAGGGAAATCTCGAAAACACGTGATCATGAACGACTACATAGAGGCAATTGAGCAAAAGGCATTTTCACGATGCAAACTTAATAAGGAGGCGGCAACCTTGTTACGCTAGAAGCTCTAGACCTGTCCGCTAAGGATCGCGGTGTAAATAAAAGCCATTCCTCATTAAATACTCTTTCTCAGGACCAGTCATCAACATGTCTACTCTAAACAGAAAAACCCCCAACAGATCAAAGTCCAATCCTACCAGATCTACAGTTGCTCAGGCTCCCAATAGTCTACTCCTCCAACAATACCTAGTCAAATAACCCCGAAAGCCATGCGCAGCCCCTTAGCTAGAGATCTCCACACAGACACCTATATCCACATATCCATGACGCTTCCATCCTCGATATACTCGTCAGTATACCAAGAAACAATGACATTGTCAAACTAATGATTGAACTCGGATATCTCGGCCCGCTTCTCTACCAGGAACAAAGCCTCTCTCTGCCCTTTAGAAGCAAGAAATCACCCCCATGTTGTTGCTCCGTCATTAAGTGGTGCCCTAGTGGCCGCTACTCATTACCTGGGAGCGATGCGAAAGATGGGAATCCAGAGAAAGTAAGGAACACGGAACCATATCGTTTTCTGTGATGTTCGTCATACCGGAAAGGGGATGGGAAGATGAGCTGTCAGGGCGTATTCCTTAGGACAGGAAGAGTAGTGGTAATAGCCATTCAAGACCAATGATGCCAGCTGACAGAACCTAGTTTATGATGAGGTGATAGGTAAACAATCATAAAGCTGGAAAATTCGGGTTGTATTTCGTAGTCATACGCAGCTTAGCGTCATCCGCGTGCAGGTCCAGAACTCCTGAAATAATTCGCGAAGGGCATACGTGTTGTCGGTGAGACAGCGATATTTCTCGTCCTGGCCTAATATGCTCGACCACCAACATTAGATCCGTCCGCGGAGTAACGGGGGGGACTTCTTTGTGCTCTGCTCGGTGCAGGTAGTGTTCGACTTCTGGGCGTACATGTTCCAGGAACAGGTACACGCTGCGCCAAGGCGTCTTTTTTCCCAGTATCACAACCTCACTCAAGCCAACTGCAGTGTTGTCGAGGTCAGGATGGAAGGTGCCCACATCTAATATTCCATCCATCCAAGTCCGCGCGGCGATTAACGACGAATCTTGCTGGAATATTAGGTGGCTGGGAGTCTACACCCTGTACTTAAGGGGTATATATGTACTATCTGCGAACCACTACTGTGAGACATCGGTCTTCCTCCAGGTTGGCAGCTAGAGGTCTATGGGATCGGGATTCAGCCTGTATAGTCCCCGTGAGGGTTCTGTTGGCCGCTCATGTCGAACCATGGTCTAATCGTTCCCAAATATGCCATGTTGGCATAATACGTTGTAGGGTCTGTCAGTTCGGATAGTTTGGCCTTCTCGTTGATCTTGAAAAAGTTCTTGTCAAGCAATTGTCGTTGTTCTTTTAATTCTTGAACGTTCTCGAAGCTATACGTGTCATGGGAGATGCTAAGAAAGGAATAGGATGCATGCCAGCCAGAGTAGAAAAACTCCTCAAGACAACTGGTCTAATATGGGTACTACAGCCAGAGAGCCACCTGACTCAACCGAGATTCTGGCGAGACTTGCTAAACCGAACCCCCACCTCGGAAACAACGATGTTCTCTATAGCGAGGGTAGTTAGGAGCTCCTCGCGCAACAACGTCGTTGTTTCCTAGTCTTTTGGTTCCGCCTCGTGACAACTACCTAGAACTAGCAACTTAACCAACTAATCAACCAATATGATACTCATAACCGGCATCTATTTCAACAAATCTGTGCGACTGGCAGTCTAAGACAGCCATAGCCATTCAGTCGATTTTCTGAGTATCTCCTTAGCACTCAAAATCCTGCCAGTTACGAAATACCATCGAGTGTCTCTAGTGATGAGTTCAAGGTAAGAAAAAGGTCTTCAAGACGCAAGGTCAATGGTGTCCCAGCATAAGGTGTTCTCTGTTGATAAGGGTGCTCTAGAGGAAGGAGAACATGTGAGTCATGCAATTACAAAGGTCTCGAAATCTCAGCACAGTTTCTGATCCATCTTCGCACAGGACCCAGAGCACCCAAAAACTGTCTCACACCTGTCTGATCCTTCGGAACCGGCCAACACTTCAACTTCTCGGATCTAGAAGGTTTAACAGCAACTCGTCCATGAACTTTGTGAATTGTGCCAAGAGCAAGCAGTTCTTCGCAACCAATAAGGACTTTTTTAAACGACAACTTCAGCTTCGACCATACGATTCTCGGGAGAAAATGGTTCTCGATCCATTCAAGCTGTTCCTCCACGGTAACATGCGTGGCGAAAATATCGTCGATATATTCAATAGCCTCAGTCAGACTCCCCGGAGTCTTAGGAGCTATAAGAGATGGTTCAGGATCCGGTGCAGGAATAGGCCCCAGAACAATTCTCGTGTGTGTGATAATCTCCCTCAGGCTATCAAGTCCGGTAAAGGATCGGCTCTTGAATTTAAACGCGCTTGTCCACGACTGTGCAGTAGTCGCTTAAGTAAGGAATGTTTATCAAGGTTAACCAGAACCACATCGGGATAATCGACGCTGGAGGCGAACACTTTGGGGTAGGAATCTATGCCCTTGCCCTTGTTATTGGCCGCTTCAGAAATGGTCAGTCATTCGTCTAGATCTAACGCATATCCGCGCTCTCTTGCCTATAAGCTTGGTAGGTATAGCACCATGTAATCACCTCAGCTTTAGCCAACTGCGCTGAAATTCTTGCTCATTGGGCCTGAGTTAGAGGCTCTCCTTGTCAAGTTGCTGAGTGACGAAGGTTACTGTAAGAAGATAGTGTAAGATCATGAGATAGTGTGCAAGGTCGGTCATCGCCTTATGATGAACATTTGTTCAGGATCTAGTAAGACCAAGTCAGTTTGGAGGATAGGTGGAGGATAGGCAAGTATGTTAATACTTGAAGAACTTACCGAAGACTCTTCTTGAAAGGGAAGGTCGGGGTTGTGGAGATAGGACATTCCTCGACGATGCCGATCCAGTGGTTGTAAAGTGATTGTATGAAGAAGTCGTTCAAGGGAACCCTGTTGTCACCGAAGGCGTGGACGTGCTCTCACGTATTACCCAACGTCGACCCGAACCCCCGCTATGAGGGTACTCGCGATCGGTGTTTCAAGTGTGAAAGAACCATGGACAAGCTAATTATGTAGGATCATCAGGTGGGCGCGCAGTTATAAGAAAGGATACGATGTATCCATTAATAGAGAAGGGGTATGTTGTAGTGGAATTCGAAGGACCCATCACTCATGAAGGGAAGACAGAACCTATCATAAACATGATAGTGGTTCACACATACTTGATAGGCTTGAGATATAACAGTGAGCCCCATCCTAATTGTTAGAGGTCTGGTCCGTTAGGGCTACTGGTCTGGAAGAAATTGGGTTCAGCCCGTTCGAGTGCGTGGGAGGTCCTAGGTAGGACGTGTTGTTTATTAACCCTAGAGCAGAGTAGACAAAGGAAATTCCCCATATTTATTTTGTGTTATTCGGCGGGAGCAGGTCGGAGTTCCGCTCACAATAGCTTCGTTGTTTCCATGCTCGTTGGTTCCGCCTCCTGACAGCAATGTAAGGCAAGTAAGGAGGGGATCATGATGAGGAAGGTGAAACGAGAGTTACGTCGTTGGGTTGGATAGGAGAAAGTTTTGACAGGGGAAATTGTAGGAGGATATATCAACTGGAATAATCAAATTGCAGTTAGGGAAGGCTCATCTGTCGAAATCACCTCGTTAGTGTCGCTATTGGTAAATAGACCACCTCAAGGCCAACCGATGTAGACATATTGAGATGACACATAATAAATGACGCGAATGGATGATAGGTAGCTTAGAGGGGGAGAAAAGGTAGGTAGGTACGGGCAAGGACACTTTATCAGTCGTGTGTCATAATCAGAATAAAAAGCGTAAATGACTTAAACACGCGATCAAAAGCGTGTATAAAATATAGAAACAATAAAAACGCGACTGTGACATGTTCTCCTAAGGATAGGTAGGAAATAATGCATAATAAAGTCTCGAGAGTCTTCAATGGAAATGTAAGATAACACGATGAATTGAGTCGGAGAGAGAGATAAGTAGGTTCAAGGATCGGTTGACGTATAATCAAAACAAGCAAGCAGATGGAGAAATTACCTACTTACCAAGCAGTCCTAAGGCAGATATTGCCTCCAAGGTGATATGCTATGAGTTAACAAGCTAATGGTAATGATGAATATAAAAGATGATGATACAGTGTAAAATAGGCGCAAAGTGAAGAATACTACTACGAATGATGGAAATTAAAAGTTAAATGGGGGAAATAGTAGAACTTGGATTATAGGGAGTTAAGAAATGAAGATGAAAGATGAAAGATGAAAGCTTGTAGAATTAAGATTGGGGAGGAGTAGACAAGTATTTATAGACAAGGTTTGGCTGAAAAGGAATCCATGGAATGATCCTGACAGCTAATAGCGACGAGGGTTTACTTCTGTCATACGGCGCGCCTGTTTGAGTGGTTATTCATGTCGATAAACGTTGTACATGATACTATTCTGTCTAGTGTGAAGTCTATACGTGATGGTATCGGATTATACAAAGGGAGTACCTGGCAACACTTAAAGTTAAACGGCATCCCCTAGAGGTCGTAAAAAAGGACCTGATAGTCTTGATGGGGAACGGCAGAAATGAGAATAAACGCTTTTAGACTTCGTCAATGTTATCCGACGAAGCATGTAACTATACACACATATATCGTGTTATATGGCAGAAGGCACAAG